CTCTGGTCTCTCTCTGGTCTCTCTCTGGTCTCTCTCTCTGGTCTCTCTCTCTTGTCTCTCTCTGGTCTCTCTGGTCTCTCTCTCTGGTCTCTCTCTCTTGTCTCTCTCTGGTCTCTCTCTGGTCTCTCTTTGGTCTCTCTCTGGTCTCTCTCTGGTCTCTCTCTCTTGTCTCTCTCTGGTCTCTCTCTGGTCTCTCTCTGGGCTCTCTCTGCTCTCTCTTTGGTCTCTCTCTGGTCTCCCTCTCTGGTCTCCCTCTGGTCCCTCTGGTCTTCATCTAGTCCCTGGTCTCTGGTCCCTGGTCTCCCTTTGGTCTCTCTAGTCTCTGGTCTCTGGTCTCTCTGGTCTCTCTGGTCTCGGTCTCTGAACTCCCTCTGGTCCCAGGTCCCAGACGTACCTTCGGGCCAGGAACCCTCTGCACACGGCCTGGAAGAAGACGATGGTGTCTGTGATCTTCAGGTCTCTCTCTTCCTCCAAATGAGCCAAGACTCCGGCTCTGAAGAAGATCTTACTCTGACCGATCCGGAACAGGTTACAGTCCAGCTCCAGGGCCCGGATCTGCAACCACAACGTCACTGCATTAGTCTGGACCAGGTGAGGACCAGGTGAGGACCATGTGAGGATCAGGTGAGGACCAGGTGAGGACTATCTGTGTATTTTCTTTAACCCCGCCTCCTGACAGTATCCATCAGTCAGGTGTAAATGCACAGGTGCACAGGTCGTACCATCCTGTCACAGGCCTGCTTCCCGTCCATGAAGCCTTTGGGGATGGCGTTGGGCGTCAGGATCTCGTACCTGCAGCACAACAGAAAATACTTTCACTTTCAACTCATGAAGTCAAATGTGTAAAGTTCATCATGTTTAAGACTTTATTAGAAAAACAGTTCTGCTAAATCACTCAGACCAGGACAGAGACGGATGTGGTCAGTGATGAGCAGACTGAATGTGTGTGTGTCTCTGTCTCTCTGTGTGTGTGTGTCTGTGTGAATGTGTGTGTGTCTGTCTGTGTGTGTTTCTCTCAGTCTGTGTGTGTGTTACCTCTGTCTAAACTCCTGGAACACAATGCGGTTGGGGAAGCCCTGTCTGCAGATTCGGATTCCCTCTAAGACTCCGTTACAGCGCAGCTGGTCCAGCACCAGGTTAGGGTCCAGTTTACCTGCCTGCAACAATAATTATTATTATCATGTTACTTATATTGTTATTATTTACAGATGCAGCTCAGAAAGGTCTGGAGTGGAATTGAACCCAGGACCTTCTTTTTTCTTTTTCTTTTTTTTTATTGCCAAGTAACATACATACAACAAACAAACTAATAAGAATATGTGTGTGTGTGTGTGTGTGTGTGTGTGTCTGTGTGTGTGTGTGTGTGTGGGTGTGTGTGTGTATGTGTGGGTGTGTGTGCGGAACAGTACATTGAGCAACATTATTATTTATATGTAAAATATAATAAAAAAAGTAGAATAAAAAGGGCAGATAATAAACATAATACTGGTAAATAAATAATGGTAACTTTTAACCTATAGGTAGATAAGACAAGGGATACATTTCTAGTTCCATCCATCCATTTTCTTCCCCTTAATTCATTTCTGGGTTGGGGGGTGGCAGTCAGAGCACCAGCCCCTCACTGATCCTCCTGCAGGTGGTGAGTCCACGAGAGCAGAGATCTCTCAGTGGGGGCTTCAGGCAAAGTGGGGTTAAGGTCTTGCCCAAGGACACAACAACAGCAGTCATCAGTGGGAGTTGTGAAGAAGGTCTCGAGCCCACAATTCTCTAGTCACTGAGCCACTGTCTCCCCGCCCCACATTTCTAGTTACATAGAGGAATGGTACAGTAATAAATGCATAATGCGACAAACAAAAACAATAATAAAAATAAGAATAAATTTACAAAAAACAACAGGACCTTCTTGCTGTGAGGCACAAGTGCACGGTGGTGCAGTGGTTAGCGAGTACTGATCAATAGTAATGTTAAGTTACTGATATAGAACTGATACCACAGGTGTGTAAGACAGTCGTTACCCTCTTGTCGTAGTTGGGGAGGATGTAGTTCTGATAACAGTACTCTTACTTAGTTACTCATAAAGTACTGATAGAGTACTGATAAAGTAATGACAGAGTACTGAAAGAGTACTGACAGAGAACCAATAGAGTACTAATAGAGTACTGACAGAGTGGCAATAGAGTACTGACAGAGTACTGGCAGAGAGTACTGACATAGTACTAATAGAGTACTAATAGAGTACTGACAGAGTACCAATAGAGCACTGACAGAGTACTGGCATAGTACCAATAGAGTACTGATAAAGTACTGATAGAGTACTAATAGAGTACTAATAGAGTACAAATAAAGTACTAATACTGGAGTACCCTTTTGTGATGGTTGGGGATGATACAAAGTTGGGGTTGGTGATAGAGTACTAATAGAGTGCTAATAGAGTACTAATAGAGTTGAGTAGAGTACCCTCTTGTGGTGGTTGGGGATGATGCAGCGTACGAAGTTGGGGTTGGTGATAGAGTACAAATAGAGTACTAAAAGACTACAGTAGAGTACTAATAGAGTACTAAAAGAGTAGAGTACCCTCTTGTGGTGGTTGGGGATGATGCAGCGTACGAAGTTGGGGTTGGTGTTACGGAGCGTGGCCATGAGCTTCGACAGCTGCTCTTTGTACAATTGTCCCACGGTGCGGAACATCCCCTTCTTGGTCTTGTACGAGGCTCCGAACGCTGTCTCGGTCATGCCCGCCACCTGCTCCAGCCCCACGATGCGGTCCACTGGGGAGACACGTCACTCAGGTGAGGCTTATAGTCCAGAGAGTACCTGGGTTTATGGTCCAGAGAGTACCTGGGTTTATGGTCCAGAGAGCACCTGGGCTTATGGTCCAGAGAGTACCTGGGCTTATGGTCAGAGAGTACCTGGGCTCATGGTCCAGAGAGTACCTGGGTTTATGGTCCTGCTTGGATTGGCCCCTGTGTACGGGGTTTGAGGGCGCCGCAATTCGGTTTAATTGGATTTAATAGAATATCTGCCTGTTTTTGACTGATAGAATGCATACTAGATTGTCCCTTGTTACAGGAAGATGTGTTTTTCTCCTTGCTGTGTCTTCGCTCCTCTCTTATCTCACATTCCTCGGGCCAAGGCCATCATAATAAATCTGGTCTCTACAAAAATTTCACACTCTTTCAGTCTTCCAGTTTGGATCCCGCTCCCCCCGCCTCCCTCTGATCTCTCCCTCCCCTCCCCTCCTCACTGTGTTTCCGACTCACCCCCTCCCTGACCCCGCCCCCCTCTGACAGCCACATTGGACCGGCAGCCAGAGGTGCTCATCCCGAGAAAAAAATCCGTGGTTTATAAAAAGCACAATGTTTTCTATCCAACTGTCTGTTGTAACCTGTATGTTATTGCTCTCTGCTGTTTATTCTACTGTTTGTCGCATGGCGCCGGAAAAATGGCGCCGTGGCAAGAGCTCTGGTGTGTGTCGTCTCTGTCTGGCGCACACCGGGGTAGTCTTGCACAGTTTTTCCAATGTGGTTTTACTGCAAATGGCAAATAAATGAATCTGAATCTGAATCTTTGTAACGTCTGAATGTCTACACACATACGCACAGAGACACACACACACAGAGATACACACAGAGACACACACACACACAGAGACACACACATATACACACAGAGAGATACACACACACAGATACACACACACACAGAGACACATACACACACAAACACAGAGAGAAAGGGAGAGAACATGCAAATAGTGCAGGTTAGTACAGGGTTAAAGTCATGTTTTTATTCGTTTGTATTTCACATTAGAAAATATGTTCATTATTAGTCACAGAAAATACTACAGTATGAGCTGTGAACACACAATCGTAAACACACAGTTTTAACAAACACCATTTGATTCATTGGTTTTAAAAAGTGAAGAATCAGAATTATTATTATTACTATTATTATTATTATTACCTACAAACACTACAAACTGTACACACATGAGCACATGAACACATGAACACACATGAGCACACATGAACACACATGAACACACATGAACACACATGAACACACATGAGCACACACAAACACACACGAGCACACATGAACAACATGAACACACATGAGACACACATGAGCACACATGAGCACATGAACACACATGAGCACACACATGAACACACATGAGCACACATAAGCACATGAACACATGAGCACATGAACACACATGGGCACACATGAGAACACATGAGCACACATGAACACACATGAACACACATGAGCACACATGAGCACACATGAACACATGAACACACATTGACACATGACACATGAGCACACATGAACACATGAACACACATGAGCACACATGAACACATGAACACACATGAACACATGAGCACACATGAACACACATGAGCACACATGAGCACACATGAACACACATGAACACACATGAGCACACATGAGCACACATGAGCACACATGAGCACACATGAACACACATGAACACACATGAGCACACATGAGCACGCATGAGCACACATGAACACACATGAACACATGAGCACATGAACACATGAACACACATGAACACACATGAACACATGAACACACATGAGCACACATGAGCACACATGAACACACATGAGCACACATGAGCACACATGAACACAGGCAGTGAAGAGACAGATTCAGTCTACTGCAAGGAATGTTTATGTGATGAGGTCACGTGGAGCCACAACGAGAGCCGTCCATAAATACATAAATAATACTCTAATCTGTAGATAATACTCTCACATCTGTAGATAATACTCTCACACCTGTAGATAATACTCTCACATCTGTAGATAATACTCTTACCGTCTCTCCAGAGCTCGGACACAAACTTGTCAGAGGACTGATGCAGGAGCGTGGCCACGTTATCGTTCAGAGGATCCATGTTCTTCATCAGCCACTCGTCTGCTTTGTAGTCAACCTGCAGGAGACACACACTGTGAGACACACAACACTGTGAGAGACACACAGACTGTGAGAGAGACACACAGACTGTGAGAGAGACACACAACACTGTGAGAGACAAACACACTGTGAGAGAGACACACAACACTGTGAGAGACACACAACACTGTGAGAGACACACACTGTGAGGCACACAACACTGTGAGAGACACACAGACTGTGAGAGAGACACACAACACTGTGAGAGACAAACACACTGTGGGAGACACACACAACACTGTGAGAGACACACAACACTGTGAGACATACACACACCGTGAGAGAGACACACACACAGGTGAGGAGAGACGGTTGTAATGGTAACGGTTGTCATAGTGATGGTTACTATGGCTATAGTCACCATGGAGCCGTTACTATGACAACAGTCGCCATGTCAACCATTGCTATGGCAATAGTCACCCTAGCAACCATTTTAGCAACCGTTGGCAATCATTGTGCATCACTATGGCAACTGGAAACACTCCCAAAAGGTGTGACAGTGATGGTTACTAGTGTCATGGTAACCATCACTATGACATCCATTACCACGGCAACCGTTGCAGGAGGAGCACAGTACTGAGAGGCAGCTGGAAGATCTTCTAACAGAGCATTTCCCTGCAATGCCCTGTCTACTTTAGAGTACTGTAGAATACTGTAAAGTACTGTAGATTACTGTAGAGTACTGTAGAGTACTGTAGAATACTGTAGAGTACTGCAGAGTACTGTAGAATACTGTAGAGTACTGTAGAATACTGTAGAATACTGTAGAGTACTGTAGAATACTGTAGAGTACTGTAGAATACTGTAGAATACTGTAGAGTACTGTAGAGTACTGTAGAATACTGTAGAGTACTGTAGAGTACTGTAGAATACTGTATAATACTGTAGAGTACTGTAGTATACTGTAGAGTACTGTAGAAGACTGTAGAATACTGTAGAGTACTGCAGAGTACTGCAGAATACTGTAGAGTACTGTAAAATACTGTAAAATACTGTAGAGTACTGTAGAATACTGTAGAGTACTGCAGTATACTGTAGAATACTGTAGAGTACTGTAGAGTACTGCAGTATACTGTAGAATACTGTAGAGTACTGTAGTATACTGTGTAAGTAAGTATGTAATGTTTATTTATATACCGCCTTTCACAGACCAGAGTCACAAAGCGGTTTACAATTGTTATTTTTTGGGCACTTGTCCTCTCACTCCACACAGAGATGGGAGCGGGGTCGCCGAACAGGAGGTGCATGCCAGACCTATTGTACATGGTTTTAGTGGTAGGGGAAACCGGAGTACCCGGAGGAAACCTACGCAGACACGGGGAGAGCATACAAACTCCACTCAGAAAGGCCCTGGTCCGACCGGGATTTGAACCCAGGACCTGGAATATTGTAGAGTACTGTAGAATACTGTAAAATACTGTAGAATACTGTAGTATACTGTAGAGTACTGTAGAATACTGTAGAGTACTGTATAGTACTGTAGAATACTGTAAAGTACTGTAGAGTACTGTAGAATACTGTAGAGTACTGTAGAGTACTGTAAAATACTGTAGAGTACTGTAGAATACTGTAGAGTACTGTAGAATACTGTAGAGTACTGTAGAGTACTGTAGAGTACTGTAGGATACTGTAGAGTACTGTAGAGTACTGTAGAATACTGTAGAGTACTGTAGAGTACTGTAAAATACTGTAGAATACTGTAGAGTACTGTAGAATACTGTAGAGTACTGTAGAGTACTGTAGAATACTGTAGAGTACTGTAGAGTACTGTAGAGTACTGTAGAATACTGTAGAGTACTGTAGAGTACTGTAGAATACTGTAGAGTACTGTAGAGTACTGTAGAGTACTGTAGAATACTGTAGAGTACTGTAGAGTACTGTAGAGTACTGTAGAGTACTGTAGAATACTGTAGAATACTGTAGAATACTGTAGGATACTGTAGAATACTGTAGAGTACTGTAGAGTACTGTAGAATACTGTAGAATACTGTAGAGGTCTGGACCCTCATCCTAACGAGCGACTGCTCAGGTCTGGACTCACTCACTTCAAATGAAACATGATTTCATTTGGGGTTTAATTACTCAATTAATTACTTCATTTTTCACTCTTTTTTCTTTTAACTTTATGATAAATTTGGTCCTTTCCAAGCCGCCATTTAACTTTAGTCTGAAAGTCCTTGTTACTGCCAACATCATTGTCACCACTTCTTTATGAAAGATCATTAGACCGTAGTTGAATGGTCTAATGATCTATGTCATGATCTTTTCTGCTGCTGTACCATAAGTTTAAACCATAGGCTCCTCAGTCCTCGTTCTACAACCTGAGTCCTGGGTCAACAACCTCAGTGATTGACAGGAGGCAGAGTGGATCCACACACACACACACACGCAAACACACACACAGACAGACAGACACACACAGACACACACACACAGACAGACACACACACAGACACACACACACAGACAGACACACACACAGACACACACACACGCAGACGCACACACACACAGACAGACACACACACAGACACACACACACAGACAGACACACACACAGACACACACAGACACACACACACACAGACACACACACACACAGACAGACACACACACTGTGGTGGCTGGAGGTAAAAGCTGTGTTCAGACCACCAAAGCTGGAACGCTGAAGCCTCGCTCACCAGACGCACATTCTCTAGTGTTCAGACGCACGGGACTTCACACCAGAATGTCCTGGCCAGCGCCGGAAGTGGCGGAAGTAGCAGACGGACTTTGATGCTACAGTAGGTCCCATTTCGTTTTGTCGTCTTCATTCACGCTTTTCATGAATCACGCAGCTGCGTGAAACATATTACATCTTATCGCCACAAGGTGGCAGGTTAAGTCCGCTTTAGCTCTGCCAGCGACTTAAACGCCCAGGTATAAGTCTGCGTGCAAACATTGTTTGCCTAGTGATACTATGTTGGCCGAATGGTTTGAGTTGCAGGTTATGATCTGGGGGATTTGGGTTTGATTCTTGTCTGAGGCATTTTTGGTTGCACACCTTTTGATTGCTTGTGTGCAATTACGTAACGTTATCAGCTTGTTATCTTCTTTCCTTGTCAAAAGGATTTGTTGCTCACTTCGGGCCTATCAAAACGCGGTTTAAAGTCAAAGGATTGACTCTGTAAAACACTGTACTAACTTACTGCACTGTATTGTAAGTACTGTAACAATACAATTGTATTTTACTTTATTACTTATTTTTACTTCTTATTTTTTAATAAAAACACTTCTTCTCAAAAGTTCCTTTCTGACTTCTTCTACAGTATGGGATAGCCAGCAGCAAGTGCGTTATTGAACATGAAACAAGAACATGGAACAAAACAAACACGAGTGTACACTGTATTCTGAATACTTTTACTTTGGCTGTGTATAATTACAAAAATTTAAACTACACATGTTACATATAGCTACCATTAATTAGGAATTCTAAAATGCACAGGAGTAGCAGATCATATGGCAAACATTTGCATTAACTTGCATATAAGGCATTTTAAGCGTCCCGCACATACGCACGGCTCATTCACTCAGCGCTCTGTCCTATTAGATCCTGGGTTTTCTCCAGCGCCTGTGTGGCGTAGCAGGATTGTCCAAGACTTTCGCTTGGACGATCGGGGTTCGAGCCCCAACCAATCCTCAAATTTTATTAGCGGGGGGAGTATATGAATCAGATTACTCCGTTACTGAATAAAGTTGCATTTTTTTCCTGCAGTTTGGTTGGTGCAGATTGTGAAGTTTACAACAGTTTACTACAGTCTAGCAACTATTTTAAATGTGTTGGCCTAATTACTAAGTTTTTTTATTTAACACTGGAGAAAACGTGCTCGGTGTGAGTTAAGAGGTTAAAAGCAGAAGATTTTCCGACAATGTTCCTAACCCTGCAAAGATAAAAAGCCAGTACAAAAGTGGAATAATTTTATCTTCATAACTTGGTGCTGATTGTGGAGTTGTATCAAAAGTCTTTAACTTGTACTCGAACCCAGGTCCTCCTGCGCCAAAGACTTGAGCTTTATGACTGGGTGTCATAAAGCTCAAGGTGACACTGCTCACAAGTGCCACCTGGTGGTTGTTTGGGTCATTGCAGCATCACTGGGGGAAAAAAAAATAAGGGCTGGAAGCCGCCAAAAAGACTGTTTGGAAGCCTCAAAAGGGGCGATTTTTTGTCATTTTTATAGTAATAATAAAGATGCGCTATAAATTCAGCTGCGTTTGAACAAATTATGCAAACTGTTTTGATACATTAGAAAAATCTTTCGAATTGGTAGAAGTGAAAAATATAGATGATTGAATGAATGAATAATTCATATAAATTATGCAGCGTGGCTCTGAATGAATGCGTCTGCACGTCTTGGGACGCAAGCCTGGCTCGGGGTAAAGTGCGCATTTGAGGACTGTACAACTTCAGAGAGCGTTTGCGGTCCACATTTCACAAGTAAACTCTGGAGCTAGGGGTGGCGATATGGCCTAAAATTCATATCGCTGTAATGATTTGGGTCACAGACGGGAGACGGTATACATCACCGGTATAAGTTTGGTGTGGTGAATTTCAATATAGTTTTAGCCCGTTTCTTGCATAAAATAGTCCAAGATTGTTACTTATCTATACATTAAATCTGAAATATATTTTTTGAGTTTTGAAAATCAGTTCAGAGACAAATGCTGTAACATACATATTATATGTATGTTAACAGTAGAGGAAAGACCATTAACTGTGAAGCAATATTTAAATAATAGTAAAATATTTAAAATAAAAATCTGTAGCAGGTAGACAGGTCCTTATTTAAGGGTAGAGTTAGTGCGTATGCCTGGCTTCAGTAAAAACAATTGTTCGTTTTACAAAGCTAGTCTTGCCATTTGTTGACGCCCTCCCGAAAGCGCTTGCTGGGAACTGGGATGATTCAATGATTTATCCTGCATTAAAAAACAGCGCATTTGATTGAACCGATGATTTAAAAGCTCATTTTGGCACAATTAATTGCTGTTTAACAAAGTAGCTTTCGTGATCTAATGACGCGGAAGTCTGAATCGGACCTTACTTTAACAAAACTTATGAGGATTATGCGGACACGCAACAAGCATGATCTATTTCGGCTCACGATGGCCTTCCGAGCTACCGCCCTTTGACACTCATTGGCCGAAAGTAACAATGTAAACTGTGATACTGTGTGTGTATTACCTCTGCTGTGGCCGCAGTGACAACAATACAGAGCAGAAACACGGTGTGAAAGCCGTGGCTGTTGTTTCCAGTGGTGTCTGCTAGAGCTATTGTGCTAGGCTAATGCTGCTCGAATGGTTTTGTTTAGGTCCCTTTCTTGTCTGGCCGTCCCAGACCTGCGCAATTTGATGCCATAATGACCTATCGCTATATGCCGGTATAACAAAAATCTCTACCGTGGGCCAAATTTATACCCATACCGCTATACCGTTTATACCGGCCCCCCCTACTGGAGCCAAAAACTTCTGCACATTGGCCGACCCTCTTCTAGGCACTCGCTGCGCACTTTTTGACAGGCAGTGAACATGGTGAGTGACATACAGCGATGCTTATTGGGGTGTGTTCTGGGGTGAGCTTACACAAATCTAATGAAATAACACATTGCTTGACCAGATGTAATGAGTAAATACAAATAGCCGTGCGTAATTACCAGCGCAGAGCCCTGCCACAGCAATAGATGGGTCACTCTCCCAGTTGCGATAAAGTGTAGTTATATGAGAGCCTGACTGTCCAGGATCACAAAGCCTCAAATTTTAAAAACATACAATCAAAAATAATACCACACCACATGTCAGCTTTAATAGAGGGTCCTCATCATGAGCTGTGATTTATTCAAGTGTGGGGCGTTTTCCATTAGACTTTTCTGATCGCAAATTCAAATTTTGAAACATGATCCTCAAGGAAACACAGCGTATAAGTTTTGGCCAGAGGAATATGTTTATTGGTAGTCCTATCTTTGAATTTCATGCTGTATTGGCGTGTTGTGCCGAAGGTTGATTCACTGATATAGATTTACACCACCGCCAGACCTGGCGTATATTGTTGGCGTATTGTACGATCACGTCCAGATAGATAAATGCGGAAAAAGTAATGTTTTGCGTACGCCGCATTTACCCCTGATTTGTCCGTACCAGTTCATACATGAGGCCCTCAGTGTGTCTCACACAGGCCTAGATTTTAACCTCATTCAGTGCGAGCCAGCTGGCCTGACTCCTCCTCTGGGAACTACGGCCCGGCTCTGGCCTAACTCTTCATCCACAAAGTCCAGCCAAAGCTGAAACTGTCCTAAAACTAAAATGAAAAAGGCTGCTCTGTTGTGAATGCTTTGAGAGCTTGTCAATCTTAAGACGAGGAATAAGCTGTTGTTTCTCGCTTCACCTGTGATATGATATTGGACAAAATTGTTCAGCCCAATTAGTTTTTTTATTCTAGTTTTATTAAAAACAGGAACTATAGTTGAAGCTACTAGGAACGTGATGATGCTCATTGGGTATATTATTATTATAATTATGATTATTATTATTCCCCCCCCTGTAGGAGCCAAATTAACTTTTCAATATTTGTGAAAATCTGAGCGGTTCCCAATTGGTATTTAAAAATGGAAACCTAATTAAACAATCATGAATTGAGCTTTTCTGATCTATTTTACACTGAATCCTTGGATCATTTTTTTCTTAAAGTTTCAATGTTGTAAAAATGCTATGGTTGAATTGGTTTATTTAACAACTTTGAACTGTAGACTCCAATGTGCAGTGAAAAGGCGGTATATAAATAAAGATTACTTACTACTACTACTACTACTACTTACTATATATATCCATCTAACCCTAGTTTTGATGTATACTTATAGGTATAGGTCTTTATCTCTCGTTTTCATGTATACTGAGGTCTCTATCTCTCTTTTTCATGTATACTGAGGCCTCTATCTCTCTTTGTGGATACATACTGTAGAACTCTTACTCAGTTCTTCTGCCAGAGCGGTGCTGGCCGGGGACTGGTTCTGGCCGGTCTTACACGAGGAGCTCAGAGCCGTAATTAATTCACAAACACACGACAAAAGGCGACAAAAGGACTGTGCTAATTTTCTCTGGCATCGCGGCTCGCCTCCTCCATGACTCACACGTTCACTTTTTGGAACTAAACCCAGTCAGTCCGTCCGAGAGCCCGATCCAGACAATTACAAGGCAGCTTTCGCGATTAGCTAGCAGTGCCATGTTAGCCATTTGCATTCTCAGCAATAGACAATGTTTATTATTGATTTGTGTGTCGCTGTGAAGTCTCTCGGAGCTGTGATGACATTCTCAAAGGGCGATTGTTTTTGGCGGCGACGGGAGGTGGGATTTTTTCATCTTTCAATCATTTTTGTGTAAGGCCAAGAAACAGACGCCGCATCGATCCGTCTGCGGGAAAGGCAGAAAATACAGATCAGGCTCCAGGCGACGGCCACGAAAAACAAAAGAGACAAGAGACAGGGGAGGACGGCAGCTGCAGGAGCCAAGTACAGTTACTTTTACTCACATACATAGGTTTTGTGAGGCTTTACGCGAGGGGATTTTCAGTGTTGCATCACCAATTAGACAGTAGGAACTCAAAAGATGAATAATAACTCTACAACAGTCAGATCTCTAACTCTAGCATAGCAATTAGCCGCAGAAAAATCTCTCTCTTTAGTCAAGCCCCGGCGATCCAAGATGGCGTCCTATTCAAATCAATGGCCATGGGAACCGAAAGATCAGCGGAACTCGCCCATATTTGGTCGTTTCTCGGGTCCTCCCGGTTCTGAGCAGTGGACGAGATCCCATGATGCTTTGGGAAAACAAGCAGAGTTTGCGGCACTGAATTATAGAATCAAACAAACTTGATTCAGTGCTTTTCAGACGCCTTTAAGGTTAAAATTAAATAAATAAAAATATATAAACAGGAAACAGCCCGGTGATAAAAACACAGGTGTAGTTAGGCCCGAGCCCAGACTGCAGTGAGGGTTATTTGTGTTTTATTTTGGTATTTAAGTCCACAATAAAGTCGTTTTGAATCGTTGAGAAGTGGGCCCTGATTTTTCTACTTTTTCCTTTTCTCTCAATTGTTTTACTTTCAATAGTTCATTTAATTTGGACGATGCTTGTAATCAGAGGTGTGGACTCGAGTCATGTGACTTGGACTCGAGTCAGACTCGAGTCATGATTTTGATGACTTTAGACTCGACTTGACCAAATATAAAAAGACTTGCAACTCGACTTGGACTTTAACATCAATGACTCTGACTTTCACTTGGACTTGCGCCAATTGACTTGCAAAGACTTGCGTAACCCGGGCCATTTTTACCTTTCTCCGCATCTCTCTTTCTATCTATGCCGTCTCTGAAGAAACAAAGCCTCGCGGTAGTTGTAGCGCTCGCGCGAGAGTTCGAACGTGAGTTCCCCGCAGTTCGCGCAGCAACACTTCCCTAAACAAGCGGACTGCATTCACCGGTGGGTGTGTTGTCGTAGGGGAGCTGGAAACGAGCGAGCTGCAGGTATTTATCGCGACCTAACGTCATACTTTGTTCTACAAACCGTAATTGATATGCTTTCACTACAGGCGCCTCATACAATTGAATCGACGCAGTTGTCACACTGTGTGCCGTGTTTTAAAGAGGAACTGGTGAGTCAAACTAGCGCTAGCCTGCGCTGCTCTGTTGGCTCTTTCTTATATTTTTCTGTGTGGGCGCCGAGGCCTATTATTATGAGTATGTTTTTGCTGTGCTCCTCCTGCTAAAGTTTGCATACATTAGATAGTTGTTTTGATTATGTGCACTAAGCTAGATTAATATTTGCACTATTGTTTATGGTTCATTGATATGAGAATCAGTACTTTGACTGATTGAATTAATTTATATGAGACATTTTATTATGTAATGATATATTGGTAATTATGAGATATTACTAATACAGGCCAGGTTCCTTCCCCTCCATTGGTCCCTTCAGTCCTTTGGAACAATAACCACTATGGACATTAAACTGATTATATAGATACAGGTCCTAGCCCAATACTCATTCATATATGCTGCACTTGCTACTTCCCATTAAAAACCCCAAAGATAAAAAGTATGTTGACACGGACTGCTCTGATTTTATGTGTGGTCTGTGCATGTGTAACTGAGCCTGCATCTGGCACAACATCCAATTAGATCACGTAGATAGTTTTGATTTACCAGCAGCCAACGACATGGAACAAACTGTTAGTCCATGGGTCAGAGACCAACGAGAATGCACCAGCAAAATGATTCCTAACATTATTTTGTTTGCCTACAAAAGTACGTGGAGACCAACAAGAAACAAATCGCGGTCAAAAAGACTCGAGAGGACTCGAAAGTCAAACCGTAGGACTTGGGACTGACTTGAGATTTGTTGGCCTTTGACTTGGACTCGACTCGGGACTTGCCTGTCTTGACTCGTGACTTGACTCGGGACTTGAGGGCAATGAATTGAGACTGACTTGTGACTTGCTAAACAATGACTTTGTCCCACCTCTGCTACATGCTACATGCTAGACGGTAGATAGTAAATGCTAGATGCTACATGCTAAATGGTAAATGCTAAAAGTTAGATGCTACATACTAGATGGTAGATGCTAAATGCTAAATGCTAAAAGCTAGATGCTACATACTAGATGGTAGATGCTAAATGCTAAATGCTGCATGCAGAGCACTGACAGGCCTCTCGATGAGCTCGATGCAGGGCTGCAGGTCCAGACCAAAGTCGATGAAGTTCCAGTCGATGCCCTCGCGCTGGTACTCCTCCTGCTCCAGCACGAACATGGTGTGGTTAAACAGCTGCTGCAGCTTCTCGTTGGTGTAGTTTATACACAGCTGCTCGAACGAGTTCAGCTGAAACAGAAGCAGCGACGCTTAGAACAGAAGACCACCGTTTCTCTCTTTCTCTAACCCATTTCAACAACAGCCCTGGCAACATTTGACTCCTTCTGTGTTTTTAGTGTGGATGGTTGGAAGCCTGTGATTGGTTGGTTGTAACGTATTCTAAAATAATGACTAAACGTTTTCGTGTCACTCTGTGTTGCTTCTGCTGCTCTTAAAGCTGAGGTATATAACTTCTTAACAATTCCAACCACAGGATGTAATCATCCTTCTTTAGTTCTAACATAAATACACTTCTGTAACGTTGATGGAACAGAAGTAAGTCGTATTTATTTGAATGTAGAGTCTGTGGCTCGTACTTGGAAGATCTCGAAGCCGGCGATGTCCAGGATCCCGATGAAGGAGGCGCCCTGTCTCTTGGTGCGGTCCAGGGCTTTGTTAATGCGATGGACCAGCCAACGGAACAGACGCTCATATGTAGCTTTAGCCAGGGCCTCCACCGCAAAGTCAGCCTGTGGGGGGGTCACAGGAGTCAGGAGGGGGCAACAGGAGTCAGGGGGGGGGGGGGGGGGCACAGGAGTCAGGGGGAGGGGGGGGCAACAGTATCTGACTGGAAACAAACAGTGATAATGGAAGTGAAATAAAGTCTGTATCATTCACAAAAAGAGCAAGAATTGCTCCAATAAGTAACAGCCTCCAAACACTTGATGACTGACAATTAGAGTCTGGATTCTGGTGGAAGGTATTTTGGACCATTCTTCTTTGATGGATTTAGAGCATGGACAGTCTGATTTAAGCCACATTTTAAATTCAGGTCTGAGACTGAGGTGATCCAGAGCGTGTACTTGACCCACAGACATTTTTTCCCCAAACTCAGTGTTTATAGATTCCTTGGAATGTATTCAATCCGTATCCGATGTGTTTCTTTGAAGGTGGATCAGTGTAAAAAGGTTTGTGACATCACCTGCTCCTTGGTCTGTGCTTTCTGAACGTAGTCTCGTCCCACTTTGATCCTAGGCGTGAGGATGGCTCTGGTGAACTCCATCACATTCAGGCCCAAGAGATGGCACAGCTTCTGGGCCACTGCGGGACACAAGCAGGACAGAGATAGAGACAGAAGCAGAGGCAGAGACAGAGACAGAGACAGAGACAGAGAGGCAGAGACAGAGACAGAGACAGAGAGGCAGAGACAGAGACAGAGAGGCCGAGACAGAGACAGAGACAGAGAGGCAGAGACAGAGACAGAGAGGCAGAGACAGAGACAGAGACAGAGGCAGAGACAGAGACAGAGACAGAGAGGCAGAGACAGAGACAGAGAGGCAGAGACAGAGACAGAGACAGAGGCAGAGAGGCAGAGACAGAGACAGAGGCAGAGACAGAGACAGAGGCAGAGACAGAGAGGCAGAGGCAGAGACAGAGACAGAGACAGAGGCAGAGACAGAGAGGCAGAGGCAGAGACAGAGACAGAGGCAGAGACAGAGAGGCAGAGACAGAGACAGAGACAGAGACAGAGGCAGAGACAGAGACAGAGACAGAGGCAGAGACAGAGACAGAGACAGAGGCAGAGACAGAGAGGCAGAGGCAGAGACAGAGAGGCAGAGACAGAGGCAGAGGCAGAGACAGAGACAGAGACAGAGACTCTAAATAAATAAATAAATAAATGTCACATGAACTGTACCTGTGTTTTCAGGAATAGAAGCTTGGTCTGAGTTCCTTTCTTTCTTAAACACGATGTTCCCAAACTGCAGCACGGACGACACCACCTTCAGCATCCCTGGAACACAGAGCTCTACACTCAGAGACACAGAGACAGAGACACAGAGACACAGAGACACAAAGACAGAGACACAGAGACACAGAGACACAGAGACAGAGAGACAGTGAGACACAGAGACACAGAGACACAGAGACAGAGAGACAGAGAGACACAGAGACACAGAGACACAGACACAGAGACACAGAGACACAGAGACAGAGAGACACAGAGACAGAGACACAGAGACACAGAGACACAGAGACACAATGAGACAGAGAGACAGAGAGACAGAGAGACACAGAGACAGAGAGACACAGAGACAGAGACACAGAGACACAGAGACACAGAGACACAGAGACACAATGAGACAGAGAGACAGAGAGACAGAGAGACACAGAGACACAGAGACACAGAGACACAGAGACACAGAGACAGAGAGACAGAGAGACAGAGAGACACAGAGACACAGACACAGAGACACAGAGACACAGAGACAGAGAGACACAGAGACAGAGACACAGAGACACAGAGACACAGAGACACAGAGACACAATGAGACAGAGAGACAGAGAGACAGAGAGACACAGAGACACAGAGACAGAGAGACACAGAGACAGAGACACAGAGACACAGAGACACAATGAGACAGAGAGACAGAGAGACAGAGAGACACAGAGACACAGAGACACAGAGACACAGAGACACAGAGACAGAGAGACAGAGAGACACAGAGACACAGACACAGAGACACAGAGACACAGAGACAGAGAGACACAGAGACAGAGACACAGAGACACAGAGACACAGAGACACAATGAGACAGAGAGACAGAGAGACACAGAGACACAGAGACAGAGAGACACAGAGACAGAGACACAGAGACACAGAGACACAGAGACACAATGAGACAGAGAGACAGAGAGACAGAGAGACACAGAGACACAGAGACACAGAGACACAGAGACACAGAGACAGAGAGACAGAGAGACACAGAGACACAGACACAGAGACACAGAGACACAGAGACAGAGAGACACAGAGACAGAGACACAGAGACACAGAGACACAGAGACACAGAGACACAGAGACACAGAGACAGAGAGACACAGAGACAGAGACACAGAGACACAGAGACACAGAGACACAGAGACACAGAGACACAATGAGACACAGAGACACAGAGACACAGAGACACAGAGACACAGAGACAGAGAGACAGAGAGACACAGAGACACAGACACAGAGACACAGAGACACAGAGACAGAGAGACACAGAGACACAGAGACACAGAGACACAGAGACACAATGAGACAGAGAGACAGAGAGACACAGAGACACAGAGACACAATGAGACAGAGAGACAGAGAGACAGAGAGACACAGAGACACAGAGACACAGAGACACAGAGACAGAGAGACAGAGAGACACAGAGACACAGACACAGAGACACAGAGACACAGAGACAGAGAGACACAGAGACAGAGACACAGAGACACAGAGACACAGAGACACAGAGACAGAGAGACACAGAGACAGAGACACAGAGACACAGAGACACAGAGACACAGAGACACAGAGACACAATGAGACAGAGAGACACAGAGACACAGAGACACAGAGACACAGAGACACAATGAGACAGAGAGACAGAGAGACAGAGAGACACAGAGACACAGAGACACAGAGACACAGAGACAGAGAGACAGAGAGACAGAGAGACACAGAGACACAGACACAGAGACACAGAGACACAGAGACAGAGAGACACAGAGACAGAGACACAGAGACACAGAGACACAGAGACACAGAGACACAATGAGACAGAGAGACAGAGAGACACAGAGACACAGAGACACAGAGACAGAGAGACAGAGAGACAGAGAGACACAGAGACACAGACACAGAGACACAGAGACACAGAGACAGAGAGACACAGAGACAGAGACACAGAGACACAGAGACACAGAGACACAGAGACACAATGAGACAGAGAGACAGAGAGACACAGAGACACAGAGACACAGAGACAGAGAGACAGAGAGACACAGAGACACAGAGACACAGAGACAGAGAGACACAGAGACAGAGACACAGAGACACACAAACACAGAGACACAGAGACACACAAACACAGAGACAGAAAGAACCAGACTCACCCATGATCTCCTCGTGGGAGAAGCCCATGATGTGCATGGCGTCCATTGTCTCCTGGAAGTTGTCCTTGTCCTGTTGTCCCGGGATCGGGAGGTTCCCATTGGACAAGAAGCGATAGTTGTTAAAGCTTTCCAGGAGAAGATCAGCTACAACGGGAACGACAAGACGGTCAGCAGCAGAGACTACAGACAAGACGGTCAGCAGCAGAGACTACAGACAAGACGGTCAGCAGCAGAGACTACAGACAAGACGGTCCAGCAGCAGAGACTACAGACAAGACGGTCAGCAGCAGAGACTACAGACAAGACGGTCAGCAGCAGAGACTACAGACAAGACGGTCAGCAGCAGAGACTACAGACAAGACGGTCAGCAGCAGAGACTACAGACAAGACGGTCAGCAGCAGAGACTACAGACAAGACGGTCAGCAGCAGAGACTACAGACAAGACGGTCAGCAGCAGAGACTACAGACAAGACGGTCAGCAGCAGAGACTACAGACAAGACGGTCAGGAGCAGAGACTACAGACAAGACGGTCAGCAGCAGAGACTACAGACAAGACGGTCAGGAGCAGAGACTACAGACAAGACGGTCAGCAGCAGAGACTACAGACAAGACGGTCAGCAGCAGAGACTACAGACAAGACGGTCAGCAGCTACTGTAAAGAGGGTCAGGAGCTACAGTAGAGAGTCAGGAGCTACAGTAGAGGGTCAGGAGCTACAGTAGAGAGTCAGGAGCTACAGTAGAGGATCAGGAGCTACAGTAGAGAGTCAGGAGCTACAGTAGAGAGTCAGGAGCTACAGTAGAGAGTCAGGAGCTACAGTAGAGGGTCAGGAGCTACAGTAGAGAGTCAGGAGCTACAGTAGAGAGTCAGGAGCTACAGTAGAGAGTCAGGAGCTACAGTAGAGAGTCAGGAGCTACAGTAGAGAGTCAGGAGCTACAGTAGAGAGTCAGGAGCTACAGTAGAGGGTCAGGAGCTACAGTAGAGGGTCAGGAGCTACAGTAGAGGGTCAGGAGCTACAGTAGAGAGTCAGGAGCTACAGTAGAGGATCAGGAGCTACAGTAGAGTCAGGAGCTACAGTAGAGAGTCAGGAGCTACAGTAGAGGGTCAGGAGCTACAGTAGAGAGTCAGGAGCTACAGTAGAGGGTCAGGAGCTACAGTAGAGAGTCAGGAGCTACAGTAGAGGGTCAGGAGCTACAGTAGAGGGTCAGGAGCTACAGTAGAGAGTCAGGAGCTACAGTAGAGAGTCAGGAGCTACAGTAGAGGGTCAGGAGCTACAGTAGAGGGTCAGGAGCTACAGTAGAGAGTCAGGAGCTACAGTAGAGGGTCAGGAGCTACAGTAGAGAGTCAGGAGCTACAGTAGAGGGTCAGGAGCTACAGTAGAGAGTCAGGAGCTACAGTAGAGAGTCAGGAGCTACAGTAGAGAGTCAGGAGCTACAGTAGAGAGTCAGGAGCTACAGTAGAGGGTCAGGAGCTACAGTAGAGGGTCAGGAGCTACAGTAGAGAGTCAGGAGCTACAGTAGAGAGTCAGGAGCTACAGTAGAGAGTCAGGAGCTACAGTAGAGAGTCAGGAGCAGACACTGACTTCGTAGATGTTCTCCGGCTCCTGCCAGGAGTCTGTAGAAGATGTGGAAGGTCCTCTCCTCTTTGGCCTGTCTGATGGCTCTGGACTTCTCCAACAGGTCTGAGGGTTAAGAACCAACAACCATCTGCATCTACTCCCCAAAACACACACTCAATTAGTTTTTTCCTCAAATTCATTCATTCATTCATCCATCCATGCGTTCATGTTCTTCTTTCCTCAATTGCAGCAGCTCCTCCAGGTTTCACGGTGAGGACTTTTTCATTATTAGGCCCGAGCCCCGAACGGGGAAAGGGCCTATTGTTTTTGCTCGAGAGATGTCAAATTCTGCACTTTTAGCCTTAATTTGACCCCCTGAACATGCATGAAAAGTTGTAAAATTTTGCCCAAACATCACACCTGGTGAAAAATTTGATATTTGGGTGTTTATTTTTATGGGACTCAAAAAATGCCAGAACAGCGCCACCTACAACAGCCAATGAGAGTTTCAGAGGTCAAGTTTGTCGTAGAGCCATGAAATTCGGTACACATGTTCCTCAAGTCAAGATACGACCGAAATGTTATCATGGCTCCGCCCTCTGACAAACAGGAAGCCCATAAATTTCACTGCAAAATGGAAAAATGATCCGCAATCATTTTCATACATGTCGGTTGGAAAGCGACTCCTCCTCGGCCGTTTTACCGATTGGCCTCCATATCACTCCACATTGTCTAAACACATGTACCATCAAAATGACCCCAGGGATTTTTGATCAGTGAAACGTTGTTTGAGCAGCGGAGCGGCAAAATGTGAGGGTTTTTTTGGCCGTTTTTGACAACATTAATTTTTTTCCCGTGTGCACAAACAAAAATTGATTTGCATTAAACTTTAATCCATTGTTCAACTCCAGGGTTTAGGTCAGGTGAAAGTGAAATATTTGAAATTGGCGCATTAGCGCCCCCTACAGACGTAGTTTACATGGGGAGTCAAACCAGCTCTACTTATCATATTCATTACAATTTGACTAACTTCTTCTATGGCTACGGGAACAAATCATCACGCGGCGGCGCCACCTCCTATGCGCGGTGCTGCGTGGTACGGTGTGGTGCGGCGCGTTGCGGCTTGGTGCGGGGTGGCTTGGCACGGGGTGGTGCGCGCGGTGCGGCGAGGGCCGTTCGACGCCGCTTGCGGCTTTAATTTTACCTGTTTTTTCTTTACATTTGTTTTCTTAGTCCCTGTGCTATCCCACTTGTCCCTGTGTGCGTTTAGTCCCTGTGCTATCCCACTTGTCCCTATGTACGTTTAGTCCCTGTGCTATCCCACTTGTCCCTGTGTGTGTTTAGTCCCTGTGCTATCCCACTTGTCCCTGTGTGTGTTTAGTCCCTGTAATATCCCACTTGTCCCTGTGTGTGTTTAGTCCCTGTGCTATCCCACTTGTCCCTGTGTGTGTTTAGTCCCTGTAATATCCCACTTGTCCCTGTGTGTGTTTAGTCCCTGTGCTATCCCACTTGCCTGTGTGTGTTTAGTCCCTGTGCTATCCCACTTGCCTGTGTGTGTTTAGTCCCTGTGCTATCCCATATGTCCCTGTGTGTGTTTAGTCCCTGTGCTATCCCACTTGCCTGTGTGTGTTTAGTTCCTGTGCTATCCCATATGTCCTTGTGTGTGTTTAGTCCCTGTGCTATCTCACTTGCCTGTGTGTGTTTAGTCCCTGTGCTATCTCACTTGCCTGTGTGTGTTTAGTCCCTGTGCTATCCCACTTGCCTGTGTGTGTTTAGTCCCTGTGCTATCCCATATGTCCCTGTGTGTGTTTAGTCCCTGTGCTATCACACTTGTCCCTGTGTGTGTTTAATCCCTGTGCTCCCCAAACCAGACCCCCTCTGGTCCCTGTGCTCCCCGATCCAAACACAGATGATAAAGTAGGATACAAGTTTCAATATTGGCCCCGACGATGTATCCAGCAACATCAAAGTTAATCCTGATGAACTTCCCCTGAAACACAGAACATACCATCAATGAGAGAGACCAGAGAGAGACCAGAGAGAGACCAGAGGGAGACCAGAGAGAGAGAGAGACCAGAGAGAGACCAGAGAGAGACCAGAGAGAGACCAGAGAGAGACCAGAGAGAGACCAGAGAGAAACCAGAGAGAAACCAGAGAGAGACCAGAGAGAGACCAGAGAGAGACCAGAGAGAGACCAGAGAGAGACCAGAGAGAGACCAGAGAGAGACCAGGGAGAGACCAGAGAGAGACCAGAGAGACCAGAGAGAGACCAGAGAGAGACCAGGGAGAGACCAGAGAGAGACCAGAGAGAGACCAGAGAGAGACCAGAGAGAGCAGAGAGAGACCAGAGAGAGCAGAGAGAGACCAGAGAGAGACCAGAGGGAGACCAGAGGGAGAGACCAGAGAGAGACCAGAGAGAGCAGAGAGAGAGACTAGAGGGAGACCGGATAATGACAGTAGAATCCTGGTTCCTGTGAAACACTGTAGTCCAGGCCTCATTACAGAGAGGAGGTGATGTCACACGCTGCAGCAGGAGCAGGAATGTGAGGCTAACTCTGCGGTCGCACATGGACACGCCGCAAATATGTGGGCCTTTCTTTATTACCGCCATCCCCCTCCCTCACCCTGCCCCCTCCCTCACCCTGCCCCCTCCCTCACTCTGCCCCTTCCCTCCCTCACCCTCCCCCTCCCCCTCACCCTCACCCTCCCTCACCCTCCCCCCTCCCTCACCCTCCCTCACTCTGCCCCCTCCCTCACCCTGTCCTCTCCCTCACCCTCACCCTCCCCCCTCCCTCACCCTCACCCTCCCTCCTCCCTCACCCTCACCCTCCCTCACCCTGTCCTCTCCCTCTCCCTCACCCTCCCTCCCCCCTCCCTCACCCTGCCCCTCCCTCACCCTCACCCTCCCTCACCCTGCCCCTTCCTCACCCTCACCCTCCCTCACCCTGTCCTCTCCCTCACCCTCACCCTCCCTCATCCTCCCCCCTCCCTCACCCTGCCCCTCCCTCACCCTCACCCTCCCTCACTCTCCCCCCTCCCTCACTCACAAATCGAGACGAGTTGTCGTTCTTCACAGTTTTAGCGTTTCCAAAAGACTCCAGGATCGGGTTTGCCTCCAACAGCTGCTGCTCCAGCTCCCCCTGAGACAGCAGGAGACATCAGGAGGCATCAGGAGACAGCAGGAGACATCAGGAGGCATCAGGAGACATGAGGAGACAGCAGGAGACATGAGGAGACAGCAGGAGGAGACAGCAGGAGGAGACATCAGGAGGAGACAGCAGGAGGAGACATCAGGATGAGACATCAGGAGGAGACAGCAGGAGGAGACAGCAGGAGACATCAGGAGGAGACAGCAGGAGGAGACAGCAGGAGACATCAGGAGGAGACATCAGGAGGAGACAGCAGGAGGAGACAGCAGGAGACATCAGGAGGAGACAGCAGGAGACATCAGGAGGAGACAGCAGGAGGAGACAGCAGGAGACATCAGGAGGAGACATCAGGAGGAGACATTAGGATGAGACATCAGGATGAGACATCAGGAGGAGACATCAGGAGGAGACAGCAGGAGGAGACAGCAGGAGGAGACAGCAGGAGGAGACATCAGGAGACAGCAGGAGACAGCAGCAAACATCAGGAGACATCAGGAGACATGAGGAGACATGAGGAGATATCAGGAGAATAACATCAGAAGAAAAAGTTATTGCTACAACATCAAAGTATCTTCCACCTGATGTGTGTGGTCATAGACACACACAGACACACACATACACACACACACACACACACACACACACGCACACACACACGCACACACGCACGCACGCACGCACGCACGCACGCACGCACGCACGCACGCACACACACACACACTAACCTGCCATTTGAAAGCTTTGGGAGATTCAGGCTGTTTGTTTAAGAGAAACAGAAGTGTTAGAGGCAGCAGAAGACCAGGAGGAGGTGACTACAGCGAGACCAGGAGGAGGTGACTACAGCGAGACCAGGAGGAGGTGACTACAGCGAGACCAGGAGGAAGTGACTACAGCGAGACCAGGAGGAGGTGACTGCAGCGAGACCAGGAGGAAGTGACTACAGCGAGACCAGGAGGAGGTGACTGCAGCGAGACCAGGAGGAGGTGACTGCAGCGAGACCAAGAAGAGGTGACTGCAGCAAGACCAGGAGGAGGTGACTGCAGCGAGACCAGGAAGAGGTGACTAGAAGAGACCAGGAGGAGGTGACTGCAGTGAGACCAGGAGGAACTGACTACAGCGAGACCAGGAGGAGGTGACTACAGCGAGACCAGGAGGAGGTGACTACAGCGAGACCAGGAGGAGGTGACTACAGCAAGACCAGGAGGAGGTGACTGCAGCGAGACCAGGAGGAACTGACTACAGCGAGACCAGGAGGAGGTGAGTACAGCGAGACCAGGAGGAGGTGACTGCAGCGAGACCAAGAAGAGGTGACTGCAGCAAGACCAGGAGGAGGTGACTGCAGCGAGACCAGGAGGAACTGACTACAGCGAGACCAGGAGGAGGTGACTACAGCGAGACCAGGAGGAGGTGCCTACAGAGAGACCAGGAGGAGGTGACTACAGCGAGACCCGGAGGAGGTGACTACAGCGAGACCAGGAGGAGGTGACTACAGCGAGACCCGGAGGAGGTGACTACAGCGAGACCAGGAGGAGGTGACTACAGCGAGACCAGGAGGAGGTGACTACAGCAAGACCCGGAGGAGGTGACTAGAGAGACCAGGAGGAGGTGACTACAGCAAGACAAGAAGGAGGTGACTACAGTGAGACCAGGAGGAGGTGACTACAGCGAGACCAGGAGGAGGTGCCTACAGAGAGACCAGGAGGAGGTGACTACAGCGAGACCTGGAGGAGGTGACTACAGTGAGACCAGGAGGAGGTGACTACAGAGAGACCAGGAGGAGGTGCCTACAGAGAGACCAGGAGGAGGTGACTACAGCGAGACCTGGAGGAGGTGACTACAGCGAGACCAGGAGGAGGTGCCTACAGAGAGACCAGGAGGAGGTGACTACAGCGAGACCTGGAGGAGGTGACTACAGTGAGACCAGGAGGAGGTGACTACAGAGAGACCAGGAGGAGGTGCCTACAGAGAGACCAGGAGGAGGTGACTACAGCGAGACCTGGAGGAGGTGACTACAGCGAGACCAGGAGGAGGTGACTACAGCAAGACAAGAAGGAGGTGACTACAGTGAGACCAGGAGGAGGTGACTACAGCGAGACCAGGAGGAGGTGACTACAGTGTTATAATGACAGATCTGGAGCGAGTCCTTGAATGAAAGAGTGATTGAAAGAGTGCCTCACGGGGATGTTGTGGTCCTTGCGTCCTTTGTGCGACGAGGCCACGTGGGCCAAGTACTGGATCACCTTCTTTGTGTTCTCGGTTTTACCAGCTCCAGATTCCCCTCTGAAAACACAGAAGATTCAGTCCTGGGTCTACAGCCTCAGGCCTGGGTCTACAGCCTCAGTCCTGCATCTACAGCCTCAGTCCTGGGTCCACAGCTTCAGTCCTGGGTCTACAGCCTCAGTCCTGCATCTACAGCCTCAGTCCTGGGTCCACAGCTTCAGTCCTGGGTCTACAGCCTCAGTCCTGCATCTACAGTCTCAGTCCTGGGTCTACAGCCTCAGTCCTGGATCTACAGCCTCAGTCCTGCATCTACAGCCTCAGTCCTGGATCTACAGCCTCAGTCCTGGGTCCACAGCCTCAGTCCTGGGTCTACAGCCTCAGTCCTGGACCTACAACATCAGTCCTGGACCTACAGCCTCAGTCCTGGGTCCACAGCCTCAGTCCTGGGTCCACAGCAGTACTTACGTGCAGAGGATGGACTGGTCCTCACGGTCTGTGGACAAACACAAACACATGGTCAGCAGAACAATAAACACATCAGGGTCACTGTTGTCTGGAGAAATAAATAAATGAATAAATACACAAAGACACACACAGACACTCACACACACACACACACACACACACACACACACACACACACACACACACACACAGACACACAGACACACACACACAGACGATGTTATGATCCAAACATCAGACCATAACATTAGATCAAAGGACTTTAAAACAGATGAAATGTGTTGAATGTATGTCCTCAATTGACCCAGTGACCTACTTTCTGTGTGGGCGTGGCTACACACGCCCACACAGAAATGTTCGTCTGGGACCGCCTCAAACATGTCACAAACAAACTTAAAACACACTTTAAATATTCAATAAAGAAGAATAATCTTCATGTCATGAAACCACAATCAGAGTCAGAGCGGGACCAGGGCTGAGCGGGACCAGGGCTGAGCGGGACCAGGGCTGAGCGGGACCAGGGCTGAGCGGGACCAGGGCTGAGCGGGACCAGGACCAGGCCTGAGCGGGACCAGGGCTGAGCGGGACCAGGGCTGAGCGGGACCAGGGCTAACCAGGACCAGGGCTGAGCGGGACCAGGGCTGAGCGGGACCAGGACCAGGGCTGAGCGGGACCAGGCCTGAGCGGGACCAGGCCTGAGCGGGACCAGGGCTGAGCGGGAGCAGGGCTGAGCGGGACCAGGCCTGAGCGGGACCAGGGCTGAGCGGGACCAGGCCTGAGCGGGACCAGGGCTGAGCGGGACCAGGCCTGAGCGGGACCAGGCCTGAGCGGGACCAGGGCTGAGCGGGACCGGGCCTGAGCGGGACCAGGGCTGAGCAGGACCAGGGTAATGATAAGTGTGTCTGAAGAGGGCGGCTCTTCATGGTTTTGGATGATAGTAAGTAATGTAATGTTTATTAATGTAGCACATTTTACAGACCAAGGTCTGTGAACTACAAACAACTACACACAAGTACACACAACTACACACAACCACAAACAACTACATACAACTACACACAACTATACACAATTACACACAACTACACACAACTACAAACAACTACAACGGCCCAAAAGCAAATTCTCCTTTTCCCATGTATTTAGTTTTGAGAAATGACCTCAGAATCATGTTTAATGTGAAGCATATGACTGAAACTGGCAGTAAATAAAACAGGCTGAACAGTAAGACTGTTATATGACCATCTGGACCCAGGAGCACGGACATGCCGGCCGTGTGCAGCCCGCGGGCCACAGCTTGGAAACCTCTCTCTGCAGTGGCTCCTTCTGAGGCTAATAAAGGATTAAATCTCATTCTCCACATTTCCCTCTGAGCCACCGTCGTAAGGACCTCACCTCCTCATCACAGTCCACACTTTAACTGCAAATACACATCAAGACCTTCTCAAAGTCTGTAAACCCTGGACCGGTTCTATCCTGGACTGGTTCAATCCTGGACTGGTTCAATCCTGGACTGGTTCAATCCTGGACTGGTTCTATCCTGGACTGGTTCTATCCTGGACTGGTTCTTTCCTGGTCTCGTCCTGGTCTCGTCCTGGTCTTGTCCTGGTCTTGTCCTGGTCTTGTCCTGGTCTCGTCCTGGTCTTGTCCTGGTCTTGTCCTGGTCTTGTCCTGGTCTCGTCCTGGTCTCGTCCTGGTCTCGTCCTGGTCTTGTCCTGGTCTCGTCCTGGTCTCATCCTGGTCTCGTCCTGGTCTCGCCCTGGTCTTGCCCTGGTCTCGTTCTGGTCTCGTCCTGGTCTCGTCCAGGTCTCGTCTTGGTCTCGTCCAGGTCTCGTCCTGGACTCGTCCTGGTCTCGTCCTGGTCTCTTCCTGGTCTCGTCCTGGTCTCGTTGTGGTCTCGCCCTGGTCTCGTCCTGGTCTTGTCCTGGTCTCGTCCTGGTCTCGTCCTGATCTCGTCCTGGTTCATTTAGTTTGTTTCTTTGTAAAAACAGAACATGAATTCACTGCAAAACTGAAGATGAGGAAATAATACTCAGATGTGTTTTTATCTGAATGTGACTGACTTTAAAAACATTCTTCAAAGGAACAGAGACTTGTTCAGGTCTTACATCTTAGAAAATCCAAAAATGAAAAAATGACATTACTTTCTTTACGATGTCAAAGGATCAAGGCTCAGATTAAAACACATTTTGACAAATTCGAGCCATTTTTGACTTATTTTCGATCACTTTTTGCAGTGACTTGGACTCATTATCTCTAAACTAATGGACACGTTTTTAATGGTAGGGGAAACCGGGGCACCTGGAGGAAACCTACACAGACACAAGGAGAACATGCAAATGCTGCTTCTCCTGGCTCCAAACACACACATGACATCCTCTCACTCTTTTCAAGCTTAATCATGTACAGAGTTATTGTGGAGGAAAATATGTTTAAACATCTAAGTTTGACCCATGACAGCATGGGTATTTTCATGATTATGAACATTGTAGATTGACACTGAAGGCATCAAACCTATGAATGAACTCATGTGAATTATGTACGTACTAAAAAAGTATGAAACAAGTGAAAATATGTGTTTTATTCTGGTTCTTCAAAGTAGCACCTTTTGCTCTGATACTGCTTCACTCTTGGCATTCTCTGGATGAGCTTCAAGAGGACCTGAAATGGTCTTCAACAGTCTTGAAGGAGTTCCCATGATGCTTAGCACTTGTTGGCCCCTTCATTCTGTGGTCCAGCCCCAAAACCATCTCACCATCACTCTCCTTATTGGTCAAACAGCCCTTACACAGCCTGGTGTGGATCTACAGGCAATAGTCATGAAAAGACACTCAGTGAAGGAGAGAGGGTATCCAAACTTTTGCTCTGTACTGTATATATATATATATATATATATATATACTGTACATATAATAAATATATAAATATGTGTATATCCAGTCCTGGGAAGCAGAGGTGGTGGATGTAGAGAACAGCAGTGACATTCTCAGACATAGGAGGAAGTGTGAGGCACCTGCTCTGTGTCACTGTCACCCCCACACTGTGATAAGAGAGGGAGGGGGAGGAGGGGGAGGAGGGGGAGGAGAGGGAGACAGGGGGAGGGGGGGAGGAAGTACAAGAGAACAGCCGGAGTCGTGAGAGAGGCCTTCTCCTGGAGGTTACATGCTTCAGAGGATCCAATAAAGTATGGTGACTCTATGATGTGACTTTGATGTGACTCTATGATGTGACTCTGAGATGTGACTCTATGATGTGACTCTGTGAGGTGACTCTATGATGTGACTCTATGATGTGACTCTATGATGTGTCTCTATGATGTGACTCTATGATGTGACTCTATGAGGTGACTCTATGAGGTGACTCTGTGAGGTGACTCTGTGAGGTGACTCTATGATGTGACTCTATGATGTGACTCTGTGATGTGACTCTGTGATGTGACTCTATGATGTGACTCTGTGATGTGACTCTGTGATGTGACTCTATGATGTGACTCTATGATGTGACTCTGTGATGTGACTCTATGATGTGACTCTATGATGTGACTCTATGAGGTGACTCTATGATGTGACTCTATGATGTCTGGTTGTTGTGTTAGAGCTGATAACGACTGCAGCAGATGAAGGATGATGTCATGTCTCAGATGTGTGATGACATCATCACAGAACACTGTGATTGGTTCATGTGCTTTTTATGTTCAGCAGCTTTCAACATCCTGAACATTCAGAGTCCCAGCAGGAGGCCAGTCCCTGTGCTCCTCAGAGTCCCAGCAGGAGGCCAGTCCCTGTACTCCCCAGAGTCCCAGCAGGAGGCCAGTCCCTGTACTCCTCAGAGTCCCAGCAGGAGGCCAGTCCCTGTGCTCCTACTTTTCTGCCAGAAACCATAACTACTAACTAGTCCCACTTGTGTCGTATTAAATGTGCTTTGAAATGATCCGAGACTCACAGACGGACAGGTCCTTGATACAAAAATACATTGAATTGGAAAACTAAGCACCGGGCACTTTATCGAGAACCAGCTTTGGTCCTGGCTGAGCACCAACCTCTGGAGATGGGTCCCGGGGCTGTTACCATAGCAGCCACTGCCCCTGATAGACGCCCGGTGGCATCAGGGTCAAATGCAGAGGAGGAATTGCTCTACGGAGATGAATAGATAAAAGTGCACCTGACCTCACAGCGAGCAGAGACGGGCCTTTAACTGGACTCAACGAAAACTGATGAAGAACTGGTTTCACTTGTTCCTTTTCAGTCACAGAGTCAGACAAGACCAGAGAGAGACCAGAGACCAGAGAGAGACCAGAGAGAGACCTGAGAGAGCAGGGAGAGACCAGAGAGAGGGCAGAGAGAGGACAGAGAGACCAGAGAGACACCTGAGAGAGCAGGGAGAGACCAGAGAGAGACCTGAGAGACCAGAGAGAGACCAGAGAGAGACCAGAGAGACCAGAGAGAGACCAGAGAGAGCAGAGAGAGACCAGAGAGAGAGACCAGAGAGAGACCAGACAGAGCAGAGAGAGACCAGACAGAGCAGAGAGAGAGCAGAGAGAGAGCAGAGAGAGCAGAGAGAGACCAGAGACCAGAGAGAGAGCAGAGAGAGAGCAGAGAGAGACCAGAGAGAGAGCAGAGAGAGACCAGAGAGAGACCAGAGAGAGACCAGAGAGAGACCAGAGAGAGACCAGAGAGAGGACAGAGAGTGCAGGGGGAGAAGGGCCCAGGTCTGCAGTGGTGCAGGCTAATGTCTGGCAGATGTGGCTCCACACAGGATCTTTGTGGAGTGTTTGTGTGTTTACTGCAGCACCTTGGACGGAGCGAGTGCCAGAGGAATCCAGAGGAATCCAGAGGAATCCAGACTTATCAGGAGATTTGAGGTCAGAAACGAGTCGGTCTGATGATAAACACAGAAAATCTGTAGAATGTGCCGTTTATCACAAAATGAGATGAAATGAGGCAGAGCTGGCATCAGCCTTGGATGAAAAGTCACGATAACAAAGACTGGATCCAGCTGCTGTGAGTGAGGAGCTCAAGCATTCCATGGAAACACAACTTTAAACCTACTGCACCACATCATGGCTCTGCACAAACTCCTTTGACAACGTTTCCCCATGAAAATTAGACTCTCTCTCTCTGGTCTCTCTCTGGTCTCTCTCTCTGGTCTCTCTCTGGTCTCTCTCTGGTCTCTCTCTGGTCTCTCTCTGGTCTCTCTCTGGTCTCTCTCTGGTCTCTCTCTTTGGTCTCTCTCTGGTCTCTATCTGGTCTCTTTCTGGTCTCTCTCTGGTCTCTCTCTCTGGTCTCTCTCTGGTCTCTCTCTCTGGTCTCTCTCTGGTCTCTCTCTGGTCTCTCTCTGGTCTCTCTCTGGTCTCTCTCTGGTCTCTCTCTGGTCTCTCTCTCTGGTCTCTCTCTCTGGTCTCTCTCTGGTCTCTCTCTGGTCTCTCTCTGGTCTCTCTCTCTGGTCTCTCTCTCTCTCTGGTCTCTCTCTGGTCTCTCTCTGGTCTCTCTCTGGTCTCTCTCTGGTCTCTCTCTCTGGTCTCTCTCTGGTCTCTCTCTGGTCTCTCTCTCTGGTCTCTCTCTCTGGTCTCTCTCTCTGGTCTCTCTCTCTGGTCTCTCTCTGGTCTGGATCTCTACCATGCTCAGTGCTCACACATGACAATCCATGATTCCACACAGCTGCTGGTCCTTCCACGCACACCTGTCCCTCACCCACACACTCTCCCCTCTCCCCTGCCCTCACGCACACACCTGTCCTGTCAGTCAGACCCTGGTGCCCTCTCTGCTCCAGCCTCGCCCCCCCCCCCCCCCCCTCTCAGCGGGCCACAAAGCTGCTATTGTGCGTCAGAATGCCCCCTCCTCCAGCCTCTGCTTCCCCCAGAACAGAGCCTGTGTTTGGGCATGACTTCCTCTGGCTCTGGCATCTTTAATCGCCTGCTTTTGGTTTGACGCCATCTTTAAAGGGCACATACTTTATCATCATCCGCAGTCTGTAGGTTCAAAGCAACTCTCCCACCACCGCCAACCATTCACACACACACCAGACTCATTCTAATGTGGGGAAAGTGTCTTGCCTAAGGACACAACCACAGTTTGGCACTTTACAGCCGCAGCCGCCCTACTGTGGCACCTGGTGTTTAGAGGTCTCCCATCACAGCACTAACCAGGCCCTGCCCTGCTGAGCTTCAGAGGTTTCACATGCAGGTGTGGTCTCACTTTGGTTCTTGTAAATCACAGCAACAATAACAAATATTAAATCAAATCAGTATCAACAATTATGGAAATATAGACTAGAGAAATTTAATTCAATTCAAATGAATTGTGTATCGTCCTAAACCACAGCAGTAGTTTCTCTGAGGACTTTACAAAACTGTCGATTCACCAACAACAGATCAGAGAATCAGACAGTTCAAAGACAACAAATGATCATATTTACTGTGACGTGGCAGATTCACAGCTGACTTTCTGTTAGGGCTCGGGGAAAAGAGCCGGTGCTCTCTGGTCTCTCTCTGGTCTCTCTCTCTGGTCTCTCTCTGGTCTCTCTCTGGTCTCTCTCCCTGGTCTCTCTCTCTCTGGTCTCTCTCTCTGGTCTCTCTCTGGTCTCTCTCTCTCTGGTCTCTTTCTGGTCTCTCTCTGGTCTCTCTCTGATCTCTCTCTAGTCTCTCTCTGGTCTCTGGTATCTCTCTAGTCTCTCGCTGGTCTCTCTCTGGTCTCTCTCTGGTCTCTCTCTCTCTCTCTGGTCTCTCTCTAGTCTCTCTCTGGTCTCTCTCTCTGGTCTCTGGTCTCTCTCTGGTGTCTCTCTAGTCTCTCTCTGGTCTCTCTCTCTCTCTCTCTCTGGTCTCTCTCTAGTCTCTCTCTGGTCTCTCTCTGGTCTTTCTCGTCTGTGAGATCTCCATGGAGAAGGGGGTGACGTGTGACACTGACTCAGGCCCAGTATTTAGCCTGGTATGGCGTGGCCTGGGACAGCCATGACCTCATTCCAGAGCATTTGTCACTGTGGGGCTTCTGTGAGGGGCCCCAGTCGCTGTGAGTGCGGGTGGTTAGTCTTTCCATTTGGGAATCGCACCATTAGAGAAATACAGTACAGGCCTAAAGTTTGGACACACCTTCTATTTTCAAAGAGTTTCTTATTTTCATGATTATGAACATTGTAGATTGACACTGAAGGCATCAAACCTATGAATGAACTCATGTGGAATTATGTCCGTACAAAAAAAAAGTATGAACCAAGTGAAAATATGTGTTTTATTCTGGTTCTTCAAAGTAGCACCTTTTGCTCTGATACTGCTTCACTCTTAAGAGGACCTGAAATGGTCTCCAACAGTCTTGAAGGAGTTCCCATGATGCTTAGCACTTGTTGGCCCCTTCACTCTGTGGTCCAGCCCCAAAACCATCTGGACTGGGTTCAGGTCCAAAACCATCTGGACTGGGTTCAGGTCCAAAACCATCTGGACTGGGTTCAGGTCCAAAACCATCTGGACTGGGTTCAGGTCCGGTGACTGGAGGCCGGGTCATGTGGCCCAGCACCATCCCTCTCCTTATTGGTCAAACAGCCCCTACACAGCCTGGTGTGGGTCTACACCAATAGTCATGAAAAGAAAGGACACTGAGGAGAAAGTGTGTCCAAACTTTTGGTCTGTACTGTACACAAACTTTTCCTACATCATACAACACCATGAACCCACAGGAACCAAGACACAGTCATTTATTCTGTAACATGTCTGTTGTCATGGAAACACACGTGTCCCAGGTTAGACTAGTTTCACTGCTGTGTGAGGTGAAGTACAGACTGAACTGTGGATGTGCTCTCTGTGGTAACACAGTACAGACGTGTTGCTGCAGCCGTTACTGTTTGTCGGCTCGCACGTATGTCAGCAGAGTATGTGGTGCGTTCACGGGTAGTCCGTACAAACAGTATTGTTAAACATTACAGAAAGTACGGGCCAGAGACCTGTAGAGCAGTAAAATCCACATGTATGTGTCTTCATGGTCTCTGTGGCTGCTGTGGTCAGATGCCAGACTTTCTGAACTGTGTGAAGCGGAGAGACCCGCCCACGTGCCGCTGTTATGTGAGATGTCAGTGAAAATATTACAGACATTGCTTATCCCCTGTGAATGACCTGATCTCAGACGTCCTCCACGATTATCACAAATTACCAGTGGTCCACAGGTCATACTGATCCTGAAAGAATAGGGCTTATGAAGTGTTGTACATAAAGAGAATTAAAATGAAGTGGACTAAGTTAGAGGTTGATGGTGCAGAGCCTCACTTCTGTTGAACGACATCTGTGGCTTTAGCAGCAGTTTAAGGACATCTGTGGCTTTAGCAGCAGTTTAAGGACATCTGTGGCTTCAGCAGCAGTTTAAGGACATCTGTGGCTTCAGCAGCAGTTTAAGGACATCTGTGGCTTTAGCAGCAGTTTAAGGACATCTGTGGCTTTAGCAGCAGTTTAAGGACATCTGTGGCTTTAGCAGCAGTTTAAGGACATCTGTGGCTTTAGCAGCAGTTTAAGGACATCTGTGGCTTTAGCAGCAGTTTAAGGACATCTGTGGCTTTAGCAGCAGTTTAAGGACATCTGTGGCTTCAGCAGCAGTTTAAGGACATCTGTGGCTTCAGCAGCAGTTTAAGGACATCTGTGGCTTTAGCAGCAGTTTAAGGACATCTGTGGCTTTAGCAGCAGTTTAAGGACATCTGTGGCTTCAGCAGCAGTTTAAGGACATCTGTGGCTTCAGCAGCAGTTTAAGGACATCTGTGGCTTCAGCAGCAGTTTAAGGACATCTGTGGCTTCAGCAGTCGGAGGGTCCATGATGATGACGGACCAGTCACATGGACACAACGTGACAGAAGAGTGGGATGTCATGAAGGACTCTAGCGCAATGGGGCGTTCAGACGCCGATGCTGGAACGCAGCTTCCGCGCGAACCAGACACACATTCTCTAATTTTCAGACACAGGGGACTTCACACCAGAAGTCCTGGGCTGCGGTGGCGGACTTTGATGCTAACTGAGTTAAGCTAGCGGCTTCTTGCGTAAAGATCTTCTCCAATAATGCAGCTTTGCAGCGTCTCTGTGTTCAGAGACCTTCCACAGACTTTATATAACAGTCCTGGTTTAGTCCAGGTGTAGCTCCTGTTTTGGTTGTTTACAGTATGTTCAGTCTGCTCGCTCAGACCACCAATGTCCCCGTGACCACTTTGCGGCTCTCTGATTGGTCGCTGCACAAACGTCCGAGGAAACGTTCAGCAAAGTCCTGCAAGTCCTGCAATCCTGCAAGCGCCGATATTCCGCTCCTGCTCCTTCCCTTCGACTTTCCCGCACAGTCCGTGCGTCTCTACTGAACAGTCCGTGCGTGCATCCTGAGACGCACATGCATTTCCACGCTCGAACGCGTGTCACCATTGACTTTACATTGAAAGTCGCCGCAGCATGAACCGGTCTGAACGTGGCTCAAGAGACAACATTAGAGAATCAGCTGAAGGTCCTCGCTCTCAGAATGTTGTTTTCAGAACCTTAGATCAGAGTAAGGACCATCCTCATCATAGACACTCAGCTTTAACCCAACACACACTTACATACACACACACACACTGACATACACACACACACACTGACATACACACACACACACACACACACACACACACACACAGTACCTTGCATCATGCAGCGGTAGGCAGACTCAGAGATGGCGTAGATGTGCGGTGGGATCTCGTGACGTTTCTTGCCACGGAACATCTCGATGATGTTCTCAGAGTAGATCGGAAGATTCTGGTACGGATTAATGACCACACAGAAGAGGCCGGAGTACGTCTGTCAGGAACACCAGAAGGATCAGGATAAACAGGTCAGGAACACCAGAAGGATCAGGATAAACAGGTCAGGAACACCAGAAGGATCAGGATAAACAGGTCAGGAACACCAGAAGGATCAGGATAAACAGTTCAGGAACACCAGAAGGATCAGGATAAACAGGTCAGGAACACCAGAAGGATCAGGATAAACAGGTCAGGAACACCAGAAGGATCAGGATAAACAGGTCAGGAACACCAGAGGGATCAGGATAAACAGAAGAGACCGAAGTTTCTGGTACATTTCTGGTACATGTCTGGTACATGTCTGGTCCGTGGCCTTGTATATAATCGTGTGTGATCTGCCAGATGCCGGAGCAGGACCAGTAAAGCCGCCGTGGCTTCATTCATAAATTACACCAGACATTTTCATGCAGTAGAGTCAGATCAAAGGGTTTCCAGATGTCTCCTGTCTCCTCTGGACCCGGTCCGACACCAAGACCAGCAGGTGGGAGGGTCTGAGAGGGTCTGAGAGGGTCTGAGAGGGTCTGTCTGAGTCTGAGAGGGTCTGTCTGAGTCTGAGAGGGTCTGTCTGAGTCTGAGAGGGTCTGTCTGAGTCTGAGAGGGTCTGTCTGAGTCTGAGAGGGTCTGTCTGAGTCTGAGAGGGTCTGTCCGAGTCTGAGAGGGTCTGTCTGAGTCTGAGAGGGTCTGTCCGAGTCTGAGAGGGTCTGTCTGAGTCTGAGAGGGTCTGTCTGAGTCTGAGAGGGTCTGTCTGAGTCTGAGAGGGTCTGTCCGAGTCTGAGAGGGTCTGTCTGAGTCTGAGAGGGTCTGTCTGAGTCTGAGAGGGTCTGTCCGAGTCTGAGAGGGTCTGTCTGAGTCTGAGAGGGTCTGTCTGAGTCTGAGAGGGTCTGTCTGAGTCTGAGAGGGTCTGTCCGAGTCTGAGAGGGTCTGAGAGGGTCTGTCCGAGTCTGAGAGGGTCTGTCTGAGTCTGAGAGGGTCTGTCTGAGTCTGAGAGGGTCTGTCTGAGTCTGAGAGGGTCTGTCTGAGTCTGAGAGGGTCTGTCTGAGTCTGAGAGGGTCTGTCCGAGTCTGAGAGGGTCTGTCCAAGTCTGAGAGGGTCTGTCCGAGTCTGAGAGGGTCTGTCCAAGTCTGAGAGGGTCTGTCCGAGTCTGAGAGGACCAGTCCGAGTCTGGGAAGACCAGTCCGAGTCCGGGACACCAGGCACTGGAGTGAAATTGCAGCTGCGCTCTTGTTTTCAGAGCTGATCAATAATAAATGCTTGTTATCTGTGGATCCAGAGCAGGTGGTGAGTGAGAGACGCCTCCTGCAACATGCTGCTTCTCTAATCTCTTCAGTCTAATTTACAACTGTGAGCGTCAGGGAAAACTTCATCCTAAACAAAGTCAAAGGACAAGAACTTATGGACTGATCGGCAGCAGCCATTAAACAGAGTCAGCGCATTATTGTTGTACCAAAAGATAAGAATTCAGTGACAGCTCTGTGTCTTTCTGTGTCTGTGTGAACACCCAGCCTGAGCTCCCAGGATCCTGAGGAGGGAGAGGGGGTGAGGAGAGAGAGGGGGTGAGGAGAGGGGGGAGGAGAGAGGAGGGAGAGGGGGTGAGGAGGTGAGGAGAGGGGGTGAGGAGAGGGAGGAGAGATGAGGGAGAGGGGGTGAGGAGAGGGAGGAGAGATGAGGGAGAGGGGGTGAGGAGAGGGAGGAGAGATGAGGGAGAGGGGGTGAGGAGAGAGAGGGACAGACTTTAGTGTCGGTACAGACTTTAGTGTCAGTACAGACTTTAGTGTCGGTACAGACTTTAGTGTCAGTACAGACTTTAGTGTCAGTACAGACTTTAGTGTCAGTACAGACTTTAGTGTCAGTACAGACTTTAGTGTCAGTACAGACTTTAGTGTCGGTACAGACTTTAGTGTCAGTGCAGACTTTAGTGTCAGTACAGACTTTAGTGTCAGTACAGACTTTAGTGTCAGTACAGACTTTAGTGTCGGTACAGACTTTAGTGTCAGTGCAGACTTTAGTGTCGGTACAGACTTTAGTGTCAGTACAGACTTTAGTGTCAGTGCAGACTTTAGTGTCAGTACAGACTTTAGTGTCAGTGCAGACTTTAGTGTCAGTACAGACTTTAGTGTCAGTACAGACTTTAGTGTCAGTGCAGTGCTGGGTTCAGAAAGTTGTGGAAAGCTCTAATAAACACAGTGTATATTTGTAATGTGAGAATGTGCAGAACATGCAAACACTGACACAAATGTGTGAAAGGAGGAAGATGTCACTGCTGCTCATTCACTGAGAACGATGCAACAGTAAAACTACAGCGACACAGAATCCTCACAGATCTGGACTCTCTCTCTCTCTGTCTCTCTCTTTATCTCTCTCTGACTCTGTCTCTCTCTTTATCTCTCTCTCTCTGTCTCTCTCTTTATCTCTCTCTGACTCTGTCTCTCTCTTTATCTCCCTCTGACTCTGTCTCTCTCTTTATCTCTCTCTGACTCTGTCTCTCTCTTTATCTCTCTGACTCTCTGTCTCTCTCTTTGTCTCTCTCTGACTCTTTGTCTCTCTCTTTGTCTCTCTCTCTCTCTCTCTCTGTCTCTCTCTTTGTCTCTCTCTGACTCTGTCTCTCTCTGACTATGTCTCTCTCTTTGTCTCTCTCTGACTCTGTCTCTCTCTTTGTTTCTCTCTGACTCTCTGTCTCTCTCTTTGTCTCTCTCTCTCTCTCTCTGTCTCTCTCTTTGTCTCTCTGTCTCTCTCTTTGTCTCTCTCTGACTCTGTCTCTCTCTGACTATGTCTCTCTCTTTGTCTCTCTCTGACTCTCTGTCTCTCTCTTTGTTTCTCTCTGACTCTCTGTCTCTCTCTTTGTCTCTCTCTGACTCTGTCTCTCTCTTTGTCTCTCTCTCTCTCTGTCTCTCTCTTTGTCTCTCTGTCTCTCTCTTTGTCTCTCTCTGACCCTGTCTCTCTCTTTGTCTCTCTCTGACTCTGTCTCTCTCTGACTCTGTCTCTCTCTCTGTCTCTCTCTTTGTCTCTCTGTCTCTCTCTTTGTCTCTCTCTGACAGTGTCTCTCTCTTTGTCTCTCTCTCTCTCCCTGTCTCTCTCTATCTCTCTCCTCTCCGCCTCTCTCTCTCTCCTCATATTCATACCACTCCATCACGTCCATCAACACTTATCAAACCAGCTAGTCCTGAGGAAGTCTTGGTTAGGTTCTAGTCCCAGTTCCAGTTTGTATGTGTTGTAGGCCATTATTCAGTTCACAGCAGTTATCCCTAAATCACAGCAGTTTCTCAGAGACTTTACAAAACCTTTGAAATCTCCAACAGAGAATAAAACAGATCAAACACAGAAACACCAATGTCTAAGTGTTGATTAAATGTGTTTCTTGTTTTAGCACTTTAGCATCTGTTGTGTATGAACTGTGCTGTACGAATAAACTTGCCTTGTTTCTGTAAATATGCCTGAACTTCGCAGGATTGAGATCTTTTTGGCAAACCACTAAACGCAGTCTTTTATGGTTATTGTCCTTGGTTGAAGCAGGAAAGTCCCAGGGAGATTTCAGCATCTGTTTTTCAGGGTCCTGGCCCCAAAAAGAGAGAAGCTATTGTACATGTTTTTAATGGCACTTGGAGGAAGCAGCATACACAGGGAGAACATGCAAACTCCACAGAAAGGCCCTGTTCCCTAACCCAGGGCCTTTCTGAGACCACTTCGCTGACCTCGCTGACCTGTTTTAACAGCATCAAGGTTGAGGGATCCCACATGTTGATGACATCCTGACGAAACCAGACATGATGAATATCTGGATGACTGTGCACAGCTCCTGTTTGGGTCCATCCTGATCCGTGATGAGGGCTGAGTCCTGCTATGGTCTTGTCCTGGGTCCTGTCAGACTAGACCCGGTCGTCCTGCTCTGTGAGACTGGCCGTGGTGATCCCGACCAGACATTTGGGATTTATGTTTCTGAATGTTCACCATCAAAGCAGCAGGAAACGAAGAAGAACCACCATAGCTCCCCCCAGACCGACAAGTACAGGTCAGGAACCAGGACAGACTTTACCATGTGGAACTGAATGGTTTTTAAAAGACATTGTGCTCTGTTTGTTATAGTGATCCTCTCTGGCACCAGGACAGGAAGACCAGTGGGAATCTGCTGTCATTTCAATTCAATATCAATGTATTTTTGTCCAAAAGGAGCAGAGACCAATGTCCATAAATGTGTTGAATGTCCAGCAGTGAAAGACAAACAGGAAAACCGGAAAACAGGAGGCAATGAATGTGATTTAACTGACAAAGGAAAGATTTAGAACTAGTGTAAAAGCTCTGGAACGTTCTCTTGCCCTCTGCCGTCCTCCTTCATAAAGTCGTGAAAGCTTTCCACAGACTCTCTCTTGGCTGCATGTGGACCTTCTGCAGCGCTCTCTGTCGTCGGTGGATATCGTGTTGCAGCCGACCACAGCCTTCAACAACAGCAGAGTTTGTGGCTAAAGCAAAATGTAAAGAATGTGGGCAGCATTCTGGAAATAACGCCGTCTTGTTTTCTCGTCTACACGGTCGACGTACGGCCCTCACATACGGCCCTCACATACGGGCGGCACGGTGGCTGAGTGGATAGCACTCTCGCCTCTCAGCAAGAAGGTCCTGGGTTCGAATCCCGGTCGGACCAGGGCCTTTCTGAGTGGAGTTTGCATGTTCTCCCCGTGTCTGCGTAGGTTTCCTCCGGGTGCTCCGGTTTCCCCTACCACTAAAAATATGTCCAATAGTTCTGGCATGCGCCTCCTGTACTGGCCCCGCTCCCATCTCTGTGTGGAGTGAGAGACTAATGCCCAAAATTAACAATTGTAAACCGCTTTGAGACTCAGATCTGCAGTGAAAAGGCGGTATATAAATAAAAACTTACTTACTTACTTACTACTTACATACGGCCCTCACATACGGCCCTCACATACGGCCCTCACATACGGCCCTCATATCTGAGTTTGAGACTGAGACTGGGTCTGAGCCTGAGTCTTTCTCCCACATGTTCCTCTCTCTCTGAGTCTGAGACAAAACACTTTCTCATTTTTCTCAAGAATAACTCTGAACTTGGACAGATTGAAAGCACATGTGATATCGTTTAGATCAGAGTCTGTGTGTGTGTGTTTGTGTGTGTGTGTGTGTGTGTGTGTGTGTGTGTGTGTTTGTGTGTGTGTATGTAGGTGTGTGTGTCTCAGATGTGACAGACCCAGATTCTATTCTTGAAAACGTGTCACTAAATGGGTCAAGATCAGAACAAGTGGATCGTCCCAGATTCCACCATCCATCCATCCATGTTCTTCCCCTTAATCCATTTCTGGGTTTGGGGGGTGGCAGTCAGAGCTGCACCCAGTACACAGAGCACCAGCCCCTCACTGATCCTCCTGCAGGTGCTGAGTCCACAGGAGCTGAGATCTTTCAGCGGGGGCTTCAGGCAAAGTGGGGTTATCCAAGGATACAATGACAGCAGACATCAGTGGGAGTTGTGATGTAGGTCTTGTGGTGGGCTCGAACCCAAGAGCCCAAAGACCAATGCTCTATAACTGAGCCACTGTCGCCCCCAACAGATTCCACCAACATTTAGAAAAAAAGACAGTTTGATCAGATCCATGAGAGTCTGAGATCGTTAATGATGACAGTAGTTTGTATTTTCATCTGAAACACTTTCCTGGAAATGTATAGCAATATAAATCAAATGTGATTTTATTATTATTATTGTTAGACGAGATCTCAAACCGAAACCTAAGTAAGTAATCTTTATTTATATACCGCCTTTCACAGACCAGAGTCTCAAAGCGGTTTACATTTGTTATTTTTGGGCATTAGTCTCTCACTCCTCACAGAGATGGGAGCGGGGCCAGTACAGGAGGCGCATGCCAGAACTATTGAACATGTTTTTAGTGGTAGGGGAAACCGGAGTACCCGGAGGAAACCTACGCAGACACGGGGAGAACATGCAAACTCCACTCAGAAAGGCCCTGGTCCGACCGGGATTCGAACCCAGGACCTTCTTGCTGAGAAGCGAGAGTGCTATCCACTCTCGCCTCTCATCGTGTCGCCCACCTGAAGAGTTTTACACAGCCCTGATTCACACATGGACCTTAGTTTTTCCTCATTTCTTTTCACTTTCGTGGCACATATTGGAACGCTGATCTGGAACAATTAAAGGCCGTATGTAAATTCTTCTCTCGTGTTTACATCGAACATTTGGGGTAAATACTGCGATTATGTCTTAAACCTGTTAACAGATGTTCTGCATTTCAGCCAGAGACAGTGAAGTGTCTGTGGTTCCTGGTGTGAGCGGAGGTGAGAGGGGGAGGAGAGGGTGAGGAGGGGGGGGGGGGGGGGGGGGGAGGAGAGGGTGAGAAGGGGGAGGAAGTCTGCTCCTGGTTATGGCGCTGTGTCTCAGTGAGATGCTGTGTGTGGTCAGCAGGATGAAGGCCATGTGTTCTCTGCAGGTCTGAGCAGGACAATAATAATAAGCAGTGGTTTCCTTCAGCCTCTGGGACACGCTGCATCACCGCATCACACTACTTTATACTTTATACTACACCAAAGATAAGTGGAGTCAGTCAAACCATGTGCAGAGTAGTACCAGAGGAGGCAGTGAGGCTTGAACCTGTTCAGATCCTGTAGATGATGAAACTGGATCAGTCTGAGCTGCTGCACTTTCAGCCTGGATCACTACATTTAAAAAGTCTGTTCTGAGTCTGTCACTCACACAGACAATAAACATGTCTCTACAATCTGGAATACATCTTGAAAAACCTGTCTCCCAAAACCATACTAATACTAACCTAATAAAACAACTTGGTGAGGGGTTCAGACCTCACCACGGCCCTGAGACTCTAGACCAGGCTCCAAAAGACATCCACACAAAGACTTTCTGTGGAAGGAGGAGATCTGAGCCCGAGGTCACGCTGCCTCCAGTTGGGTCCGACGGCCTCCTTCGTTGGCCTCGCTCAGGGTTAGGGCTCCGGGTTTTAGAGATGTTCACAAAGCCACTGAGCTCAGATGTTATGCCTAAATTGTCATTGATAATTAAATGGAAGGAAGGATGAGGAGATGTATCATTTATAAATAAAAAGGTGAGTATATGTTCTCAGACTTCACAGACTTAAACATCAATCTGGAGGTAATTACTGAAGGAAGACTGTGGTTTACTGAAACTAACAGACTGGGCAGAGCCTGTGGACACTTTACTTTTGAATACTTCATTTATAAGTCAAGGTGAGTCTTGTGTTTGTGTAAGAAGAAGGCTGGTTTGAGACTTATTCATGGATTCCCTCAAGCTTTAGTTAGAGAGTGATCTTCTCTTTCATTCTCCAGAGGAATCCAAACACCTCGGTCCACATTGATGTCACAGCACGAGCTGCAGAAGCCCTGCCTCCTGAAGGTGATTGACAGGTGTAAATAAGAATGAGACAAATGTGGCGTCTCTGTCTCTCCACAGATCTGCCGCGTCACAGGGCGAGCAGCAGAGAAATGGATTTAACTTCACATGTTTTGAGTGTGAAGGATATGGGACCTTTAAACATAGTCTTTCCAAACACGTAGTGTCGGTCTGTAGTGGGTCTGGGTCTGTTTCAGGACTTACACTGAGACACTTGGCGTTCCACACTCTCCTCTTACACTTCCACATTCCCAGACACACGCGCACACACACGCACACACACACATACACACACACGGAAGAGTCCTGGCAATCCACATACACAAACACCCACACACGCGCACACACACACACAAGAGTCCTGTCACACACACACACACATACACACACACAAGAGTCCTGTCACACACACACACACACACACACACACACACGTAGAGATGTTATACTTGTTTCTTCTTCATGCTGGACTTAGAGATCTCATTTTATTTAGTACAGAGTTATTATTCATTTCTCTGGTGCTGTGTGCTCCTCATCCTACTGTTCTGTACCTGTGATACAACACTGACATTTCCCTCTGTAAGACCATTACAGGACCTCTAAAGTATATAAGTACATACATATATAGTATATAACTCACATAGATGAGTCCAGAGTAGTAGCGGTCCTTCAGGTTGTAGAGCACAGAGGCCTCGTTCAGGCAGGTGAGCTCCGCCATGTCCTCCACTTTACTGAACTTGGGCGGGTTCATCTTCTGGATGTCGTCTTTGGCGACCACGACCTTCTTGCCGTTCTCCGACAGCTCCACGGTTACCTCGTCGCCCCTCTCCTCCCGGACGCTCGCCGCCTCGAAGCCGTGGCGCTCAGAGGGGATCCACACCAGCTTCTTTGCGGTCCAGTCCGCCTGAGTGGCCGGGTTGTAGACCACGGCCCGGTCCACAAACAGGTACCGCTCTGGGTCCTCTGTCCCGTTACGCTGAGTCATGATGCAGGAGGAGGCAGTGACACGGGGCCTGGAGGAGAGCGGACAGGTTATCACAGAGACAGAGGAGCCAGGGCCCGTGTCTCAGAGAACATATGTCTGGGCGACAGTAGCTCAGTTTGTAGAGCGTTGGCCTTTGAGCCAGAAGATCATGGGTTCGAGCCCACCTCAAGACTTTCACCATCAATGTCTGATGTTGTTGTGTCCATGGCAAGACACTTAACCTCTGGGAACACCAGCCACAGTGGGGCGGCTGCGGCTGTAAAGTGCCAAACTGCCGTTGTGTCTTTAGGCAAGACACTTCACCCCCAATGCCTAGAATGAGTCTGGTGTGTGTGTTCGCTTCTCTCGCTTCTGTCAGAGTGCCCCAGGGCAGCTGTGGCTACAGTTTTTTAAAAAGCGCTATATAAAACCAATGTATTATTTTTTTTTTTTTATTAAATTTCATTTTTTTTATTATAAGTGGCACCAGCCTAAAATGCATAATAATTCTTTTTTGGGAAAGTGTGTACGTAACATGAGACATAAACGAACTGAGAACGTGCCTGGTTTGTTAACATTACAAATTATACTAAGAGTTGTTCAAATAACTTAAGAATATAGAACGTGCTGCAAGTATCAATGTCACTCCTAGAATAAAAATATAAAATTTAAAACTTTTACTTTCATAATTTCACAGAAAAGTCGCGCTCTCGGCCAAAACTATGACAAAAACTGCGACTACAATTAAAAAAAAACGGTAAATGACAAACGCAAACGATGACAACACAAAGTCCATTTTGCATTTTGGTCGAGAGAAAAGTCCCCGGAAAGGGAAGTGAGAGCACTGGGGCTGGGACACACTGTAGCCTGAGGGCCGTCATGAGAAAACTAAAGAAACTCTACAAACTCTTGATCATAATGAGTCCATTCACCTTAGTGCAGAATGCGCAGAGTGAGACTAAGATTATAGAACATGTCCAAGAGAATGAGCAGATGTGTCATGACAGGTGTTGATCGTGTCTGTGACGGCTGTGAGCAAACGGGGAAATGAAAGAATGTAATGAATGACATGTTTCTGGGTCAATCGTCCTTTGTTTTGGTAAAATGTTCTTAAAATATTGAATAAATATCAACCCCATACTCTCCTGTGATCTAACTACTCAATCAATCAAATGAGTAATTGCCATAATCCTTGTTAGTTACAGACCTCCGTTCACACACAGGCCGACCTGGGAATCGCACTCGCAGCCTCTTGCTGTGAGGCTCGAGGGCTGCAGTCACTGATGAGGATTAGACCTGGCTCAGTTCTTCCACTGCTGTGATCCACTGTGACCTACACCAAGAATAGTGTGTTCTTGTTCTGTACTTTCACTGCTAAAGCAAAGGCAGCAGTTGTAAAGAGACGGCGAAGGACCCAGACTCACGGTGGAACAATAACCAGAGATTTATCTGTTTTAAATCTATATTATTACACTTTCAGTTCCATCCTCACATTCTCCATGAGCCTCAAACAGCTGCTCGTACAGGAAGGATTAGAACACAGTCAAATAAAACCAATGACACAGGCACTTTAAACACAAGCTGTGACTCAGGCCTTTCTTCACATCTAAATATAGATTATGGTCCAGTTATGACCAAGTCTTCTCCCGATTATTCACATCCATTAAACTGAATACAGACTGTCGCCCCCTGCAGGAGAGCAGCTCAGTGACAGACTGATCCACCCTCGCTGAGTGAAGGTTTGGCTAGTCTTTGCCTGTAGATCCACACCAGGCTGTGTAAGGGCTGTTTGACCAATAAGGAGAGTGATGGTGCTGGGCCAGATGACCTCCACAGTCACCGCACCTGAACCCAGTCCAGATGGTTTTGGACCTGAACCCAGTCCAGATGGTTTTGGACCTGAACCCAGTCCAGATGGTTTTGGACCTGAACCCAGTCCAGATGATTTTGGACCTGAACCCAGTCCAGGTGGTTTTGGGGCTGGACCACAGAATGAAGGGGCCAACAAGTGCTAAGCATCATGGGAACTCCTTCAAGACTGTTGAAGACCATTTCAGGTCCTCTTGAAGCTCATCCAGAGAATGCCAAGAGTGAAGCAGTATCAGAGCAAAAGGTGCTACTTTGAAGAACCAGAATAAAACACATATTTTCAGTTGTTTCATACTTTTTTAGTACGTACATAATTCCACATGAGTTCATTCATAGATTTGATGCTTTCAGTGTCAATCTACAATGTTCATAATCATGAAATGTGTGTATGTATCTATGTACCTGTGTGTATGTATGTATATATGTTGTACGTATGTACAGTATGTACCTACACATGTGTGTGTGTGTGTATGTATGTATCCACATTAGTGTGTATGTATGTATGTACCTACTGTATGTATTTATGTACCTATATATGTGTGTATGTGTGTCATGGATCTATGATAATAACGATGTGTGTGTGTGTGTGTGTGTGTGTGTGTGTGTGTGCGTATCTACTGTTCATTCAGCTGTAGTTTGACCTTTTCACTGTGTTTAGATTTAGATAAACCACATTTTCTTTGAAATAATCTTATAATGAAAGAAAGTGAAACCATGTGTTTTATAGAGATTCCATGAACATAGAAAGTTGAACCCAAACCCACACATTGTTCTTCCCCTGGTGCTGCCCAAACTGACCACAGCGATGAAGAGTCGAAGAATAATTCTCTAAATCAGGGTCTAAATTGGTCTAAATGACCCAGGGTGAGGTTCTGTCTCAGCACAAAGTTAGAGACAAAGTTCTTTCTTAAAATACAATAAAAGATCAAATGTGTGATATGAGATAAATGTGTCTGTGGCTCAGTGTATATGATCTGTAACTCAGGTACCCCAGCTTTAAAGGGTCAGTGTTTAGGAGCACAGCCCTCTGAGCCCCAGTCTCCCCCGGGCTCTAATATAAACTCTGCAGTCATTAACAGACAGAGCAGTGACGAGGTATTTGGAGAGAGCCCCAAATACAAGGACACTGCACACAGACCCATGGTACAGACCCATGGTACAGACTCATGGTATAGACCTACAGACCCATGGTACAGACCCATGGTACAGACTCATGGTATAGACCTACAGACCCATGGTACATGCCCTTGGTACAGACTGCGAAACACAAGCGATAAACGTGATGTATTTTAGCATAAAGTCAAACAGGAAACCAATCTGAAACATAAATATGACCGTTTAGTCCAAGAACCTCCTGCTCCGTGATGTACGGAGCTAAAACTCAACTGTAGCTAAACGTTTAAGCTATTTTAATAATAATAATGCATCGGTTTTATATAGCGCTTTCTTGGACACTCAAAGACCCTTCACATGTCATTATTCGTTCACTCCATACATGATGGTGACAAACTACTAGTGTAGCCACAGCTGCCCTGGGGCACACTGACAGAAGCGAGGCAACTAGTCTGTGCCATCGGCCCCTCCCATCACACACACACCAGACTCATTCTAGGCAATGGGGTAATTAGTTATTTTGGAAACACTGTTAGTTTACTGAATAATAAAAGTTCATGTGTGTCACAGAGTCAAGTGTAATACTAAATAAAAATAGCTATATTAGCATAATAACGTGCTTGTTACGTGCCCAGGTGAGTGTGTCGTTTACTGCGCATGCGTGATTCACGTTTGCATCAATTACCACTGAGTGCGAGACCAAAACAGACTTCTCACGTCATTCATATCCACTTAACAGAAGTACTGAAGGTCACACAATTTAACCATTTTAAGCTAAAGTACATATTATAAAAAGGTTTATTAAATGATAGAGACAATCCTCGCGCCACATGCACGCGGCTCCATCAGCTCCTCGCGCCCTCACCTGGGGTCTCGCGGGGGGTCTGTAGTTGTCAGTCCGGTCCCTCTGGAGGCTCTAGACTCTTTATGGTCCGGTCCTGGTCCCTCTGGAGGCTCTAGACTCTTTATGGTCCGGTCCTGGTCCCTCTGGAGGCTCTAGACTCTTTATGGTCCGGTCCTGGTCCCTCTGGAGGCTCTAGACTCTTTACGGTCCGTTCCTGGTCCCTGTGGAGGTTCTAGACTCTTTATGGTCCGGTCCTGGTCCCTGTGGAGGCTCTAGGTCCCTGTGTTCCAGCCGTAGTGGCCCAGTGCTCTGTGTGGAGGTGCAGGCATGTGTCCTGCTCTGGTATGCAGACTCTACAGAGAGCCGGAGTGTGCCCCTGCCCCTGCTGTGGGGGGAGTGGGGTGAGGGAGGGGGGGGTGGCAGGGTGGAAGGCGGGGCCCCTCCTAAATAAAGCAGACCAACTTGACCGCTGCTCCCGGCCACAGTCACCAGAGGCAGAGTGTCCCAGAGCAGAGTGCTGCTAATGCACAGATGCAAACATACTAATTATGCTCTAGAATATACAGGATTATACTTCTTTATTGTATTTTAGTACAGTTATTAATTTATATTGTGCTGTGTGCTCCTCATTCTATTTTTGTGTAACTATTGATGCAACACTGACATTTCTCACTGTGGGACCAATAAAACAAAAACCCAAAACAGTATTTTTTTGTACTTTTGTGTCTCATTAAGTATTTCTGGGCTGTAGTTTACTGAACTGCATCCTGTCATTATTTAGCAGTGGGTTTCTAAACATAGATGTTAGACACACACTCCTGTGGCTGTAACCGCACATACATCATGTCATATAAGAAATATGTCTGGGCTCCTGTTTCAGTGGAAATAATGTTCAATATCTTTATGTCCAAACTTTCATCTGCATCAAAAGAACAAGAAACTTTTATACAGTTTATTTCACAAACATCATTTACAATGATACAAAGAGAGTTTTTACAATGATGTAACACTAAAGATAATATGGTCACATGTAGTTTACAATGATGGAATCTTCTTCAAACAAATACTTTCCAGCTGCCACGAGGCAGACCGACATGATGTGGCTGCCGACCAGTACCAGTCGAACCCTGACTGCACTTTCACACAGTCTGAAAGTGTCTTGCTCATGGACCAAACCTTAGAGTCTCAAACTGAATCAGTCTGTGGCACTGAACACGGCTGTAGAGGTTCTTTCTGTGAAGTCCTTGAACAGTCCCCCCACCCCCTCTTGTGTTAGCGGCCTCCTCTCCAGGGTGCCCCCCCTCTTGTGTTAGCGGCCTCCTCTCCAGGCTGCCCCCCCCCTTTTGTGTTAGCGGCCTCCTCTCCAGGCTGCCCCCCCCCTTTTGTGTTAGCGGCCTCCTCTCCAGGCTGCCCCCCCCCTTTTGTGTTAGCGGCCTCCTCTCCAGGCTGCCCCCCCTCTCTTCTTGCCCCCCTCCTCCAGGACCACCTCTCACTTTGCTCCTCACTCCACTGGACTGCTCTGTGTCGTCGTTGTCCCCGTCTCCTCTCGGACGCTTCCGTTTCTCTCCCTGTTCCTTCATCTCCTGAAAACACCAACATCAGACTTTACACCGAGGGTCATACATACATACGTACGTACGTATGTATGTATGTATGAAAGACTGAATGATGGAATGAATGAATGAGTGTTTAAAAGTGCAGGTTGTAGACAGATGTATTGTCTACAAGAACAGGGCAAGAGCGCCCCCAGTGGCCACTACAAACCAGTGCATTAGAACTGCTTTGCATTCTCTGAGCATCTGAACATCCCCGAACTCCACAGGGAAGTGTGGAATTTATTATGTTTTTTATTCAACCTTTATGTTCTGAAAATACCAATAATAATCCAGTTACACAAAAGACATTACCAAAGCTGATTTTGAGGCAAAACTTTTGTTTTAAAGGAATAGGCCACCGTTTTTACATACTGACATATGTTCTTACCTTAGACTAGTTGATATGTACCTGTCTGGTCTGTGTCCGTGTGCTCTGTCATGCAAACGCAGCACAAACGCAGCCTCTTCCACAGACTGTATAGCTCCAAATCAGCTCCCGTTAGAAGCTACCAAACTCTTCCACGTGTTCCCTATTTAAATACAGTTACTCTACAAAGTATAGTAACACAGAAATGTAACATGTCGATTTTCTCAGCGGATAAAAAAACTATATTGTGAGGCGTAATAATATACGAGGAGCACTATGTCCGCGCACTAACTCCCAAATAGAAGCAGCGTGACTTGTTGGAGTTAGTGCGTGGACAAAGCGCTCCTTGTATTATTACGCCTCACAATATAGTTCCCATTTTTATCCGCTGAGAAAATCGACATGTTACATTTCTGTGTTACTATACTTTGTAGAGTAACACGTCACGTAACTGTATTTAAATAGGGAACACGTGGAAGAGTTTGGGAGCTTCTAACGGGAGCTGATTTGTTCCTATACAGTCTGTGGAAGAGGCTGCGTTTGTGCTCCGTTTGCATGACAGAGCACACGGACACAGATCACACAGGTACATATCAACTAGTCTAAGGTAAGAACATATGTCAGTATGTAAAAACGGTGGCCTATTCCTTTAAGGACGTACGACAAAACCAGGAGTTTCCTCTAAAGGCAGAAGTTTCTGATATGAAGAGTGGATGGATCTAAAAACAATCCCAGGTCTGACTGTGATGTCACACGGTTGAAAGATTGAAACAGATATTTGCAGATTTTGTCTTCAATAATATTCTAAAATACAGAAAAGGTGCAAATAAAGTGTTGGTGAAACAAGAAATTCTTCATTCTATGGACATTTGCGTTATTATAATGTGTTATACACATTTAACAAAAGTCACACTGCTATAATCTTGAATGAATATGATTGTGTGATATTTGGCCCCTGCCAGCCCCTGCTGGCCTCTGTGAGATTGAGTGTGGGCCTCACCAGGCGAGCGAACCTCTGGGCCTCGCTGACCCTCTCCACCAGCATCATGACCTCGTCCTCCTGTGTGGGGAACGCCGGCAGCTTCTTCCCAATGAGGCTCTCGATCCTCTGGAACAGCTCCACATCATATCTGCAGCACAGTCGCACGTCACACGTCACCGTCACACGTCACCGTCACACGTCGCACTTCACCGTCAAATGTCAGTCACACGTCACCGTCACGTCACACGTCACCGTCACACGTCAGTCACACGTCGCACTTCACCGTCAAACGTCAGTCACACGTCAGTCACAAGTCACAGTCACACGTTGCACTTCACCGTCAAACGTCAGTCACACGTCACCGTCACACGTCGGTCACACGTCACACGTCGGTCACACGTCACCGTCACATGTCACACGTCACCATCACACGTCACCGTCACACGTCACCATCACACGTCACCGTCACACGTCAGTCACACGTCACCGTCACTCACACGTTACTCACACGTCACCGTCACCATCACACATCAGTCACACGCCACCGTCATGTCACACGTTGCACTTCACCATCACACATCAGTCACACGCCACCGTCACGTCACACGTTGCACTTCACCGTCACACGTCAGTCACACGTCACCGTCACACGTCACCGTTGCACTTCACCGCCAAACGTCAGTCACACGTCACCGTCACACGTAACCGTCACACGTAACCGTCACACGTCAGTCACACTTCACCGTCACACTTCACCGTCACACGTCAGTCACACGTCACCGTCACACGTCACGTCACACGTCACCGTCACACGTCACCGTCACGTCACACTTCACCGTCACACGTCACGTCACACTTCACCGTCACACGTCAGTCACACTTCACGTCACACGTCAGTCACACTTCACCGTCACACTTCACCGTCACACGTCAGTCACACGCCACCGTCACGTCACACGTTGCACTTCACCGTCACACGTCAGTCACACGTCACCGTCACACGTCACCGTTGCACTTCACCGTCAAATGTCAGTCACACGTCACCGTCACACGTAACCGTCACACGTCAGTCACACTTCACCGTCACACGTCAGTCACGTCACACGTCACCGTCACACGTCACCGTCACGTCACACTTCACCGTCACACGTCACGTCACACTTCACCGTCACACGTCAGTCACACTTCAAGTCACACGTCAGTCACACTTCACCGTCACACTTCACCGTCACACGTCAGTCACACGTCACCGTCACACGTCAGTCACACGTCAGTCACACGTCAGTCACATGTCACCGTCACACGTCACCGTCACACGTCACCGTCACACGTCTCCGTCACACGTCTCCGTCACACGTTACCGTCACACGTCAGTCACACGTTACCGTCACCATCACACGTCAGTCACACGTCACCATCACGTCAGTCACACGTCACCGTCACCATCACACGTCAGTCACACGTCACCGTCACACGTCACCATCACACGTCACCATCACACGTCACCATCACACGTCGCACTTCACGTCACACGTTGCACTTCACCGTCACACGTCAGTCACACGTTACCGTCACCATCACACGTCACCGTCACCATCACACGTCAGTCACACGTCACCATCACACGTCACCGTTGCACTTCACCGTCAAACGTCAGTCACACGTCACCGTCACACGTAACCGTCACACGTCAGTCACACTTCACCGTCACACGTCAGTCACACGTCACCGTCACACGTCACGTCACACGTCACCGTCACACGTCACACGTCACCGTCACGTCACACTTCACCGTCACACGTCACACTTCACCGTCACACGTCACGTCACACTTCACCATCACACGTCAGTCACACTTCACGTCACACGTCAGTCACACTTCACCGTCACACGTCAGTCACACGTCACCGTCACACGTCTCCGTCACACGTCAGTCACACGTCAGTCACATGTCACCGTCACACGTCACCGTCACACGTCTCCGTCACACGTCAGTCACACGTCAGTCACACGTCAGTCACACGTTACCGTCACACGTCGCACTTCACCGTCACACGTCAGTCACACGTTACCGTCACCATCACACGTCAGTCACACGTCACCATCACATGTCAGTCACACGTCACCGTCACCATCACACGTCAGTCACACGTCACCGTCACACGTCACCATCACACGTCGCACTTCACGTCACACGTTGCACTTCACCGTCACACGTCAGTCACACGTTACCATCACACGTCAGTCACACGTCACCATCACACGTTGCACTTCACCGTCACACGTCGCACTTCACCGTCACACGTCAGTCACACGTCGCACTTCACCGCCACACGTCAGTCACACGTTACCGTCACTATCACAAGTCACCGTCACACGTCAGTCACACGTCACCGTCACGTCACACGTCAGTCACACGTCGCACTTCACCGTCACACGTCAGTCACACGTTACCGTCACGTCACACGTCACCGTCACACGTCATTGTCACACGTCAGTGTCACACATCACCGTCACGTCACACGTCACCGTCACACGTCAGTGTCACACATCACCGTCACGTCACACGTCACCGTCACACGTCAGTGTCACAGTGTCTGTATTACGATATGTTAAGAATCACAGTAATATTGGATTATTGCTCACATATTGTGTTATATATTTTATACTTTTTATACTATAAAATCCTGACCAGTGCCAGTTCCAACTCACTGTGTAACAAAGGTGATGGATTTCCCGGCGCGCCCGGCTCTGGCGGTTCTGCCGACTCTGTGAATGTAGTCCTGCGACACAAGGGAACAACCGGCTTTAAACGCTTCATGTCTCACCGTTTTAACCTCTTAAACTCGCAAGCCCCCGCCGGCGAGCTTAAAAAAAATACATCCGCTGGCAATAGCAGATGTATTTTGAACTTCATAAGCCACAAGCTATATATCATTTTAAAGCTTATTTTCTCAGCTATATTTATATGTAAGTGTAAACGATATCAGACTTTGCATTAAAAAGATATAACGCATAATATGGGCACAAAATAATTCGTGTTTGTATAATTTTTTTTCTGCTGCTTCAACAAATTAGACTTTCCCATCCTTGCTCAGTCTCTTTCTCTCCGTAAGTCTTCAGTGAAAAAGAATATCCACTTGTATTTCCCAAAGTATAATCCATTCTTCAGAAATAATCCAAAAATGTGCATTTTTCTGTTGCAAAAAAAAAAAACGCTCCAAAAAATGTTCAGGCTTCTCTTTCACATTTCACCAAGTTTGAGCTTTGTTTACCCACAAACATCATATCCACGTGTTCCTTGAGTCCTTAGCTTCAAAAAGAGAGGTTCCATGAAAAGATAGGAGCAGGTTTCAGTCCGCAGGACCCTTGTGAAAAAGACGAACCGCATCCACTTGCAGAGGATGATTGACGTGTCTAAGTAGCCAATAAAAAGAGCTTTCTTTTGATGGGTGGGACTTGTAGGAACTCTTTTCATTTTCACAGTAAAAGCGTGCGTAAAGACGCAGTTAGTACTGCTGCGCATATTTTATATGCATTTACACTACAAAAAAAACTTTTGGAAAAATTGTACAAGAAAATCACACAGATTTGTAACTTATAAGTACCAAAACAAAAAAATATGCTTTTTATGATGGTGAAATGTTAGTAAAGCAGTTTGGCACAATTTGGCACACATTTTGCCAAATTGGTTCCGAATGGCACTACTTGATAAAAAAGAGAAACTGCATAAAAACTATAAAAATTAGAAGTCTGAAACTTTACACAGTTGTTGTCAATAACACAATGAACAAATTGGCGTTGACATTTTTCTTCTTCCAATGAAGTAGGTTTTTTTAGGGCATTTATATATTAAATTTTTTAGGCGAGGCTAAAAAAAAAACAGGTTTTTTTCCCAAACTTCAAAGGATGCAGAGTGAAATAGGAATAACATACATTATTTCAGTGTTTATTTACATAAACTAGAAGGCTCTAGCTTTAAAATGATGCATCACACAAGCATGTGAGATGTAAGATGTGTTTTTAAATAAGCAAAGACATTTGGGTATGAAAAACTTTGTGCACGAGCCAAAACAGATGTAGGAGTTTAAGAGGTTTAAAGAGTCTGTGGTCCATGTTTAGATGGTGTGGAAGCAGGAGCGACACTGCCTCACGTGGACCTCACGTGGACCTCACGTGGACCTCACGTGGATAGCAGACATAACCAGTGCTTAAGGCCTTTCTCCCCGATGATTTGATTTTCTAATCTTCCTTCACAACAACAACAACAACTGTTGATAGTATAGAGAGTATAGAGAGTATAAGGTGTGTGCAGACCTTGGAGTGTGTGGGGATGTCGTAGTTAATGACACAGTCCACGTGGGGGATGTCCAGACCTCGGGACGCCACGTCCGTCGCCAGCAGCACCGAGCGAGACTTGGACTTGAACTTATTCAGGGCTCCCAGACGCTTGTTCTTTATCACAACAACAAAACATGACACGAATCACAACACAGATCACAACACAACACAACAACACAGATCAGGACCAGTGTTACTGTGTTACTGAGTGTGGTGTGTTACTGAGTGTGTGTGTTGTGTGTTACTGTGTGTTGTGTGTTACTGAGTGTGTGTGTTGTGTGTTACTGTGTGTTGTGTGTTACTGAGTGTGTGTTACTGAGTGTGTGTGTTGTGTGTTACTGTGTGTTGTGTGTTACCGAGTGTGTGTGTTGTGTGTTACCGAGTGTGTGTGTTGTGTGTTACTGAGTGTGTGTGTTGTGTGTTACTGAGCGTGTGTGTTGTGTGTTACTGTGTGTGTTGTGTGTGAAAGGGAATACACAGTAGGCGTAAACAGCGCGTACGCGTTGACTGCGCGCTCTCTGCGCGTAACATTTTTTGGGAGTATCTACACAGGCCGTGTGCGCAGGCCCTTCTGATGCTGTCCCTGTGTCGTCTATAGAGCAGTGTAGAGGACAGTACAGAGACTGATGTAGAGCAACACAAATCACATGCATGTGTTTGTCTTCATGGTCTCTGTTGCTGGTCTGACCAGACGCCAGACTTTATGAAAGAAAAAAAACGATGTCCAGAATCACTGTAAAACCTGCTGCTCCTCCTGATGTTTAACACAAGTGCTCTGTGTGTGTGGTGTGTGTGTGTGTGTGTGTGTGTGTGTGTGTGTGTGTGTGTGTGTGTGTGTGTGTGGTGTGTGTGTGTGTGTGTGTGTGTGTGTGTGTGTGTGTGTGTGTGTGTGTGTGTGTGTGTGTGTGTGTGTGTGTGTGTGTGTGTGTGTGTGTGTGTGTGTGTGTGTGTGTGTGTGTGTGTGTGTGTGTGTGTGTGTGTGTGTGTGTGTGTGTGTGTGTGTGTGTGTGTGTGTGTGTGTGTGTGTAGATGCGATCTAAAGCCAAGGACCGCTAGAAAAATCATGTTTTACATGAGATTTCAATGGGAGACGCGCCGGTGCGCGCACAAAATTAGAAATCCATTATAAATTAGAGCGCAGCTTTGCGTCATACGTCCGTCATACGTCCGTCATACGTCCGTCATACGTCCGTCATACGTCCGTCATACGTCCGTCATACGTCCGTCATACGTCCGTCATACGTCCGTCATACGTCCGTCATACGTCCGTCATACGTCCGTCATACAGTGTAAATATCATCATAGGTTAACACGGAAAAAAGTTACGTCTGCTGCGCGTATTACGCGTACGTGCTGTGTGTTACTGTGCGTGTTACTGAGTGTGTTGTGTGTTACTGTGTGTGTTGTGTGTTACTGTGTGTGTTGTGTGTTACTGTGTGTTGTGTGTTACTGTGTGTGTTGTGTGTTACTGAGTGTGTTGTGTGTTACTGTGTGTGTTGTGTGTTACTGAGTGTGTTGTGTGTCACTGTGTGTGTTGTGTGTTACTGAGTGTGTTGTGTGTTACTGAGTGTGTTGTGTGTTACTGTGTGTGTTGTGTGTTACTGTGTGTGTTGTGTGTTACTGAGTGTGTTGTGTGTTACTGTGTGTGTTGTGTGTTACTGAGTGTGTTGTGTGTTACTGTGTGTGTTGTGTGTTACTGAGTGTGTTGTGTGTCACTGTGTGTGTTGTGTGTTACTGAGTGTGTTGTGTGTTACTGAGTGTGTTGTGTGTTACTGAGTGTGTTGTGTGTTACTGTGTGTGTTGTGTGTTACTGTGTGTGTTGTGTGTTACTGTGTGTGTTGTGTGTTACTGTGTGTGTTGTGTGTTACTGTGTGTGTTGTGTGTTACTGTGTGTGTTGTGCGTTACTGTGTGTGTTGTGCGTTACTGTGTGTTGTGTGTTACTGTGTGTGTTGTGTGTTACTGTGTGTGTTGTGTTACCTGCCCCATCTGTCCGTGCAGAGGGATCGCAGTGATGCCCAGGTTCCTCAGCAACAGCGCCACCCTCTGGGCAGTGTTACAGGTGCTGCAGAAGATCATGAAGGAGTTTCCGGCCAGTTCGTTCAGGATGGAGACCAGGTAACAGTCCTGCAAACACACACACTTCAAATGTCATAACTGTGAAAGAAATACAAACACCAACGAGTGGACAGACCCAGAGTTAGGATCTCCTGGTCGTACCACACCATAGTACTCATTTCATTTAATTCCGTTAACAGGTGGGAGGGGTTAACTCCTTTTGCAGATTTAAAACGATTGGATCTGAGTTTACCGTGACGTATGTAGTGCGTTAGAGTGAGTGGTTAGCATTTAGCCTAGCCATCTCCTTTGCCGCTAACGGAGCACGTGGGGAGTAGCGCCGCAATTTTTGCCAGAATGTACATTTGCTAAACATTCCTCTTGCTCCGGCTTCAGTTTCTTGATAGAACCAGACCGGATTACTTTACTATCATTCTTCACCATTGCCAAACTACAAGCTGCCCGTTCGACGGAAACTCTTGACGTCACCCACAACTAACTACAATAGCCCGCCTCCCGCGCTCTCTGATTGGTCGGATGGGATTCAACCGATTGTAATCGCAAATATGGGGACCAGACCCAGACGTTACATGCAGGAAATGAGCGGAGTGTACGGATGGATAAGACCAGGCTAGGTCTGAGCTGAAGAGTCAGGGTCAGGTCCTATAATGAATCAAGTTTGTTTGTGTCTCAGTAAATAGTTGTGAACAAATCAGACCACAGCATCTTATGAAGACGCACTATTGGAAGCTTTGAGCAGAGATCTGAGGGTTTTATTAAATGTAGCTACATTTTCTGTGGTTGGAAAGTTTAACTTGACAGGAATCTACAAAATAGATTCAGCCGCTAAAAGGATCCCCTTTCTATTAGACGGCTTAATATAATAATGATAATAATAATATATTGTATTTAAAAGCGCCTTTCAAAACACCCCAGGACACTGTACATGGCATAATAAAAACATTAGAAACAGAAGCAACAGAATAAAACAACAGTGCATTATGGGATGGTGGGTGCGTGTGTGTTAGGTGGGGTAGGACAGTCTGAACAGAGGGGTTCTGGGGGAGTCTGGATTTGAAGAGTGGAAGAGAGCCAATGGTACGGAGGTCATGTTTGAACTTCAGAACTTTAAATCCTGATCCAGGAAAATAAAGAAATAACCAGGTCTATGTACAAGTTGATCAGAAAGTCTTTAAACCATGGGTCACCAACCAGTTTAAAGTGCACATACTAATGTGGCCACTTCTATTTTTACAGTATGAAACATTTGAAGCGGTTTCATTATAAGCATGTGTTCCACAGTATTGGCCTCTGATGGTTCTGAGCCGCATGTCCGAGCGGTGTCTTACCTTGTACTTTGCAGGGATAAAGACGTAGAACTGCTGCAGTTTGTCCACAGTGGAATACTTGGTGGACACCGCACACTTCACTGGATCCTTCAGCGCCGCTCGCTCCAGTTTCTGAACCTGTGACCACGTCCAAGCACCTCCATGAGTCATTACAAAGACTTAAGACAGTATTTCATATAAAACTTTACCTTTTTAGTCATTGTGGCCGAGAACAAAAATGTGCGTCTGTCTCTGGGAATAACCTTTAATATTTTATCGACCTGAACAAAAACAAAGATGTGAATGTGTTTAAAGGACGCTGGAGGGAAAGTGACGCACCTCGGTCTCAAAGTCCATGTTGAGGATTCGATCGGCTTCATCCATGACCAGGAACTTCAGCGCTCGCAGAGAAAAGCCTTTGGTGTTTTCTAAATGATCGATGAGTCGCCCAGGAGTCGCTGCAGTGCATCATGGGAATCACTTATTAATGTCCTCATAACAAATGTGTTTAATGTTGTACCTATGACGATGTGAGGCTTCTTGGCCAACACCAGAGACTGGGACATCATGTCGATTCCACCGACCACCACAGCTGCACACAGGAACGTTTATTTGTCACGCGGACACTCACACGGACACTCACAGAAGAAACAATTACAGACATCATAAACAATCATAGTGCTTAAAAAGAGTAAAGATAAAATCCTTAAGCGGAAGATGCCTGTCTCACATTTTCAGGAAGACTGTTCCAGATTCTTTTCATGTTTAGTCCTAACTAAGAAAACAGCTGTGTCTTTATCTGTTAACGAGATCATTACAATGTTACAGTGACAGGAATCATCACCAGTTAAACATCTGTTCATTTAAACTACAATCATTAACATTTCATCAGATCAAAGCCTAATGTTGGTCATTATACTGCTGTGGGTCTGAGCTCTCTGAGGTTAACCCTGTCACATCAGTGACATCACTGCTTTAGAATCTGTGACTTCATGAGGAGTGAACCAACAAACCCACAAAGACAGATGTGAATATTATTAACATGTTATAAACATAGTTTACTCTGATGCTAAGTCTGTCCCACCATGATCCTCTTTAAGTGTGTGACACGTACCACACTTGACCCCGATGCTGGAGCCCAGGGCCTCAAACTGCTCAGAGATCTGGAAGGCCAGCTCTCGGGTCGGGGTGAGGACCAGAGTGTGCAGCCTCTGGGGGTGGTCCAGCAGACTCTGGAGGATGGGAAGAGCAAAAGCTCCAGTCTTTCCTGACCCAGTCTCAGCCAGACCGATGACATCTTTACCTGCAGCACAGAGACATCCTGACGTGTAGAAAGTTTGTACAAATATATACATTCTGTAACAATTCATATACACGCGGCAGACAGTGCCAGAGTTTTAACGTAAATACAATATTGACAATTTGACTGAATAGAAGAAAGTACTGAATCCGATAGTATCTCCTCTTTTATCCTTTATTGAGCCACAGAGGTAGCATTCCGAGCAGACAGCCACCCTCTCCACACTCAGAGTCTGTCAAAGTTAAACTGAGAGACCAGTTCCTGAAGCGTGTCCTGCCGAGGTCTTCCCTTTTTGTCAGGCTGCTATTAAACTGTACATTGTGTAGTTATGTTAAAATTACAAGATGTAAAAGAGCACATGTAGTCTTCTAAACCTGCTAAATAATAGAAAAGTAAATGACATCATATTTACACTTTCACAAGCTTGAGAAACTGATCTCAGCCTTTCTACAGGATCATCCTAATAATTACATGGAAAACAAGCAACACATTCCGACACTTTTACTGTTGAATATGTACCAACACTTTCATACAAACAGACAATTACAGAATACTTGAGAGGGCGATCAGAAAGAAGCACCAGGAAGAAACCCAGTAAACTTCACACAGTCTGAATGTTTCCATTTCATTCGAGTAATTAAGCATTAACGATTCATTCTAGTAACGAGACTGGACTAAACACATAGAACACTAGCGCAGACTCCTCACCTTGTAGAGCCACTGGTATCGCCTCCACCTGGATCTTTGTGGGAGACTTCCATCCGAGCTGATCACACGCCTCACACAGCACCTCAGTGACTCCCTGAGAGACCAGAGAGAGAGACCAGAGGGAGACACCAGAGCGAGAGACCAGAGAGAGACACCAGAGAAAGACCAGAGACCAGAGAGAGAGACCAGAGAAAGACCAGAGAGAGACACCAGAGCGAGACACCAGAGCGAGAGACCAGAGGGAGAGACCAGAGAAAGACCAGAGACCAGAGAGAGACACCAGAGCGAGAGACCAGAGGGAGAGACCAGAGACCAGAGAGAGACACCAGAGGGAGAGACCAGAGGGAGAGACCAGAGACCAGAGAGAGACACCAGAGCGAGAGACCAGAGGGAGAGACCAGAGGGAGAGACCAGAGAGAGACCAGAGAAAGACCAGAGAGAGACACCAGAGCGAGAGACCAGAGGGAGAGACCAGAGAGAGAGAACAGAGAGAGAGACCAGAGGGAGAGACCAGAGGGAGAGACCAGAGGGAGAGACCAGAGAAAGACCAGAGAGACACCAGAGCGAGAGACCAGAGGGAGAGACCAGAGAGAGACACCAGAGCGAGAGACCAGAGAGAGAGACCAGAGAAAAACCAGAGAGACACCAGAGAGAGAGACCAGAGAAAGACCAGAGACCAGAGACACCAGAGAGAGAGAGACCAGAGAAAGACCAGAGACCAGAGACACCAGAGAGAGAGAGACCAGAGAAAGACCAGAGAGACACCAGAGCGAGAGACCAGAGCGAGAGACCAGAGTGAGAGACCAGAGGGAGAGACCAGAGAAAGACCAGAGAGAGAGACCAGAGAAAGAGAGACCAGAGTTAGCTCATGTTTCTACAGTTCCACTTCCTACAGGTTCATAACAGATAAAAGTTTCAGATCTTGGTGAAGTTATAGAAAACAACATTATTTATTATTTATTGAAACATATTGATTAATGTATTTATTTTATGGAAATCTTGTGTATGGACCATGTTTGACTGACTCTAGCTCCATATTATTACAGATCCATGCTCTGGCCACAACACTAGCTTACATTGGGCTAACGTTAGCTAACAACACAGCTAACAGTCTTAGCTCAAACTGCGCAGAACTCTCACCAGGTCTTTAAAAGTATGGGTTATTGGTTTGGGTTCGGGTTCCTCTGCGGGGGTGTGGTCCTCCTCTTCACTGCTGTCCTCAGGGTTCGGAGCCGGGTCTGGACTCACGCTTCTGTCGCTGTCCGCCATGTTTACTGTTCACACGTGAGTGGGGTGAGCTGCGCGAGCTACGCATGCGCGGAGAGCAAGGGAGGAAACGGGCCGCGTCCAAAATCACATATACATCCTTTTTATCTATCCTTGTGCTTTAAAATGTGCCATTTGTGACACGGAGCAGATCCACGTTTTGGCAAGTCAATTCAAGGCATTTAATGATCTTTGTCAAAGCACACCAAGTTGAACATGCGCACTGGTTTGGGACAAAAAGGGGCCCAGATCAGCCAGGGAAAGACCAGAGAGAGAGCAGAGAGAGAGAGACCAGAGAGAGACCAGAGAGAGACCAGCCCTCCGTCCTCCATCAGAACAAAGGTGATTGAGGGAAGCACACAATTAAAAACAAAGGAGCATTTATTGAGCAGCAGGACTAACATTTGTACGTCAGCTTCGCCACACTTTGATAATGGAATTTCACTCAAACTAATTATGAGGCCAAAATACAATCATAAAAAAGGTCACATGACAGGACAAAGTAACACATGACGAGATTCTACAGTTCAGGCGTGGACGCTGTGTCAGAAGGAAACAGTGTGCAAACGAATGGTCTGGAACTAAATCTAAGAGGCCAATAAAGTATTTCCACTTTGTTTTTGGATCAGAACTTTCCACTGTTGTAGCTTCAGCTGTAGCTGTGACGCACACACTGCCTCCTCCTCCTTCGCCCAGAGTTCCAGAGTCTGTTAAAGCAGTCCCTCCATCTCCCTCATGAAGGCCTCGTACACCTGGTCCTTGGTCTTCATGTTGGGTGGAGCCACGGCGCCCATCTGCGAGGGCTTCATCATGGCGGCTGCGGGCGCGTGGTGCTTGTGGGCGTGGCCCGTCATGTGCTCGTTCCTGCTGCGTGCTCCATGACCCCGGTCCATGGGCCCTGGCCCTGACCCTATCTTGTCCCTGCGGACCCTGAGGGCCGTGGGCACGAAGCGAGTGACCTCCGCTTTGGGGTTGATGATCTGAGGCTTGGCTGAGATGGTGGCGGCGGCTCCTCCCACCGTGGGCGCCGTGAGGTTTGCTCGCTTCTCGATGGTGGCGCCTGCGGTGCCAGGGGGAGGGGGCATTTGGATCCCGCCCGGCCTCATGTTGCTCTGGGGGGGGTCGGGGCCTCCTGTTGCGGAGCCTGAAGCCTTCTGTCGCTGCACGATGCTGGGAGGGGCACTCAGGACGTTGGCGGCGAGAGGGGGAGGGAACAGGGAGAGGGGGGGGCCCATGGGGCGCTGAGGGCCCCCTGAACGTGGCGGGGGAGGGGGCATACCTGCGGGACACAGTCAATTTAGACACAGAAGAAATATGGGAACTAGGAGTTGGTAAAATGTGAGGATTCAATATTATCGCAAAATGTTTGGGCCAAAATTCTATATTACTGCGATTCTTAACATTGTGATTCGATTCTGTGATATATTGTGATATTGTGTTATAGCAGTTGGAGCCACTTTGATCTGAAAGTCACTTATAGACAACTCTGTGAGTTTAATGTTGTAATGTTAATAACAGCTGAGCCCCTTTTATTAAATTAGCTTTAGCTTTAAATGAGAGCTTCAGGCTCCAGGCGTGAGTGTCTCTGAAGGGGCTGAGTCTGTGTTTGTGAGTTTGTAAAACTGCAGTTGAAACACATCAGAGTAAAGTACGGTCTGAGGTCAGGGTTAGTCTCTTACCTGGTGGAGCTGGGGGTGGGAGTCTGGGCGGGGGGCCTCGTGGTGGGGGGCCAGGAGGCAGACCTGGAGGGGGGCCTGGAGGGGGTCCCGGAGGTCGGCCTGGGGGAGGTCCTGGGGGCAGCATGCGGGGGATAGGGCCCCTCATGCCTCCGGGCATTCCAGGAGGCCTCATGAAGGGAGGGGCGCCTGAGGAACACAGCACATCACCTCACATCAAAGACACTTTAACAAAACTTATCTAAGGAGATAAAATAAAGAAACGTGGAGTTGACAAATAGATATAAGCTGAAACACAATCTTTAAAGTTCCACTTTTCTGCAAACATCCTCCAACATAAAACATGAAGTGGTCAAACCTGGAGGAGGCCCAGGAGGCGGCCCAGACGGAGGCCCTGGAGGTCTCATGGGGGGAGCAGGGGGAGGTCCCAGAGGGGGAGGTCCACTCATGGGAGGCCCCTGCAGGTGTGGAGGCTGTCCTGCAGGAGGAGGGAGGCGCTGGGGCACGAGCTGAGGAGGCGCGTCTCCTGGAGGAGCAAGGTCCTCTCCATCCTCTCCGTCAGAGTTGTCTGTGTACTCCTCCTCCACCTCCTCCTCCTCGTCCTCCTCCGGGATGGACTGACCTGAGAAAGACCAGAGATTACAATCATTTACCAGAGAGAGGACAGAGAGAGACCAGAGGCAGAGACCAGAGGCAGAGACCAGAGGCAGAGACCAGAGGCAGAGACCAGAGGCAGAGACCAGAGGCAGAGACCAGAGGCAGAGACCAGAGGCAGAGACCAGAGGCAGAGACCAGAGGCAGAGACCAGAGGCAGAGACCAGAGGCAGAGACAGGACAGAGACAGAGGCAGAGACAGAGGCAGAGAGAGGACAGAGGCAGAGACCAGAGGCAGAGACCAGAGGCAGAGACCAGAGGCAGAGACAGAGGCAGAGACAGAGGCAGAGAGAGGACAGAGGCAGAGACAGGACAGAGACCAGAGGCAGAGACCAGAGGCAGAGACCAGAGGCAGAGACCAGAGGCAGAGACCAGAGGCAGAGACCAGAGGCAGAGACCAGAGGCAGAGACCAGAGGCAGAGACCAGAGGCAGAGACCAGAGGCAGAGACCAGAGGCAGAGACCAACAGGACAGAGGCAGAGACAGGACAGAGGCAGAGGCAGAGACAGGACAGAGGCAGAGACAGAGGCAGAGACAGGACAGAGACAGGACAGAGACAGAGGCAGAGACAGAGACAGAGGCAGAGACAGGACAGAGGCAGAGACAGAGGCAGAGACAGGACAGAGACAGGACAGAGACAGAGGCAGAGACAGAGACAGAGGCAGAGACAGGACAGAGGCAGAGACAGGACAGAGACAGGACAGAGACAGAGGCAGAGACAGAGACAGAGGCAGAGACAGGACAGAGGCAGAGACAGGACAGAGGCAGAGCTGCTGTGTACCTGCCATCCGCAGCATCATGGCCTGCAGAGGAGTGATGGCCTTGGTCTTCTTCACTAGTCGTTTCTTCTTCTGCTTCCCTTCCTGCGATCCGTCCGCTGCCAGGTCGGCGAATCGGATTCTGCGACCTACACAAACACAAAGTTAAGTCTTACAGCTCTGAATATATTATATTCAATAATTATATATATATATATATATATATATATATATATATATATATATATATATATATATATTATATTTCAATTGTTGCTATTTTTAGAATTATGTATTTATTTGTTTTGTTTGTTGGATGGATGTGTTTGTGCTGCTGCTGGATACCTGCATTTCTCCAACAGGGATCAATACAGTATCTTTCTCTATTTAACCATCCATCTCACCTGTGTGTGTGCGCGTGCAACGTGCGTGTGTGTAGCCTCACCTGTGCATGCGTGTTCACCTGTGTGTGTGTGTGGGTGTACCTGTGAGTGTATGTGTTCACCTGTGAGTGTGTGTGTGTGTATGTGTTCACCTGTGAGTGTGTGTGTGTGTGTGTATGTGTTCACCTGTGAGTGTGTGTGTGTCTATGTGTTCACCTGTGAGTGTGTGTGTGTGTATGTGTTCACCTGTGTGTGTGTGTATGTGTTCACCTGTGTGTGTGTGTATGTGTTCACCTGTGAGTGTGTGTGTGTATGTGTTCACCTGTGAGTGTGTGTATGTGTTCACCTGTGAGTGTGTGTGTGTGTGTGTATGTGTTCACCTGTGAGTGTGTGTGTGTGTGTGTGTATACGTGTGTGTGTGTGTGTGTGTGTATGTGTTCACCTGTGAGTGTGTGTGTGTGTATGTGTTCACCTGTGTGTGTGTGTGTGTGTGTGTGTATGTGTTCACCTGTGAGTGTGTGTGTGTGTGTGTATGTGTTCACCTGTGTGTGTTCACCTGTGTGTGTATGTGTTCACCTGTGAGTGTGTGTGTGTGTGTATGTGTTCACCTGTGTGTGTTCACCTGTGTGTGTATGTGTTCACCTGTGTGTGTTCACCTGTGTGTGTATGTGTTCACCTGTGTGTGTATGTGTTCACCTGCGTGTGTTCACCTGTGAGTGTGTGTGTGTGTGTATGTGTTCACCTGTGAGTGTGTGTGTGTATGTGTTCACCTGTGTGTGTGTGTGTGTGTGTGTGTGTGTGTTCACCTGTGTGTGTGTGTGTATGTGTTCACCTGTGAGTGTGTGTGTGTGTGTGTATGTGTTCACCTGTGAGTGTGTGTATGTGTATGTGTTCACCTGTGTGTGTTCACCTGTGAGTGTGTGTATGTGTTCACCTGTGTGTGTGTGAGTGTGTGTGTGTGTGTATGTGTTCACCTGTGTGTGTTCACCTGTGTGTGTATGTGTTCACCTGTGTGTGTTCACCTGTGTGTGTATGTGTTCACCTGCGTGCTTGTCTCCTCCGCCCTCTTCGTCTCCCGCCTTGTCCTGCTCGTCTTCACTGTCGTCCTCAGAGTCGCTGTCGCTGCCTCGGTCGCTGTCGCTGCCGCTGCTCTGCTCCCCCTGCTCCCCCTGAGCCCCCTGAGCCCCCCTCTCCAGCCCCGGGATGGACAGATCTGAGGGACAGAGACATGTTCAGGATCTATATATATGAACTTCATATTGTTACTAAACACAGGATGGAACTTTCTGGAACTGTTCAGACACATTCATCTTTCTTTAGACCACTGTGCAGAGAAAGATCTTTTTATACTTTGTATTTCATTACAAATATAATAAACAAACGAACTAAAACATGTTTTTTACAGACTGGTCTAACTGCCGAGTGTAATGGTGTATATCGTCAGATTATAATTAAATAGTAATTATTAAAGGATTATGGGAGAATTTTCTTGTTCCGGTGGATCATCAAAACTATTGTCCTTGAGTTTCATTCTGTGAATGACATTCTGGAACTTGAGACACTTTTACAGATGTTCCCTTTAAAGAGGACGGTTCTTTCCAAAAATTCTACTTTAAAGATGCAGTCAGTGATTTTTTCCAGATGCATTTTTTTAAATATTGTGGGAAAACCCTAAACCCTAAAAGTAGTCAAGTTATCATGTGTTTTCAAATAGTAAGGGAGATTGACCAGATGCCTATTGTTTCCAAAAATTAACAAATAAGACTTTGGAGCGGACCGATAAAAATGAACCAATGGGATGCGTTTACCCCCTTCACCCTCTTCCTGTTTCGCGAGTGCGCGCACCTGAGTTGGATTTTCTAAACATGACTGAATTGTGTGATAATCGCGGAGGACATCTGAGATCTGGAGGTGCATTCACAAGGTCATTTTCACACATAACGGCCGTGCGCGGGTCTCTCCTTCACGCAGTTCATAAAGTCTCACGTCTGACCACAACAGCCACAGGGACCATGAGGACAAACACGTACATGTGGATTTTACCGCTCTACCACACTTTCTGTCATGTCAATACTTTTTGTACGGACTGCCTGTGAACGCCCCAAACACTAACATACGCGCGAGCCGACAAATAGTAACGGCTGCAGCAACACGTCTGTTCTGTAGTAGGACAGTGCAGAGTAAACGTACGAACACAGCCCATCGCTCTGATCATGTTGTGTCAGTGAACACATGACACTGTCCTCTACACTTCTCCATAGAACTCACAGAGACAGCAGCAGCCGCGACTCTGCAGCTGTGTACACAGCCGTGATACTCTGCTCATCAGGAGAATGTGACATGTTCAACTGATGACAGATGATATCACGTGTGGCTGCGCATGGCTGCGCGGGGGGGGGGTTTCAAGTTGGTGCTACGGCTAAGCTAACAAAATCGCTTACTGCATCTTTAAGTTAAAGCCCTTTGTTAAGTATCGATTCCTGGATCATTTAAATAACAGCAGTTTAAGGTTAACGGCTGAAAAGGGTCTTCAGGATAATAATGATGTTTCTAAAATCCAAGTTTGTTTTCCCCGGATCATGAAGCAGTGAGTCCTGTTGGCGTTACCTCCATCGGGACCGTACACGCGGCGTGCTGGGATGCCGTACATGGCGAGGATCTGTGGGGGAGGGGGTCCTGGAGGGGGGCCGGGGGGCTTCTTTCCCGGAGGCAGACGTGGGACACTGGGCAGGGGGGGCATCAGGGGTCCTGGAGGCTTCCTGTGGGGACCAGCAGCAACAACACGGGTATGGTACATGTGTGATGGAGCTTTTCAAATGTACATGAGATACTTAATATGTTTTTATTAAAACATGTTGTGAGATGTATAAAGTTGTATTTATTTGAGGGACACAGAGACACGGAGGGCACTGACCCAAAGACAGAGGGCTTCTTGAGGATGGAGGGGGGCTGTGCTCCTGGGAGGGGGATGTCCTGCACATGGATGTTAGACGGAGCGTGTGGCATCTCTGGCAACGGAATACTGTCCACTTCCACTGATTCAGCGTTCTGCAGAGAACATATTAAACAGATCATTAGACTCATGCTGACTCAGACTTAGCACATCATCAGTCACTTCAAGTTAAGCCCCGAGGAAGAGGCCGACGGGATGAACAATTAGCATTCAAATCTTTTACGTTCTACAGCCATCCTCAGGGCTGAATAATTGACTGCTATGTTCTAATACCAGTAAAACTAACGAAAGTACATATTCAACATGTCTTCATGTGTTTTCAAAAAGACCTTGACAGAGTCGAAGTACTGGGCCAGCTGTCCACGCTTGCTCTCGTAGTCCAGCTCGATTTTGCGGAGATCTTTGTAGGTTTCAGGGTTCTCTCTCTCGTACAGACGAACGATACGCTCGAAGGTTTCCCGCAGCTTCTTCCTCTTGTCTCTCAAAACCTTCTCATTCAGAAGAGGCTGCTGCACTGGATTGAATTCTGTAAGACATTTAAAAGCAATGTAGACAACACTTTATTATACGCTCTTAAATGACTCTTTTTGTCTTTGAAAAAACAACGTTACGTGTTTCAGTTTGTTGTCGCTGCTGACAATTCAACACAGGCAGTATTTAAGTTCTAAAAGATGAAAGGTCAGAATCAGAATTCTTTATTGCCATGTGCTTAACAGGAAGTCGAAAACTAGGAAATGTCTTTGGCTCTCGGTGCAAACAAGTTAAATCAGAATAAGATCAAAGGCATAAATATAAATCTACATAATGTCTTCAGTTTACTATATACCTTTATACAGTGCACACAATAGACCCTTAAGAGTGCGGTAAAGTGACAGTAGCATAAAGTAACGGTCATAAGGTGAGAGTTAAGAGGTGGATTATAAAGTGTTCAAGAGTCAACAGGAGAGGGGAAGAAACTGTTCTTATGGCGGGAGGTTCTGGTCCTGATGGACCGCAGTCTCCTGCCTGAGGGGAGAGGTTGGAATAGACCATGTGCAATTACTTTAAGCAATTACAAGGATACAAAACTAACTCACAGTTACAATAATTTTACAGCTCACCCATCTCATCCAGTTTCTCCATGTCTCGGATGATCTGCCTGGGATCCTTCATCTTGAGCACAGCCGCTCGCACCATCATCCTCTGCTTCTTGTTCTGTCAAAGCATCAGAACCAAAACAAAACATTAAACATCTACAAGAGACACTCAACACAACTGTTATTAACTGTGAGATGTTCACCTTCTTCAACTCCCTTTTCCGGGCCTCTTTTCCTGTTGGGAAGAGCAGAATCAGTTATAACTGTGTCACAATATACAGGGATTGCAGTAGGGCAGATGTACTCACTGGCCTGGTCTGTGGGGTTCATAAACTTCCCACTCTTGGTGGAAGAAGTTGAACGTCGTCCCATTGTGGCGGTTTCTTGACGTCCTACAAAATAAATATTGTATTTCACTAAATGGACTAAGTTCAACTGTGGCCAATCGAGTTTGTATGTATTTAATATATACAGTCTATGGTTTAGACGAACTGTGAACGTGGAGGAGCATCTAGCACCAAACAACTCAATAATGTTACAAATTAAATAAGGTGAACCAACAAAAATATCATTAATGTCAAAGAATACAGGTCATATCGCCAGTAGTGCTCAGGACCATGCTAGCTAACTTCCATGAAGCTAAATCAGAAACACGCAAAAGGAATATTTACCTTTTAGCAGAGGATAAGTTAAATGCACAGAGGTCTGTGCAATTCCACAGACTCCTCTGTGAAGAAACTAGTGTTTATCTTTCAAACAAATGTAATTCAAACATTCGGGCATTCAACGAATTTTAGCCCGTCGCCATATTTACTGCCGCGAGCCAGAGCGGAAGTGTTTATTTTCATATTTTAAATGTTGTTTGTTGATATTATTATTATTTTGTAAAGCGTAACGTGTTGTTCAAATATGTAAGTCCATGCGTTCACCCACAGCTGTAGATAACGCTGTGTATTCACGTTGTTTGAATGAATGTGTTATGTCTTACTTTGAAAGGGTGTCCACGTGACTGTAACGAACAGGCACTTCCGGCGCGTAGCTGTGAGCGCGAGGCCTGGTGCGCGCGCACACACAGAGCAGACTGCAGACACAAAGGGCCGTGTGAGTACGAACTATTATCATAGTATAAACACACTTTCTGCGGTTCTGAATGTGGGAACCAGACCCGGACTGATACTTACTGCATCTTACTACATTAATTACACACGGAGTGTGTTTTTGTGCTCAGGAACACGGGCTGTGGCCGTTACAGTCTGAGATAGCTTTGTCTGTGGCTAACTGTGAGCTAACTCCTCACTCCAGGCTTCATTCTTTGTGGTCTTTGGCTTCTGCAAATCAGAAGTTTGATGCAGCTGCACTTGTTTCACGTAGTCACTTTGAGGGAATCTCGTCTAATTCATAAATAATCCCATTTAAAAACTCCCTTTGTTTGTGTGAGCAGCGCTGAGGCCACAGGCGCAGGAAGCATCAGTCTGAAGTCTGGATTAACTCTCTCTGTTGATACTCGTTCTTTTACTTTGCATCTTTTGATAACTATGTTTTATTGGTTGCAGGTTTTATAATGATCTGAGGCTGCACAGCTGACCAAGTTTCCGACAAAATGTCAAGTAAGAAAACGTACAAAATGAATGAATGAAGTAGCATTACGTCCGTGTCTGATTGTTTACTGTAAATATGGAATGTGTTCCATTACTGCAGAGAGGCTTTAGTGATGCATGTCAGATACACTTTGTTTGTACTAATGAGACCAGAGATGTCCCGTTACATTAGAATGTCCCATTTGCTCATGAAGAAGATGGCATAGTCTGGGATCGCGTCTTACATTCAGACAGAAGACATGTTTTATTGTCGATGGTAGAGACAGCACGAACAAAGCACACGATCACAGAAACAATAGAATGCAAGTGTATTATACAGAGCGGAGGCATGGAGACCTCCAATCAGCAGCTTCCACGGTGTGCTTGTAGCTTGGCCTTCAGATAGACAAAACAAGGGAAAAGTACTGGCTTCTGCACATTGATAGAATGATGAGTTTAACTTTAACAAAAGTTGCTTCAAAGTGTTATGAAATCTCATATTCCCCCCTCTGGTCATACATTCACGTGTGACCATCAGGATTGATAAACAGCAACATAACATCATAACTCAATACTTCAACTCGGTACTTCAAAAAACTCAGAACTCAATACTTAAACTCATAAAACTCATAAAACATGTTCAGATCTTTCATAAAACTTGTCAACAATCTTCAGTAAAATACCAAACTTCATCAGTCGATGGTTCCAGATATTGCTTTGAAAACAGTCTCTCCCACTTCTCAGTGTTGGATTCTTCAGGCTGCATTTGTGTCGAGCCATGAATTCTTCTGTGACGTGTCTTTCAATCACACGTTTCAGCTTCAGTGTCCAGATTCAGCAATCCAATTCAGTCCAAATTATGTCCAAATTCAGAAATCCAGATTGTTCCAAATTATGTCCATGCAAAAGAGGACGCTGGTGTTGTCCATGTCTCAGCAGCTCACAGCCTGACTGGAATCAGGGGCTGTGCAGATTGTCCATGTGCTGATCCAGATGCATGGTTTCTCTTGAGGTTTTTCAGTTTTGGCTTACAAAAAAAACACTTTTTGTGTAAAAAAAAAAAAAGTCTTCTGTTCTGTAGATGTTACAGACAAGGCCCGCATCCTTCCACCACCTGAAGAAGATGACATAGTCTGGGATCGCGTCTTTCATTCAGACAGAAGACATGTTTTATTGTCGATGGTAGAGACAGCACGAACAAAGCACACGATCACAGAAACAATAGAATGCAAGTGTATTATACAGAGCGGAGGCATGGAGACCTCCAATCAGCAGCTGCCACGGTGCCATGTAGCTTGGCCTTCAGATAGACAAAACAAGGGAAAAGTACTGGCTTCTGCACATTGATAGAATGATGAGTTTAACTTTAACAAAAGTTGCTTCAAAGTGTTATGAAATCTCATACTCAGTAACAGACTTGTACTTCTCTCACTTTACAGCACTGCCAAATGTCTGTCTATACTTAGTGCACTTTTATATAGTAGTCATTTTATGAAAGTTTTTTTTTGTCCATTCTTTTATCTTTATACACTTACAACTTGTTTGCACCTTGAGCCAGAGCAAAATCCTAGTTTGAGAGTCGAGTTACTTACTGTGGCTTTATCCAAGTCATCTGTGGGAGTCCAGGATTAAACAACGACATAATTTTAAAAAACAAATACTGTTTTCTAGTGTATTATTATGACGTTCTGTTGTATATTTCATCTACTCCCTGTCACAAGTTCATTATAACCCCTTTGTTTCTTTGTTTTGCAGAGCGGCCCTCGTACGCCCCCCCTCCTCCCCCCGCCCCAACAACGGTAAGACCCCCGTCCAGGCGCCTCCCTCCGTCATCTCTGTCCTGAACCTTCACCGCTCCTTTTGTTTTCCGCCTTTTCTTTGTCTCATAGCCACGCACAGGTTCACTTTGGTTTGAGTTGGTTGTAGTTATGATCTGGCATGTGTTCACTGGAATGTTCACGGATCAAAATGCTTGTTGCCAGTTTGGAGGGAGGCATTCAGGAGGCAGGGCACAGAGAAGCAGCAATAAACCACAAAGTGCATTTATTTTGTCAATTATGCAGCGGGGGAAAAGATTCTGTTCAGTATTTTCCATCTGAGGTTTATGTTCCTCTGATGTCTGCTTTTTGTGTTCAAGGATAAAGTGTTTGCCTCAGTTCATGTACAGACCATAATAAATGTCGCAAGACAGACTTATTTTTCTCCATGTTTGTAATTCAATAATGAGGGACATGAACCTCAATATTTCACAGAATTGATATATACAATGGCATCGTCTCATTTTTGCCAAGTAGAAAATAAACATGAAGTACTTTGAGTTCCTGATGAAGTATTTTTTCTTAAAGCAGCGGCGTACGAACTGTGATGTTTCAGACACTGTTGTAGCTGTGCAGTAAACGGTCATTATCACTCAGAACTAATGATAATTATCCAAAATTAAGCTTTCATAATTTATCATTTAAAATCAGTTTTTCTTCCAAACCTCTGTTTTAGATCAATACTGACTGTATTGATCTAAAACATGATTAATGTCAAATACATTTTAAGATTACAAAGTGTCTGTGCTCAGCCTGAATGTCTTCCTCTTTTGTCGTTGCATGAAAAACTAAAGTAGTAAAGTCCTTATTATTTTCTACAGTTCTAGGTTGTTTGTTTGCGTTGCCCTCCTCTTGTTTGTGAACCATTTCTCATTCGTGTTTTGTCTCATTTGTCTTCCATCAGCAATTGCCTTCCACCCCGGGGTTTGTGGGCTACAACCCTTACAGCCATCTGGCCTACAACAACCTCCGCCTGGGAGGGAGCTCCGGAGGCTCCGGCAGGGTAATGCATGCTCCACAGAGGGATGTTAGCTTTAGCATTAGCTTTAGCTGCACCTCAGGCTCCAGACTGAGACACTCACACTTACACTGTTACAGCTCATTTCCACAGGAGGCGTTGACTGCGCGCATATGTGCGTAACATTACTTGGCTGTATGTGCACTGGCCGTGAGCACAGGTACTTCTGATGCTGTCCCTGTGTATGTGTAGAGGACAGTACAGAGGACTGATGTAGAGCAACACAAATCACATGGTTGTCTTCATGGTCTGTTGCTGGTTTGGCCAGACGCCAGATTTTATGAATACTCTTGATTCGTCACATTTTTGCCAATTCTGATCCCACAAGGAAATATAAACAAACATGACGTACTTCAAGCTCCTGATGAAGTTTTTTTTTTTTTTTCATTAAAGCAGCTGCTTATGAACTGTGATGTTATAATACATCTGTGCAGTAAACAGTCATTATCACTCTAGTCATACCTCGCTGTCTTTACAGAACTAATGATATACATCGCATCCACACACGCAAGCTCCTGTGTGTGGATCATAGACTGTGGATATTAACAGACGTAGTCACGCCTGTCTCCGCCGTTCTAACTAATGGGCCAAAATTTGGGCTTTCATGGAGTGATTCAAAATGGCTGCGGGGGCTGGAAAATATGAAAAAACGCATCTGCGCATGCGTCAGCTGCACGAGCTCCATTCATTTAAACGAGTGGTCCAAAAACACCCCCCTCAGCATTGACACACATGTGGAACGGAGCTTTGGGCCAAGAGCCAACTTTTGGACCATCCTGTAAAGGGGTTTTTGAGAGGTCGGAAGATGCGTACATTTGCATTGAATAATTCCCTTTCCGGGTCCAGCCCTCTGGCTTGGTGCGGTATTGCAAGCATGTCAGCGCCCGTAATTTTGGCCACTTTTGAGTCAGGACCCGTCCCCACTGATGTGGACGCGATCTAGGCCCAAGGACCGCTAGAATCATGTGTCCGTGTGTTTTGACTGGGAGACGAGTTGCTGCGCGCACAAAATTGAAATCCATCCTAAATACGTCTGTCATACGTATAACACCAGTATCAGCATTGGTTCACATGGAAACATGTTATGTGCGTCTGCTGCGCGCACAACGCGTATGTGCTGTAGCGCCTCCTGTGGACATTAGCAGTTATAGTAGGAACTTCAATACTTTGCTCAGAGTTTTCAGACAGATACAGATGTGTTCGTTTGGAGGTGGGTGTTCTGATGTAGTGTATCTTCACTGGTGCTCTGGCTAAGTTCCTCACGGATGAATAAAGTTATTTGAATAGACTTGAAGTGTGCATCTTCTTCACACTAAAAATATGTACAATAGGACTGTGCATGCGCCTATTGTACTGGCAACCCTGCTCCCATCTCTGTGTGGAGTGAGAGAACAAATGCCCAAAAAAATAATAACAATTGTAAACCGCTTTGTGACCCTTGTCTGTGAAAGGCGGTATATAAATAAATAAACATTACATGTCACAGTTACAAAAGACAGACTCACTTAGAGGAGAATGTTTCTGATGCGACTTGAGCAGGATGCAGGTGCTTTCCTAAATGTTGTTTACATATTAATTATCAGTTACAATAGATATAAAAAGTTTACAAATTATCCATAATTGAGGAATGTACAAATTTTAAACCAAACTGAGAACTTTTGAGCAAAGTAATAACGAGCCTCAGGATTCAGATTCTGGAGCAGTTCAGTGGAAGCACAAAGGACAGAGCGAAGTCCATCAATGTACTTTATATTTGTAAATGTAACCGTCTCCAGTCGCCTCATTTTAACATTTAGTTAGAATGAGTTGGAATTGGAAAAGTCACAACTTTCAGCCCCCACTGTTTTATTTTTGTTTTTCGTCCTGTAATAAGATCAATGCCATTCTGCAGTGAGAGGATTTCCTCTGATTTCATCTATTTTACAAGCCGATCAGAGAATCAAACCGTTCAAACACACAGAGCCATTGGTCCATAAGGGGCAGAGATGTTAAGTATGTTTAGGATGTTACTGTTTAACCCTCTGGGGTCTAGAGCGTCGGATCCGACTCCTGCGCACATGTTTTATAAATGTTCAATTTTCTCATGAACGGCAAAACGTAGCGACTTACTTTTTTTTTCTCCGTGAAGTACACATTTCAGGCATTACAGCGCTAGTTTTGTTTTGTCTGTGTGACTTTTGGGGAATTTTCTACGTGTGTTTGAAAGTTGGTGTCCAATCGGATCTTCGAGCGGTCTCCCGTGAGGTAAAACAGCCAAAACAGTAAAGTTATTTTGCTTACACGCTGACACAGGGACTGCCAAAGATTGTCAGAGAGTAGGATGATTCACTCTCCTGTGTGTATTTATTGTCCCATAGTTGAAATTACAGCTGCGATTGCAATTACTGATGCGTAAAAGACGCATTATTTTAGCGGAATGTTACGAAAATGCGTCCCCGACACAGCTAATGTAGCTTTGTATCACTGATCTACGTGATCTACGAGTGATGTGTGTGTTCAGAGTCTGGGCTTGAAAGTGCATTACACAAAGATAGGAGGAGACGCAGATGCAGCGCTCACAAGAGCCAGCACCTGGCTGAACAGTGCGCATTATTGATGTAATTATATTATATATTTATTATTGACATTGATAAATACATTATAATGATATGATGTATATGAATATAAGATGTTGTTTTTCTTTCTTTGTTTTCTTTGTTTTTTTTGTTTTATATATCTTACAGCTGTGATACTGAAGCAATATATAGACATAGACAAACTGCTTCAGGAAGGGCATCAGGAGTACAGCGTTTTTTTCACTTGTAGTGGAATTTTTGTAAAAATTATAATAGTCACAGGTTCAATTTTTTTCCCCATCAACCCCAAGACCCTAAATAACATTTCTATACAGTGTAAAAAGTTAGCAATAGCATTTCATTGTGTTTTTCAAAACATTTTGGTGAAATTGAATTTCCGTTTCATTTTTTTCTTTGTCTTCATGATTCCATATTTTTTATATAATTCATATGACAGCTGTACACTATGAATATTATAAATCCACAGGTTGTACTGAAAAAAACAAAGTTTACTGCTTGACTCTGCATCACAAGATGACTGTTTTATGAGCAATTATACACAAAGAAAACCAGGCGAGGAAAGTTCCCCAAAATGAGCTTAGACCTTGAAGCGTTAAATCTGTTGTTTTGTTTCATAGTTCGGCTTCTCTCTCTCTCCTTCTCCTCCAGAACTCCACAGGGATCACCGTCCCAAAGCCTCCCAAGCCTCCAGACAAGCCCCTGATGCCTTACATGCGGTACAGCCGGAAGGTAAGCAGGAAGGTAAGACACCCCTCCACGGTGTCTGCTTTTACTGCTTGTCCTCCCCTCCCCTGAGCCCCCCTGATCCTCGGGGTGGTGCCACGGTGGAGCCAGCCCAAGCCAGGACGCCTCAGCACCAGCACCTCCTCCGTCGCCGCTGCCTCCTCCTCCTAAACACCCTGTAGCTTTAGCTCCTGTCTTTCACACGGCTGAGGAAACTGTCTCTGTGTCGGGCTGGACGACTCCACTCAGGAATCATAGTCTGAGGACATAAACTCACGTAGATTCAGGAAGTGGAACAGGCTTAACTCCATGTTTCGTTCTCTACGGTTTGATTTTAGACTCATCCACTGGTGTAAGTTACTGCTGCAGTGACGTAGACATAGCCTGGCCTTATCCATCCGTACACTCCGTTCAATCATCATTTCCCTGCACGTAACGTCTGGGTCTGGTCCCCATGTTAGCGATTACAATCGGTTGAATTTCAACCGACCATTCAGAGAGCGCGGGAGGCGGGTGTTGTAGTTAGTTTTGGGTGATGTCAAGAGTTTGCGTCGAACATGCAGGTTGTAGTTTGGTAATGGCGAAAAATGCTATAGTAAAGTAATCCGGTCTGGTTCTATCAAGAAATTGAAACCGGAGCAAGAGGAATGTTTAGCAAATGTAATTGTGCCGCTACTCCCCACGGGCTCCGTTAGCGGCAAAGGAGATGGCTAGGCTAAACGCTAACAACAGACTCGGGCGCATTACATACGTGGCGGTAAACTCAGATCCAATCGTTTCAATCTGCAAAAGGAGTTAACCCCTCCCACCTGTTAACGGAGTCAATGGAGCAAATCCAGACTTAGTACCAAATGTCATTTGTACTATGGTGTGGTACGACCGGGCTAACGTAGACATGTTTTTAGGTTAGAATTATCAAGACAAGATATGTGGGTCAATTATAGACTTTCCACCAACTTCTCCTGAGCAGGACAGTTTGAAGCCAGGATAAAGTGCCGGAATGAAGCCGTATTTATCTCCATTTCATAAGGTTTGCCGTTGGAACAAACTGTTTAGTCTCATTTCAAAGTAAAAGCATTTCCTTCTACAGCTTTTAAAGGCTCCTCTGTTTCTACCAACACCAAATCTAAATGGTACTTTACATGTTACTTATCTGCCCTTGTGTTGGACTTTAGACTTTATCCACATTATCTTTATCTATATGTTAGTACCACACTTTTTGGATATATTTTCTTTGTCGTTCAGCCCCTCTTTGTGTCTGACTTTTGTTTCCCCTCTATCCTTTTGTAAATATCAGACGCCTCATAGAAACCACCGTAGATATTAACAATGAAAAGATTTTAAAAACACATTCACTAGTTTATATTTTAGATTTGGTTGTAAAACACAGCACAAACTAACTTTCCTCATTCTACACATTGTTAACTGTTTTTCCGTAGTTTCTTTCTCTACATATATTTTCCACTGGTTTCTAAGCTCTGTAATAACTTTGATTTCTCTCCGTGCTCCGTCGTTTGGTTTTAATCCGGATAAATGAAAGGTTTGGGACCAAGTGAAGGCGTCCAACCCGGACCTGAAGCTGTGGGAGATCGGGAAGATCATCGGAGGCATGTGGAGGGACCTGACGGACGAGGAGAAGCAGGACTACCTCAACGAGTACGAGGCTGAGAAGGTGAGGCTTTCTCTGCTGCTGAAGGACTAACCATCAGTGACTCCTCCTGCTGCTCCTGCTCCTCCTGCTTACTACAGTGTGTGTGGTCCACTAGTGACTGATGCTTTAAGTCTCATCACAGCCAGAGTTTTTTTATCTTTATTATCTATGATCTTAAACAATACTTTTATTCTGCTGTAATGGGCAAGAATGACATTGACATTTAAGGCTTAGAATCTTTTTAATGAGACAAAAGTGTAAAGAAGCTAGTTCTGCCTAATTAACACATGTTTCAGTGAGAGACTTCTGCCTTCGTCAAAGGAGGCACGAAATAGTGTCTATCAGCTGTTGTCACCTGATCAGACTGATCATACCCCCTACAGACTGACCACGGCTCCTACAGCCCGACCACGCCCCCTTCAGACTACCTACTGCCACTACAGACCCTATAGACTGACCACGGCCCCTACAGACTGACCACGGCCCCTACAGACTGACCACGGCCCCTACAGACTGACCACGGCCCCTACAGACTGACCGCGGCCCCTACAGACTGACCGCGGCCCCTACAGACTGACCGCGGCCCCTACAGACTGACCACGGCCCAATACAGACTGACCACGGCCAATACAGACTGACCACGGCCCAATACAGACTGACCACGGCCCAATACAGACTGACCACGGCCCAATACAGACTGACCATGGCCCAATACAGACTGACCATGGCCCAATACAGACTGACCACGGCCCAATACAGACTGACCATGGCCCAATACAGACTGACCATGGCCCAATACAGACTGACCATGGCCCGATACAGACTGACCACGGCCCAATACAGACTGACCATGGCCCAATACAGACTGACCATGGCCCAATACAGACTGACCATGGCCCGATACAGACTGACCACGGCCCCTACAGACTGACCACGGCCCCTACAGACTGACCACGGCCCCCTACAGACTGACCACGGCCCCCTACAGACTGACCACGGCCCCTGTGGTCTCTGCAGAAGTGAGTCCCAAGTGTGAGCCAAGGCGAAGGCCCCCTTGTCTCGGTTGATGGTCCGTGCTTCCCACTTCCTGATTGTAATATCCTCCATCTTTGTATTTATGTTCGCAGTCTTGAACCTTAAACATTTTGCACTTTTTTAGGTTAGACATTTCCCAACTGAGGGACGAATAAATGTTTATCCCCAAAGCTTCTCTGTTGAAAGTGTGTCTTGACAACGTTGGAGCGACTGAGCTTGTTCCATGACCTGTATCTCCCAGATCGAGTACAACGACTCCCTGAAGGCCTACCATAACTCCCCGGCCTACCTGGCCTACGTCAACGCCAAGAACCGAGCTGAGGCCGCCATGGAAGAGGAAAGCCGTCAGAGGCAGAGCCGCCTGGACAAGGGGGACTCCTACATGAGCATTCAGCCGGCCGAGGATCCAGAAGGTGATCATGTCATTATTCTCTCACTCCAAACACACTACCACTGCAGCCACAGCTGCCCTGGGGCACACTGACAGAAGCGAGGCAACCAGTCTGTGCCATCAGTAGGGGTGTGACGATGTGTCTCTGGTGTGTGATTGCGTGTCTCTGGTGTGTGATTGCGTGTCTCTGGTGTGTAGACTATGATGACGGGTTCTCGGTGAAACACGCGGCGGCCGCTCGCTTCCAGAGGAACCATCGTCTGATCAGTGACATCCTCAGTGAGATCGTGGTCCCAGACGTTCGCTCCGTGGTCACGGTGGGACGCATGCAGGTCCTTAAGAGGCAGGTCCAGTCCCTCATGGTCCACCAGGTAAGTCCTGATCATGTGACATCACTCTGTCCTGATCATGTGACATCACTGTAGAGCAGAGGTACCGGACTCGTGGATCTTGGGCCACAGAGGGTCCAGTCTGAGTGAAGCTGGACCGTTGTAACCCTGGGGCCTCGGCTCAGATTGACTTTACAGTGATTTAAAAATACCATATTTTTATTTTAGATGAATTGAGCTTGACCAGGATGGCCGAAGGGTTATGTTATCACGTGTGTCTGTGTGTGTGTGCAAAGTGTGAGAAAACCGATGCACACATTATTTACTTGTCTTTTTTATAATCATGGTGTTTTGAACAAATAATGACTGATTATAAGTTTGTATCATTTTTTTATATCTCTATGAACAAACTGTTGTACTGAGCAGAATGATGCACTTCAATGTTTATGGGCAAATGTTTTGTTGATAAAATGATCTTTAAATCTATACATAACACATTAGCACAGACTGATACGAAAGTGTCCAGTAGGGGGCGCCTCTGGGGCCGCTGCTGTAAACTCCTTTGAACATGTTTGGACGGTGTTTTCAGAGAAAGTTGGAGGCGGAGCTGCTGCAGATCGAGGACCGACATCAGGACAAGAAGAGGCGCTTCCTGGAGACCACAGACACCTTCAACACGGAGCTCAAGAGGGTAAAGCACCAAGCACTTTGTTAGCAGCACTTTGCATAAGTCTATAGTAAACCACAGGAAGTGCAGTAGGTTTCTCATCCTGCTCCAATAAGATTCTCGTCTTTCCAAGAACATGGAAATGTCTCATTACTGATATAAACGTCTCGATACCAGCTTTATGATAAAAATACAAAACCATGACATTTCCAATCCCAAACACGGACCCACAGAATCAGACTTTGTGCTGTTTTTGTTTAGGATCAGGTTTTAGTGGATTCAGTTACTTAGAGGTGGGTTTCTGTAAAAATAAAATAAATGTGTGAAAAATGTAGCACAGAGTGAAGGTCGCTGTGTCCCGCCTCAGGAGCTGCTGCTTCAAGACCAACGAGCCGTGTTAAAAGTGTCAAAGCCCATCACTAGGGCCAAGTAAATACATGTGTTATAGATAAATGCCATACAGATCTGTCAGCATAATGAACATTGTACTAAGTGTATTTGCTGCATCAGTTGCATTTGGAAAAGATAATTAACCGGGGGCAGTACGTCATAAACATCTCTAATGTGACAGAAGATTCTGGAGTCCTGAGAGAGGAACTTTGTCTGTCTCTGTGGGTTCCTCTGTGGCTTCCTGAGAGAGGGACTCTGATGTCTGTCTCTGTGGGTTCCTCTGTGGCTTCCTGAGAGAGGGACTCTGATGTCTGTCTCTGTGGGTTCCTCTGTGGCTTCCTGAGAGAGGGACTCTGATGTCTGTATATGTGGGTTCCTCTGCGCAGCTGTGTGGGCTGAAGGTGGAGGTGGACATGGAGAAACTGTCTGCAGAGATGGCGGCTGCAGAGGAGGCCGCTCGGAAACGTGCTGAGGAGCGAGAGAAAGAGAAGGAGAAAGAGGAGAAGGAGGCGGCAGAGAGAGCGGCTAAGACACAGGAGGAGAAACAGAACAGCTCTGAGGCAGCTGTGGCTGAAGGAAAGGAGGAGGACAAGGACACGCCCATGGAGACGGGTACAACACACACACATACACACACACACACACACACATACATACATACAGAGACACATATACACACACACACACATACATACACACAGAGACACATATACACACACACACATACATACACACAGAGACACATATACACACACATACATACACACAGAGACACATATACACACACACACATACATACACACAGAGACACATATACACACACACACATACATACACACAGAGACACATATACACACACACACATACATACACACAGAGACACATATACACACACACACATACATACACACAGAGACACATATACACACACACACATACATACACACAGAGACACATATACACACACACACATACATACACACAGAGACACATATACACACACACACATACATACACACAGAGACACATATACACACACACACATACATACACACAGAGACACATATACACACACACACATACATACACACAGAGACACATATACACACACACACATACATACACACAGAAACACATATACACACACATACATACACACAGAGACACATATACACACACACACATACATACACACAGAGACACACATATACACACACACACATACATACACACAGAGACACATATACACACACACACACATACATACACACAGAGACACATATACACACACACACATACATACACACAGAGACACATATACACACACACACATACATACACACAGAGACACATACACACACACACACACATACATACACACAGAGACACATATACACACACACACATACATACACACAGAGACACATATACACACACACACATACATACACACAGAAACACATATACACACACATACATACACACAGAGACACATATACACACACACACATACATACACACAGAGACACACATATACACACACACACATACATACACACAGAGACACATATACACACACACACACATACATACACACAGAGACACATATACACACACACACATACATACACACAGAGACACATATACACACACACACACATACATACACACAGAGACACATACACACACACACATACACACAGAGACACATACACACACACACATACATACACACAGACACATACACACACACACATACATACACACAGAGACACATACACACACACACATACATACACACAGAGACACATACACACACACACACACACACACAGAGACACATACACACACACACATACACACACACACATACACGTTTTTGTTACCTGGTGGGTCCCTTTGACAGGGCCGTTCAGAATGGGACCCATAGACATAATCTTTTTTTACCAAGACTTTAAGTAATACAAAACAGTCAATAGAAACCAAACAACTATTTTAAAGGAATTTTATTTTAGATTTTGTTTTCGAATTGCAGTGATTCTATTTTTGACATAGAATTTAATGCCACTCCATGTCCGATGTCTAAGGTCATCTGGTGAGGCATTAATGCAGGCCAGGCAGTGAGACTTCCCAGGGACCTTTCCAGTCTGTATGAAAGGTGTCATGGTCTTCTCCACAGCCTTCACCTCAGATGCAGACCATGGCTTTCTTACACGTTCTAGGGAGAGAAATAAAAATATATTAGCAATATACACTCCCAGGGTGAGGACCAAGCAGCCTGGCTGTAATCCCCCACCTGGTACACTTACCAGAAGGGGCACTGCCACTACCATGGGGTGCATCTGGATGAATGGTTGAAGGTTCTCCGCTTGAAGTTTCTTTTAGCCCGTCCGTTTGTGAGAGGATCTCTACTGCTCTCCCTGTCGCACAGAAAATAAAAATACAAGTGGCCTTTAGGGGAAAAAAAATCATACATATTTTAATAATATCAAGAATTACCTTCAGGCTCAATTTGTATCTGGTCGAGGCTCTTTCCTTCGAATTCCGTCACTCTTCCCTGCTCCATGGCCATCAACACTTTGCTGATTTTGGCCAGCTCCAGTGTCCCCTCTGGTAGTCTGTAATATTGCCTGTGGATGCGAATGTCATGGCCGAGGAAGTTGGCAAGTATGTCCATCTCATTCTCTTTCATATTGAGAACTGTAGACATAGTAGCTATGTGCTTTCTAAGTTTGGTTGAGGATAGCATCTCTGGATGCACCGCACCACATTCTTTGGCTACCTGGCGTAGGGAGTCTGATCCCCTGATGTGGGTGTCTGCGCCCGGGCGGGAAAAGAAGTATGGGTTATGGTCAGAGATGGAACAGGCCCTTCTGTTCTCCACCAGCACCTCCATCGAAGCAATCATTTCAGGAGTCAAAAGAACCGGCACTTTCCGACTTCTTTTCCCTTTAATTTCAATGCGTTGAAAATGCTGACACAGCTTTTTCTCAAGTTGGGACAGTCCCAGAGCAATGTCAGAATGGATCCCAGTCTTACTTCTTAAGGTAAAGGCTGTCAGTGGCATCTTTGAAACCTCACCTTCCCTTCTTCGATTGAAAATGATGACCTCACAAAGAGTCAAAACTGCCAGTTTAGACCAATGCTTAGACGTTGGCTCACTTATTAGGGTTTGCACATATTCAGGTCGACATACCTCAATATGTGCATGCATGGCTCTAACGTCCTCAGTCAGAGGGAGCAGGTCCGGAGTGTTCCACTTGGCTTGCCGGAGGGTCTGTAGGGCAGCAGAAGAAACACAGACGTCCCACCTCTTCTCAAAAAGCAGCCGGCTTCGTTGGAGGTTTTTAATAAATAGTTCATCAACACAATGCTCCATTTTTGAGTCACATTCAAGAATATCTGCTAGCTTTCTGAGGCTATGGCCGAGTTTGAGGGCCAAGGATGGAGTCTTGTATTGATTTGTTTCCTCATCATATCCAGCCACAGACCTGACTGCATCAATCACATGGTTAAAGTTGGAAGGAATAAAGAAATCCTTAATTGTTTTCAGTTTCCCTGCGGTTTTTGCTTCGTTAATTAACCTACCGACTTCTCTCATTTTCTGCCTAATGTAATCATGCTTTGTCTTATCATGCCCGTGTTTTAAGTACAGGTGCTCTCCGAGTCTCAGAATCCCCTTTTCTGCTTTGACAACACCCGTGACCTCATCCTGATGCATTGCCGAAATTAAAGACCACAGCTTTTTGCTGATGCCCTCCGGTACAGGCTGGGCTAGGGAGCAGAGGGACTGGACCCTACTTCTACCTGGTTTAGCCTGGGCATCTTTCTGTGAAAGCCGGCACCTGGCCACATGCCTCCACAGCGACTTTCGCTTAAGCAATGCCCCACAGTCTATACAGTGCAAAAACTCACTGGATTTAACTGGGCAATTTGGCTGTTTAGCTGGGACTAAAGTTCCAATGCCAGCCTTTAAAACCTCAAAATTGTGCTCACGGTTTCCACTATTCCTGATCAAATCAAACTGAAGTTTACGTGCTTTAGATTTCACAGGTAGAGCCAATGCTCTGGCTACGTCACTTTCATTTCCATGTTTTCTAGTCAAATGACGGGACATTTTGTGGCAGGACATTGAACAGTAGAGGCAGAAGTGTCTCTTGCTGTATACTCGCCCCCCATTTTTCTTCTTTTGCAGCTGCATGATAACAATCTTATTTGCCTTTGGTTCGTCACTTTCCGAGTCTTGAAGAAAAGTGTTTTTGATTTTTCTTTTTCCATACTTTTTTACAGGTTTCTTCTTGACAGTTAAATCGTCAGAATCTGAGTCGACTTCATCAATTAGGGACTCTTGACTAAGCTGCACAAACAACAAATAATTTGTAATCATTCTATATAACAATTTGAAGTCATGACTTGTAGTCAGCACTTACCAGTGGTTTGTAAGCGTGCGCTTCAGTGTGCTCCTCCATGATTTCTTGCAGCCTAATGAACCACACACTTGCACCTTTTTCTAGCCTGACACCTGATTTCCTCTGTTGTGCTGCTCCATGATTGGCTCCAGCCTGCTGGACTGAAATTGCCCCAGTGTGCCCCTCCTTGATATCCCGCAACCCACCACCAGGGTTCCGACACATAACACACTTTTTTCAGGAAAGTAAACCTCCAGGGGTCCTTTCCATATTTTTACAGAGACTGCATAAGGACCGTTAGAAAAGCATTACCCATTGATTATTAAGCTTGGACCAGTGGGGTCCGGTGTTCGGGCCCCACCACGTAAAACCAGTCCCCATGACGTGAGTGGAATCTCAGGTTATGGAACCCACCAGGAGTTGAAAACAAGTGCACACATACACATACAGAGACACACACATACACATAGAGACACACACATACACACATACAGAGACACATACACACACACACACACACACACATACAGAGACACATACACACACACACACACACACACACACACATACAGAGACACATACACACACACGCACACATACAGAGACACATACACACACACATACACATACACATACAGAGACACATACACACACACACACACATACACATACAGAGACACATACACACACAGAGACACATACACATACAGAGACACATACACACACACACACACATACACATACAGAGACACATACACACACACACACACATACACATACAGAGACACATACACACACACACACACATACACATACAGAGACACATACACACACACACATACACATACACATACACACACACACACACACATACACATACAGAGACACATACATACACATACAGAGACACATACATACACATACAGAGACACATACACACACACACACACACATACACATACAGAGACACATACACACACACACATACACATACAGAGACACATACACACACATACACACACACACATACACACACACACACACATACATACAGAGACACACACACACACACCCCCATGGAGACGGAATTGAAACACAACACAATCTACAGATTCATGGACGATACGCATGGTCCGGTTGTTTTCTTGCATTTCCCAGAATACCTTGCGGTTAATGCTTGGACGTGAGTCTAGCAGGATAGTAAGTAAGTAAGTAAGTTTTTATTTATATACCGCCTTTTCACTGCAGATCTGAGTCTCAAAGCGGTTTACAATTGTTAATTTTGGGCATTTGTCTCTCACTCCACACAGAGATGGGAGCGGGGCCAGTACAGGAGGCGCATGCCAGAACTATTGGACATATTTTTAGTGGTAGGGGAAACCGGAGTACCCGGAGGAAACCTACGCAGACACGGGGAGAACATGCAAACTCCACTCAGAAAGGCCCTGGTCCGACCGGGATTTGAACCCAGGACCTTCTTGCTGAGAGGCGAGAGTGCTATCCACTCAGCCACCGTGCCGCAGGATATAGTCTAGCAGGATATAGTAGAGTAGGGTAAAGTAGGGTCGGTGGAAATGTCTTTGTCCTGTTGTCAGTTCAGTCCTGTGTCATCTCTAACCCATACTATCTTCTCTCCTCCAGACGAGTCCTCGATCCCAGACCCGTTGGCAGAGTCCAAGTCTGGGGCAGGACCCCCCTCTGACCCCCCCTCGTCCTCCTCGGGGAAGGCCTCCCCTCCCCCTGACCCCCCAGGAGACAGCACCCCAGGCTCCAGCGTCCCACCCAGCGACGACAGCAACAGCCTGCCCCCGGTGTCCACAGAGGTGCCCCCCCCATCACTGCCCGAGCCTGCCCCCAACCAGCCCCCACCCCCAGAGGAGCCAGTGCCTCCCCCCCCTCAGCAGTTCGACCTGTGAGATCCACAGGCTGCATCCACACGGCACTGAGCAACACATGTATGGTTCTGTAGGTTTATAAACTCAGACACACAACAACACTGACACACTCAGGCACAGACTGTGGCTGTATCTGAGAGACACACAACAACTCAAACCTTTTGACTCTATTCTATTTCTATATAAAACAATGAAGTCTCCATCCCCCCGTTCTCAGCGATACAGAAGGAAGAATGTGTGTCCTGTACCATCCTGAGTGTGTGTTGATGATCTCATGACGTGGCCACATCTGTGTCTGGTGTCAACACTTTCAGGTACAATCTAGAAGTATTTGTTCCATGTGGATAAAAGCTGTAATTACAAATAAATGAACCATAAATATTAGTGGTGGGTTTGGGCAGAAAAAGTGAGAATTGCGATATTTGGGCTCCCATTATTCACATACAAGAGACGAGAGTCGCAATGAGCAGAGAACACACAAAAGTGAAAACAATCATTTAAATATCACAATACTTTGTTCTGTATCCACATAATTGCGTTCACAGAATATCGCGATACTGATCCGTTGAGCCACTCATTAAAATCGCCGTCAGTTAAGACCGAAGCAGATTTCTGACCCGTTAGTCACAGTTGCCTTCAGGGTGATGCGTGTGGATGTGGCCCTTCCCCCGCTGGGAGAAGCAGAGCATGTGAACTATAGCCCACCCATAGCCCCAGCATGTCCGGGTTAGAATCCACTGATTTAGCCAAAGAAAACCAGGAACCAGGAGAGCACCAAGCTATTCCTGTCGTTAGCTCAGGATGTGGCGGGCGCACGCAGGACCTAGCACGTTAGCATTAGCCCAACCTCTTGAGCTTCAGTAAACATGTGTTGGTCGATCTCTGGTTTAGTTTGTCGGGAGTCTTTGAATTCAGGATCAGACTACAGCGAACTACATCTGATGCTTTTACGATCTTCTGCGTCTCGAGCTAAACCCACGTTACTCCGACGTGTTTGGGATTCCAGACTTTGGGCCTGCGCTCTCCCGCCACATGTTCTCTCTCAGATCTTCTCACGAGCACCACTACTGTGACGAGGCCAACGGTTTACTTCGAATCCCACTGTGGTTTTTCTCTTCTTCCTCTTTCACTGAAGCAATTCCACTCAAACAAAAGAGACAGCCTTAGAACCACCTCAGACCCTTTCTCTTCGTGAAACCTCAATATTTATCTTCTACTGTCGTCGTTTTAGAAGAGCTCCTAGCTTAGTGCAACCGACTCTTGACACCTGTGAATCCACATGTCCCACGGCGGGAGGAGAGCGCCCTCTGGGAGCGAGGGGGTCGGGCGCCACGGTCTGGACGCCGTGGGGGTTTCTCTCGTGTGCGATTGAGACTGTTTCTTACTAGGATTGCACTGTTTTAGCAACAAATATAGCTTTGTTTTTTTGCATATTTTGTACTTCCTGAATTTATCCGAATAAAGATTTTCTGTTACTGACGTGTTTGTGTTGATGTTTTAGTTTAAGTTCAGGACGGTTTGGTTTTGACATGAACTCATTAAGAAAAGAGACTGTCGCACATTACAGCAGAATTAAAGGAGGGAATAAGACTCCGGTTCTGCTCAAGATCATAGAAAGTATAAGAGTTCAAGATGAAACTGGGCTGTAATGTCCCTTGGATGAATAAACAAGAGTAAGAGGGTCAGGGTTTAGCTGAGTCAATGCTAAAGTGTTTAAGTTAAAGAAAACGTTTTTTGGTTAAATCTTTTTTATACATGGGTCAATTAAAACTGCTAAATCTCAGACCCTCTCGTTATTTAAACTGATGTCGTTAGTGTGGGAATAAGAGTTCTAACTGCTGATCTCTCCGGTCGCTCTTTGCTCTCTCTGGTCTCTGGTCCCTGGTTTCTTTCTGGTCTCTGAATCTGAAACACTGCCTCGTGTTTAGTCCTGACTCTGGGACCAGCAGGAGGCCAGTCCCTGTGCTCCTCAGAGTTGGTTTACATGTAACTAATGTTTATTTATATAGCACCTTTCTCAGACCAGAGTCAAAGCGGTTTCAATTGTGGGCATTAGTCTCTCACTCCACACAGAGATGGGAGGGGCCAGTACAGGAGGCACCGACCTATTGCACAGGTTTTTAGTGGTAGGCATGGGCGTCGGACTGGGGGGGTAAAGGGTACCGAGTACCCAGGGCCCAAGGCGGGGAGGGGCCCTCTAAAGTGTGTCTTTATATTTATATGTATTAGGCATTGTGGTATATTCATATTATTACAATTTGAATGAAAGGGGCCCTGTATAAAAATAACCAACGTTTTAACCTCAGTTTTCTTCTAAAAACAAATTTGTATGCTATATCAGGGCCCTGCCACCCCCTTACAAAAGATCAAATGGTACGACCCACATGTGCGCTTGTTGCTGTGTTGCTGCCGCTGCAGCGAGTTGATTTGTTTGAGCAGCGGCAGAAGCGGGAAAAATAGAAATGTCTTTGCCAAAGAAAGGAAAATCAGGATTTCAGAAAAGAAAAGAAAGACAGGACAGGGAGAAAAAGTGTAATGAGGGCAAGCAATTGCTTACTCAGTTCTTCCACTCGAGAGGTGAGTATATAGAGACGTGTTAAGGCCACATCAGGAGATAACCCAGAGACATTTGTTTCTGTATTCTAAACTCACGGAGAGCTAACAGTGTGCTGTGTATGTGGTAAAAAAAACGTTATCCAGAGTGACACACACAGACGCGCAGCTGTAAAGGGAGCTCACACACACTGCTGTCCACTTCTCCTTCAAAGGCAGGCAGCAAAGAGTTATTTTCATGTACAACCCTGTACCCTATATTCCCACTATTGTCATAATCTGTCCGTCCGTGAGTCTTGCAGTCATAAGTCACGGGTCACTCACTGGCCTCTGCATTGGATCATCTGGTTATAACCATACAAATCACACGCCCCCGCACCGATTTGGAGTTTTCTGGTGACATCTAGTGGTCAAAATAATGTAATTAAGTCTAATGGTCTAAAGGTTTCTAGCTCTACAATTATCTTAGTGTGTAAACAAGGGTGAAATGAGACTTTCTGGTGTGTAAACTTAGGCTTTTAAGCCAGAAATGACAACTGTAAGCCCCCCTTCTTCTCCACTGGTGCCATTTTTACAGAAAAATTTCAAATGTTCATGTGGGCGGAGTAAGGCTAGGACCAGGTGTTTAGTTGAAAATGGAATAGGCTCATTTCAAAAAAGATTGCATCGATTGAATTTTGCCACAAAGTCTAAATTGGTGGATAATAATGAACCATAAAAAGTATTTTGTTGTATGTTTGTACAATAACAAATAAGTAACTTACCTACTCATGGTCCATACAAATAAGATAAGATATACAACATATTTTATATGAATAGCCATATACACATATCACATAAAGGCATGCAGGCATATACGTAATAGCTATACACTGTAATGATGGAATATAGTATCTGTTTGCAACCCATTAAAGCTACTTTATTTCAGTTTCAGGAAGAGAAGCATCATGGCCAGATGAAGGCACTAGTAGTGAGGGTTTGACAGTGAGGCATAATTAAATTATTATATATATATATATATATAAAAAGAAACGTGTAGTGGGGGCCCATTGAGACTGTTTGTACCCGGGGCCCAGAATTTGGTGCTTCCCCCCTGGTGGTAGGGCAAACCGGAGCACCAGGAGGAAACCTACGAAGACACTGGAAGAACATGCAAACTCCACTCAGTTCCGACCGGGATTCCAATCCAGGACCTTCTTGCTGAGAAGCGAGAGTGCTATCCACTCAGCCACCGTGCCGCCCAAACATCTCACAGATGTACTTTGATACAAGGCCATGGAGAGACTTGTAGCAAGCACTGACCTGAGACCAGGACTAATGTGAGAGGACTTCAGGACAGAGACCTGAGACCAGGACTAATGTGAGAGGACTTCAGGACAGAGACCTGAGACCAGGACTAATGTGAGAGGACTTCAGGACAGAGACCTGAGACCAGGACTAATGTGAGAGGACTTCAGGACAGAGACCTGAGACCAGGACTAATGTGAGAGGACTTCAGGACAGAGACCAGGACTAATGTGAGAGGACCTCAGGACAGAGACCTGAGACCAGGACTAATGTGAGAGGACTTCAGGACAGAGACCAGAGACCAGGACTAATGTGAGAGGACTTCAGGACAGAGACCTGAGACCAGGACTAATGTGAGAGGACTTCAGGACAGAGACCTGAGACCAGGACTAATGTGAGAGGACCTCAGGACAGAGACCTGAGACCAAAACAGTGGAAGTTCTTCTGCATCTGTCCAGGACTAGCTCAGTTCAACACAACAGTGACAGACTGATCCACCCTCGCTGTCTGCTGCTGTCAGACTGTACAATGAACAATGAGGACACTGCTGACCTGACCTCACATATAATGTCAGAATGTGCAATAACCATGTCTCTGCCTCGTGCTGCTCATGCACAGATGTAAACTTACTGGTTTTTTACACAGAATATTCAGGATTGTGTGTAAAAGTAAAAATATTAATCTGGTGAAGGAATTTCTCAGAAGGTCATAGTTTTGAATAGGAGCAGTCAAAATGACAGCTCTGGGAGTTTCAGAATCCTCGGAGTCGTGCACGTGCAGAGGCGCACGCGCCCGCCCCCTCCCGTTGGGACCGGAGCGCGCGCGGAGGCTGAGGATAAAGTTGATCCTGTCCCAGAGGAAAGGACCATGCCCCCGGGACCTGGGTTCCTCCGGCTGCTCCGGGTCCTCCCGCTGCTGTTGGCCCCGGGGCCCCGTGTCTCTGCAGAGATCTCGTCCAAACCGGAGGATTACGAGTTCGGGGATTACCGCGGGAAGTGGTGCCTGGACGAGAGCGGGTACGTGTACGCCATCGGACAGGTGTACTCCCCCAGCCCGTTCGCGTGCCCCTGCACGTGCACGGAGGACGGGCCGCTGTGCGTGAGACCCACGTGCCCGCGCGTGCATCCCCGCTGCACGCGCATCCGCTACAAGGGCTGCTGTCCCGTGTGCGAAGCCATGGCGCGCGTGTGCGTGTACGGGGGCCGCACGTACAGACCACTGGAGGAGTTCTGGGTGAGTCTTCAGCACTGAGCCACACGGGACTTTAGTTTTCAAACAGAAATGACGTCATGCTGATGATTTGTGATTTTATAAAAAAGTTAATCCACCCTTTGGCAGTTTAAAATCTAAACAGTTTTTCATATTATTCTAAATGGATCCAGTAAAGTTTTGCAATATTGAATTAAATAATGATCTGTTTCACTTTTTCCATCTGAGGTTAATGTGACACTACCCCTGACGTTCCAAATCCTTCCAAGTCCACCCCTCTGACCTGGGACCCCTCTGACCAGGCGCCCCTCTGACCTGGCGCCCCTCTGACCTGGTGCCCCTCTGACCAGGCGCCCCTCTGACCTGGCAACCCTCTAACCTGGCACCCCTCTAACCTGGCACCCCTCTGACCAGGCGCCCCTCTGACCAGGCGCCCCTCTGACCTGGCACCCCTCTAACTTGGCACCCCTCTGACCTGGCGCCCTCTAACCTGTTCCCCCTCTGACCTGACCTGGCGCCCTCTGACCTGGCACCCCTCTGACCAGGCACTCCTCTGACCTGGCACCTTCTAACCTGGCGCCCTCTGACCTGGCACCCTCTGACCTGGCACCTTCTAACCTAGCGCCCTCTGACCTGGCACCCTCTGACCTGGCACCTTCTAACCTAGCGCCCTCTGACCTGGCGCCCTCCTGCAGGTGTCCCGCTGTGAGCACTGTCGCTGTGGAGCCAACAGAGAAGTTTACTGCAGTATCTCAGACTGTCCCGCCCCCCACTGTGTCAACCCCACCTACTAGCCTCACCACTGCTGCCCCATCTGCACCACCGGTATTCTGCACCACCTCTGCACCTACTACACCACCCACTACACCAGCTTTGCATCTACTACACCACCCACTGCGCCACCTCTGCACCTACTACACCACCCACTACACCACCTCTGCACCCACATTACAGTACTTACACCAGAGGAGCTGAAGAGGAGACTCCCTCACCGTGTGTCGTTGTCTTCACTGTGATGAATATTATGGACAGTTTTGTTTTGAAGTTTAAAAAAAATCTAAATCTTAGCACGGTGGCTGAGTGGATAGCACTCTTGCCTCTCAGGGAGAAGGTCCTGGGTTCGAATCCCGGTCAGACCAGGGCCTTTCTGAGTGGAGTTTGCATGTTCTCCTCATGTCTGTGTAGGTTTCCTCCGGGTACTCCGGTTTCCCCGACCACTAAAAACATGTATAATAGGTCTGGCATGCACCTCCTGTACTGGCCCCGCTCCCATCTCTGTGTGGAGTGAGAGACTAATGCCCAAAAATAACAACTGTAAACCGCTTTGTGACTCTGGTCTGTGAAAGGCGCTATATAAATAAATATTACTACTACTTACTAGTTCATTATATTCCTGTATACCCTCCGTCTTTACAAACAGACGATCGATCAAACAAACTCCACTCTTCTTTTTGCCCAAACCTCAGACTGCTCTCGTCTACAGCAGCTCAAAAACTGTCGATTCTCCGACACAGATCAGAGAATCAAACACAGACATTGGTCCAAAAGGAGCAGAGACCAGTGTCCAATAATTTAACTCGGTTTAAAAAATCCTAAATAAACATTCTTTTGAAAGTCTCTTTGACACAAAGACATCAACATGATATTCTTCATTAGCAACAAAACAAGAGTCTGTGATGTCACACTCTCCTCCTGGTCCTAATCTTTGTGATGGGAACAGAACACAGCAGATGGAGGATGTTACATCATGTTAATCTTTTATCCTCCACCGTCGGAGGAAACAGAGACATATTTGTTTATGTCAGTGTTCCTCATCCTCTGTGTTTATGTCAGTGTTCCTCATCCTCTGTGTTTATGTCAGTGTTCCTCATCCTCTGTGTTTATGTCAGTGTTCCTCATCCTCTGTGTCAGTGTTCCTCATCCTCTGTGTTTATGTCAGTGTTCCTCATCCTCTGTGTTTATGTCAGTGTTCCTCATCCTCTGTGTTTATGTGAGTGTTCCTCATCCTCTGTGTCAGTGTTCCTCATCCTCTGTGTTTATGTGAGTGTTCCTCATCCTCTGTGTCAGTGTTCCTCATCCTCTGTGTCAGTGTTCCTCATCCTCTGTGTTTATGTGAGTGTTCCTCATCCTCTGTGTCAGTGTTCCTCATCCTCTGTGTAAGTGTTCCTCATCCTCTGTGTTTATGTCAGTGTTCCTCATCCTCTGTGTCAGTGTTCCTCATCCTCTCTGTAAGTGTTCCTCATCCTCTGTGTTTATGTCAGTGTTCCTCATCCTCTGTGTCAGTGTTCCTCATCCTCTGTGTTTATGTGAGTGTTCCTCATCCTCTGTGTCAGTGTTCCTCATCCTCTGTGTAAGTGTTCCTCATCCTCTGTGTTTATGTCAGTGTTCCTCATCCTCTGTGTAAGTGTTCCTCATCCTCTGTGTTTATGTGAGTGTTCCTCATCCTCTGTGTTTATGTCAGTGTTCCTCATCCTCTGTGTTTATGTCAGTGTTCCTCATCCTCTGTGTCAGTGTTCCTCATCTTCTGTGTCAGTGTTCCTCATCCTCTGTGTCAGTGTTCCTCATCCTCTGTGTTTATGTCAGTGTTCCTCATCCTCTGTGTCAGTGTTCCTCATCCTCTGTGTAAGTGTTCCTCATCCTCTGTGTTTATGTCAGTGTTCCTCATCCTCTGTGTCAGTGTTCCTCATCCTCTGTGTTTATGTCAGTGTTCCACATCCTATCACATTATTTTGTTTCAATCTGGAAACACTACAAGACACCCTGGCCCCAGAGTGAGACGCCAAGGGTGATAGGCCGAGAGTGAGAGGGAGAGAGTGAGAGGGCGAGGCTGCAGCAGGTCGTCTACCAAGATTTAATTTCTGCAGGCTTTATTTACACTTTATTATGACCAATGAGTTTGAGAGTCTCTGTGTGTCCTCTGACCCTGTACTCTCTGACCCTGTGCTGTCTGTCCCTGTGCTGTCTGTCCCTGTACTCTCTAACCCTGTACTCTCTGACCCTGTGCTGTCTGTCCCTGTACTCTCTGACCCTGTACTCTCTGACCCTGTGCTGTCTGTCCCTGTACTCTCTGACCCTGTGCTCTCTAACCCTGTGCTTTCTGTCCCTGTACTCTCTAACCCTGTGCTCTGTCCCTGTGCTGTCTGTCCCTGTGTCTCTAACCCTGTGATCTGTCCCTGTGCTCTCTGACCCTGTGCTGTCTGACCCTGTGCTCTGTCCCTGTGCTCCAGGCCCTAACTGTTTCGTAGGGAGTAGGATCATTGAGGCTGGAGAGCGTGTGATCGTGGATGACACCGTGTGTTTCTGTACGTACCGCGAGGGCTCGTGGCACACGCTGCCGTACGCCACCTGTGAGGAGCAGCAGCTCAACACCGAGCTCCCCGAGGCTCACAGGGACCAGGACTCCAGCCAAGACTCCGGCCAAGACTCCGGCCAGGGCAGAGGCTACAGCCCACGCCTGCACCTCATCCCCTGAAGACTCCTGCATCAGAGACACTGTAAACACAGACCTCTGGACCCTCCTCTAACTATCTCTAAGGTATCTCTAAGCCAGGTAAGAAGCCGCCTTAGAGATCCTTTAGAGCACAGGTGTCAAAGTCAAGGCCCGGGGGCCAGATCCGGCCCGCGAGACCATTTCCAGTGGCCCTTGAGATGATTTTGAATTATTATATTAAATAGCAGCATTAATGGCAATAGGCGACAAAGGCATGTTATCCATGACTATTTTTCTCAAGAAAACAACCATAACATTTAATTCCATAAGAAATGTTAACATGTAATTAGAAGTTAGTGTTGTTTTGTTATGCTTTTTACGAGTCTTCCATTACATTTAAGATATGAAGGACGATTTCCCAATTTTCTTAAGAAAGAATTGTCCTCTACACTTTTTGAACAAAACTCTCTGGTCTTATTTGACGAGCACAAATCACCAGAATGATTGACAGTTGGGAGGACCAATAGTGTTGATGATCCACCCGGAAGTAGAAAATCATCCTAAATACCTTAAATATTTGGTACAGTTTTGGTTCAGTCCACAGTAACTGAACTCATTCTAATCAGAAAAGAATATACAATCTAACTAATGCGAAACAAGTTCATGTTATAAAAAAGTATAATAAATGAAACCCACTCATTCTTTCGGCCCCTAACCATCCTTTTCATTTTTTATTCGGCCCTCAACCAAAATAAGTTTGACACCTCTGCTTTAGAGATACCTTAGAGATAGGCTGAGGAGCTCAGTCGCTCTCTTCTCGTCCTTTTGATCAAAACAAAACATTTCAAAATAAGAGAAAAAAATCAAATCAAAAATGAAAACTGAAGGAAGGACATGTTTATATGAAAGTCAAACTGTTGTTTACACATGCGCCGCAGACACTCGGCTCAACATCATCTTTAAAGTCTTTGAATCAAATTAAACATTTTTGTTTAAAAAGTCTAAGTTACTCGAGCGACAGAGCCACAAATATTACTCAAATATTCCGAAGTCCTATTCCGGAAATGCAGTTTTGGTGTCTGTATTAACGGCTTATTAACCGAGCGCGAGGTCTGTGCAGAGAAATATCTGTAAATGTCTGATATTTCTCTGCACAGACCGAGCAAGCGAGGTTCATAAATGTTTTATTATATGACTCTCTGTGTCTTTACCAATACTTTTGAGATATTTGTGAAGAATGTTCATGTCCGACTTGGTTTTGTGTGATACGGGCTGCGGACCGATTGTCATGGTAACGGTCCGAGGAAAGATATCAAATGTTATACGCGCTGTTCGGACCAATTGTCATGGTAACGGTGCGAGATGGGAAAATATCAGACCGGTAATCAACCAATCAGAGCGCGCGTACGGTCCAAGTCTGTTCTTAGACCTGTTTCTTACTGCTAATGTCCACAGGAGGCGTTACAGCACACACACGTGATACGCGCAGCAGACGCGCGTAACATTTTGCATGTTAACCTATGATGATATTTACACTGCTAGTGTTGTACGCACGTACGACGGACGTATGATGCAAGGCTGCGCCTAATTTTGTGCGCGCAGCAACGCGTCTCCCATTGAAAACACATGTGAAACATGATTTTTATAGCGGCCCTTGGCTTTAGATCGCATCTACACACACACAGCCTTTGCGTCTGGCCAGACCAGCGCAGAGACCGTGAAGACAAACACATGCATGTGATTTGTGTTGCTCTACATCAGTCCTCTACACTGCTCCATAGACTACACAGGGACCTGCGCACACAGTGGACATGCAGCCAAATAATGTTACGCACAGATGCGCAGTCAACGCGTACGCGCCGTTAACGCCTCCTGTTTAAATCCCGTCAGTGTGTTGCGGTCATATGTGGACATAACTCTAACCCAGTCAAAGGTCAAGTTTCTATTTTTCTTTCATAGTTTGAAGGCAAGGGCAGCTTATAGCCGCTTGTGACCATTTCTCATTATTATTATTGTTCTCCACCTGAACACGTTTATGTTTTCAACCCAATGCCACTGACAAATATAAATATATGTTTCTGTCCAAACGCTGTAGAACTAACATGATTAAACCAGTTCGTTTGATTCTTTTCTGTTAAAGTTGACGAGTTTTTTAGAAAATGAAACATTTAAATCTATCAAGTGATGAGTTTGTGTGGAGTTTGCATGTTCTCCCTGTGTCTGCATAGGTTTCCTCCAGGTGCTCCAGTTTTGCGTCATCACGTGTGGAGAGAATGGGACAATATCTGAGCTCTCTGAAGTTGTGTGACATCGGTCTGTTAAATGTGCTATATAAACAAACATTACTTACAAACAGGAACCATTCTGGGACAGCCAATCAGCTCGCAGCCTTTCACTAAGCATCATTTTAATACATTTTCACTCCAACTACTGTAGCCACGGCTGCCCTGGGGCACACTGACAGAAGCGAGACCATTCTGTGCCATCAGCCCCTCCCACCACCACCACCAACCATTCACACACACACACACCTCATTCTAATGTGGGCTCTGACAGGACCTGGCTGCACCTGCAGGGGGCGCCACACAGATTACAATAGATAAAGACACAGCTGTCTGGTTTCTGTCTATGGACATAAAGTAATTTACAGAAAGTTGTCCCAGTTTAAAGTCTCCTCTGGTCCTCGTCTCAGTGTGCATTAGTTGTGTTGCTGGTTAGCAAGTGTTGTGATGCTCTGAGTGGGTTGTGTTGCTGGGTGGGGTCCAGGCCGATGCAGGTGGAGGCTCTCAGCTCTAGTTCCTGTTCCCGCTGTTCCACCCTGTGCCAGAGGAAACATTCCTTATGGAAGGACAGGGGCCAGAGCCAGCTGGCATCTGACGAGACCTCCAGGATCCAGGGGCCTCCGTTCAGGAAAACCGGTTTCAGGCTTGGACCATTTTCATCCACTCGACCAAAACGAGCCCCAGTCCCAGACGGTTTGGTGAAGACAGGCTGCATTATGTGTTTGTGTGAGTAAAATAAGGACGTTGGAGATTTCATTCCAACCTTAGTCCCATCGTCCACTGCTTTCAGCCGAGACCCACTGACCTTTGACCCTTGTGCAACACTCAGTCTACTTTTAACACTGGGTTCATTTTGACCTGTTTTAGAACCTACATTAGAGTCCAGATGACCAGAGGACACAGTGACAGTGCTCGGATCAAACAGACCAAACACACCTTTGGGGATTTTAACACATTTATTGAAAACATTGAGGCTCAAGCGATGCTGCCGGCGTTTGAGGCGATCCTGGGCCACAGGTCTGCGCACTCTTTGGCCACGGGGCCCGTGATGGCAGAACCTGGAACAGACACACACATTAGACAAAGATACTACACACACACAGACTGCTTGGCTCCAGGTGAAAAGATACACATCTGTCTCGTCACTGATTGAGCTCGGTCAGCCACAGAGCCGCTGCCGTCTCACCCACAGTGAGGACTCACTCTGCCCTTCTACGACAACTCCCCCAGCCACGGAGCAGACCAGACAAGTGCTTTTTGAAGGGACACACACACACACAGACCAGACACACACTCACCTTTCATTTCTCCTTTGTTATTTACTATGACCCCCGCATTGTCTTCAAAGTACAGGAACACCCCGTCTTTTCTCCGATACGACTTCCGCTGCCGTATCACCACCGCAGGATGCACTACACACAAACGCACAAGGACACACACTTCAGTCTCTACAGCTATCATTTCAACACTGCAGTTTCAAAAACAGCAGCAATGACAGACACACGGCACTAAATCAGAAGTACCCAAACTATTAACAAAACCAGTGAGAAGAAGGCGGAGCCATTAGTGTAGAGCAGGGGTCTCCAAACTTCCACTGGAGAGCTACTTTTACAGAACAAATGGCAGAGAGCTACTCCCTGGTGTGGTCATAATGAAAATGCAGCATACAACCATGAACTATAGATTTTAACTGTTAATTATAGCATTTTTTCAGACAAGTTAAACACTTATAACAGTACGAAATGATTTAAAATGAAAATAGCATTTGTTAAATTCCTGAAGCCTTTGGGGAGCTACTTTAAACGGTGGTGAGCTACTGGTGGATCTAACTGTAGATTGGAGACCTCTGGTGTAGAGCAGTTTGGTTTGTGCTAAATGAGCTTCAACTACTGTGTATTTAGGGTAAGACTAGTTTGTACCAACTTTTTATCTTTACAGTGTAGAATAAACACTCATTTAGAACCAAACACCATCTGTTTGTCTCGTCACTGATTGAGCTCGGTCAGCCACAGAGCCGCTGCCGTCTCACCCACAGTGAGGACTCACTCTGCCCTTCTACGACAACTCCCCCAGCCACGGAGCAGACCAGACAAGTGCTTTTTGAAGGGACTCCTATGATTCAGCCTGACTCCAGCAGGGTCCTAACCGGTCCACAGGGCAGGTGCAGGTTTCCATCAGACCCAGACTCTATACATTAGGTCAGTCTTAACCTGAAGATGATCATCTGCTCCAGCTCGGTCTGATGGAAACCTGTAGCCCCCGCGGCACCCTCTGGACTCCTGCTCTACAGTTCAACAAGTTCTAATGTGTTTAACTCAAACGTACCCTTTTTCCGGAGTTCGGGCTTGCCTTTCTTCACCGTGGCCATCACCATGTCTCCCACGCCAGCGGCGGGCAGACGGTTCAGACGTCCCTTGATGCCTTTCACTGAGATGATGTACAGGTTCTTGGCCCCTGGAAACACAGCACAGTTCATCTCTACAGACAGCGCCTACAGACCGCTCCTCCATCCCCCCAGCCACTCATCACCGTGGGACACAGAGCCTTCAGTCGTTCTGCCCCCCCAGCTCTGGAACTCTCTCCCCTGACCTCCGTACCATCGACTCTCCCACTCTTCAAATCCAGACTCAAAACCCATCTTCTCAGACTGTCCTACCCCACCTAACACACACACACCATTCCATATTACACTTGACTGTTTTATTCTGTTGCTCCTGTTTTTATTATGTCCTGTAGTGTGTCCTTGGGTGTTTAGAAAGGAGCTTTAACATTGTTTTATTATTGTCATGTTTGTCTCGTCACTGATTGAGCTCGGTCAGCCACAGACCCGCTGCCGTCTCACCCACAGTGAGGACTCACTCTGCCCTTCTACGACAACTCCCCCAGCCACGGAGCAGACCAGACAAGTGCTTTTTGAAGGGACTCCTACGATACAGACTGAGCTGCACTTAAACCTCTACACTCCAATAATGCTTAACAGATCAAAGAACCTCAGGAAATATGTACATGTTAGGAACACTCATGAAAGCTGGAATGACATAGACCAGTGTCAATTGGAGCTTTGCAGCGTATAAATGATATGGAACTTTGTCAGTTCCATTTACTAAGCAGGTTAGACTTGTGAACATTACTGTAACATTAAAAGTGGACTAACCAATTCTGCATCTTAGATTCAGTCTTGTTTTAGTGAACTACAGGAAAAGAGTTCCCTTCACCATCTGAACGATCACATTACGCAGTATTCCAGATAATCTGCTGCTGGAGCTGTACCTGTGTTGTCTGCACAGTTGATGACCGCTCCCACCGGGAGACCCAAGGAGATGCGGAACTTCGCTCCGGAAGAACCTCCACGTCCTGAACACAATCACAGTCAGACACAGTCCATGTTCCACACAAACACTGGACATGTTAACATTCATATAGAGACGGTCAAGTGTTGGCAAACTGTATGAACAGAAATGTGTTTAGAGCTGGGGCACTCAGCCCAGCGACACAATCTGACACTTGGGCAGACTGAGTGGATATTTAATTTGTCTAAATGCTGATTCAAAAACGTAACAAGGCCAAAAACACATGAAATCCAGTGATGGAAGCAACAGATCCAGGGTCGAATTGTGAGTTGTAATGTTCTGGTTTGCCGTTAGGGACATCAGCATTTATGCAAAGTAACTTATCAGTGCAGCCATAATTAACCTCATGAAACAAACACATGCAACTATAACCCTTTACGTGAATAGAATGCAGATATTTTGGCCTAAATTTACAGTCCGGTTCTCTTCTCATGCAGGATATTAGAATCCAGACATGTCTTCAAACACTGGAGACTTGCTGCATAAATGTACAATTTCTGTTCAGTGAAATAAACATGTCTTAGTTCTAGCCCAGTGTGATGTTAGCAGTGGCTAACAGTTAGCATCGGCTAACAGCCTCGAGAATCACAAGTCCAGCTTCATTCACGAACACGTTACTAACATGAAACATGTCACGGCCACGCACGGACAGAACAACATATGTTTGAATCCATTTGACCCAAAATATTCAATCCACGTGTTTTTCACATTAAACAGAGACAGCACAGCGCTAGCGGCGGAACATGGCTCCCGCGGTGCATCCGGACACAGATCTCTACAATCCTCAAACATCACGGCCTGAAACCAAACTACTGCATCCGTCCCGAAGATTCATGTTTTATGTTCGGATTAAAGTAGAATTAAAACATGGATAATGTCCTCAAACTGCAGATTACTGTGGATTAGAACGGGCGGCTCTCATACCTCTCTTAGACATGGCTGCGGCAGGGAAAGAGGAAGCTGGAGGAGAGGATGCTGGGATATGTAGTTCGCCTCAGCTGCTTCCGCTTTCACTGATGCTTCTGAAATAATAAGATATTGTGGGAAAAACGAATAATAAATTGGTCAGTGATGGTCCACGATATCGTGCGTACATGAAAAACACGTGTGTACAGTGAAGTGAATATAAAAGATTCACAAAAATGTTCCGTGAGAGTGACCTGCAGGGGGCGGCAGAGAAGCGCACGTGTTCGGCTGAAACACTGCAAACTGCGACCAATTCCATGGACCAAGACCAAAGTGTTTTCTATCGTTACATGTCCTGTGTTTGATCTGTTTGATTCTCTGATCTGTGTAAAGTCCTCTGAGAGAAAACTGTTGTGATTCAGGGCGATACAAGAATAATGTAAATACTGTTGATTACATCTATATATTCCTGTTTATAAGCTTTATAAGAAACACATCATATAATCATTCAATCAATCTTTGTTTGTAGAACGCCACACAGGGCAACACAAAGCACATCACACAAATCATTACATAAAACAAACACCAAAAAAACACTAAAAACACAAATAAAATCACACAAGAGATTAAATCAAATAACATTGTAAGTTGAGAAACAACCCATCGCACAGGCAAACAAAACATCTTTATCCTGGATTTAAACTCTGGATGTCAGAGAAGGAGCTTTTCTCCGCTGTTTTGTCCTGACTCTGGACACAGTCATCACACTTCTGCTGTTGAATGTCTTTAGTGTAAATATATATGTATTTATACACACACCAGACGCATTCTAATGTGGGGGAAGTGACTTGCACAACCACAGTTTGGCACTTTACAGCCGCAGCCGCCCCACTGTGGCACCTGGTGTTCAGAGGTCTCCCATCACAGTACTGACCAGGCCCTGCCATGCTTAGTTTCAGAGGTCTGACGGGATCTGGCTTTCACCTGCAGGTGGCGCCTCAGCTGCAGACACAGCTGATATCTGTGGAAGGACGTGTATTTTTAATTACATATAAATGATATTGTATTGTTTTATTTTTTAAATTACATTTTGAAAGAGAGTGATGTCACATGACAGCAGCGTGAGGCTGTAGAGAGTGATGTCACACGACAGCAGCGTGAGGCTGTAGAGAGTGATGTCACATGACAGCAGCGTGAGGCTGTAGAGAGTGATGTCACATGACAGCAGGGTGAGGCTGTAGAGAGTGATGTCACATGACAGCAGGGTGAGGCTGTAGAGAGTGATGTCACATGACAGCAGGGTGAGGCTGTAGAGAGTGATGTCACATGACAGCAGGGTGAGGCTGTAGAGAGTGATGTCACATGACAGCAGGGTGAGGCTGTAGAGAGTGATGTCACATGACAGCAGGGTGAGGCTGTACATTATTCAAACCGCTTCACAAAGACTCCTTTGGCTCTGATCCTGATTCACAAACTCAATCTCCTCCAGTGAACGACAGACGGCGATGATACTGAATATATTTGACTCATAATGAAGTCCACGTCTCGCCGCACGCCGCCTCTGATTGGCCGAGCCCTGGGAGCCTTAAAGAACTTTATAGAAAAATGGTTTTAATGCGAAGGAGAAGAAAATGTGTTCAATTCTACAATGAGAGCATTTGTCAAAAGGGCAAATATAATCCTCTGGTTCAGGATTTAGACTTTTATACTTTTATATATTTATATATTTATACTTTTATACATGTCCAAACCAATATCTACAGTCTACAGCCTCAGTCCTGGACTTACAGCCTCAGTCCTGGATCTACAGCCTCAGTCCTGGATCTACGGCCTCAGTCTTGGATCTACAGCCTCAGTCCTGGATCTACAGCCTCAGTCCTGGATCTACAGCCTCAGTCCTGGGTCTACAGCCTCAGTCCTGGATCTACAGCCTCAGTCCTGGGTCTACAGCCTCAGTCCTGGATCTACAGCCTCAGTCCTGGATCTACAGCCTCAGTCCTGGGTCTACAGCCTCAGTCCTGGACTTACAGCCTCAGTCCTGGATCTACAGCCTCAGTCCTGGGTCTACAGCCTCAGTCCTGGACTTACAGCCTCAGTCCTGGATCTACAGCTTCAGTCTTGGATCTACAGCCTCAGTCCTGGGTCTACAGCCTCAGTCCTGAGTCTACAGCCTCAGTCCTGGGTCTACAGCCTCAGTCCTGGGTCTACAGCCTCAGTCCTGGGTCTACAGCCTCAGTCCTGGATCTACAGCCTCAGTCCTGGATCTACAGCCTCAGTCTTGGATCTACAGCCTCAGTCCTGGGTCTACAGCCTCAGTCCTGGACTTACAGCCTCAGTCCTGGATCTACAGCCTCAGTCCTGGGTCTACAGCCTCAGTCCTGGACTTACAGCCTCAGTCCTGGATCTACAGCTTCAGTCTTGGATCTACAGCCTCAGTCCTGGGTCTACAGCCTCAGTCCTGAGTCTACAGCCTCAGTCCTGGGTCTACAGCCTCAGTCCTGGGTCTACAGCCTCAGTCCTGGGTCTACAGCCTCAGTCCTGGATCTACAGCCTCAGTCCTGGATCTACAGCCTCAGTCCTGGATCTACCCTCTCGACCCCTTTAACCCCCCCTGGTGTCTCTGCTCTTCCTACCTTGAGTTACCTGTTTTCATGTAATCAGTGCCGAGGTGTGACAAAGCTTGTGTGAATCCCGTTGTGTGTCAGAGACTGATGCAGGGTCTGAGGAGCGACTGCAGAAGCGTTCTCCATTTGCAAATGCTTGTTATTATCATGTACTTTTACTTTCATTAAACCACACAAAATGCAACTCTGGTTCCACGGATCATTAAGGAAGTTTCCACAACATATATCAGTCCATATCTTCCACCTGTCTAAAACTCTGCACTATTGTTAGGTAGTTAGAAATGTTTATTATTGATGCACTTGTTCATATGGAAGTGGTTTTCTCCGACAGGGATCAATAAAATATCTCTCTCTTTCTCTCTAAATAACGTGCAGCTCTTTCTCAAATCTCATGTTTCGAGCCCAAACCACAGCTGCTCCGGTGACTTTACAGAACGATCCAAATGTGGTCATAACGTCTGCATCGTTCTTTGTGCACTGATATTTTAGCGGCACATTAAAGCCTCCTCCTCCCGCCGCAGCTCCAGCCTCTGTCTCCGTTAAAGGAGGTGTGAGGTCTGTAAATGTGCAGATGTGAAGCCTGTATAAATGTGTGTTGCTGTGTAATCGTGGTGTTAAAGGCCTCATGAATCCGCTCCTTTATGACCCACAGTCTTTACCTCGGGACTATAACGATACCGAGCGGTGCTTCTGGAGGTTTCTGTCTTTGCTCTGATCGTGCTGTGGACCGTTATCGTGATGGATCCTCGTCGGGTCGTTACGGTAATCTGAGTAAGGTCAATGTTGCTGGTTATGTCTTTGTCACACACATGGTCCGACTGTCGCTGCCGAGTCAGTCAGGAAACATTACACACAAGGATCTAAGAGGGATTTATTATTGATCCTGGATCCAAACAAACAAACAAATAAATAATTTATTCTCTCTGGTCTCTCTCTCTGGGCTCTCTCTGGTCTCTCTCTGGTCTCTCTCTCTGGTCTCTCTCTGTTCTCTCTCTGGTCTCTCTCTGGTCTCTCTCTCTGGTCCCTCTCTGGTCTCTCTCTGGTCTCTCTCTGGTCTCTCTCTGGTCTCTTTCTGGTCTTTCTCTGGTCTCTCTCTGGTCTCTCTCTGGTCTCTCTCTGGTCTCTCTCTCTGGTCTCTCTCTCTGGTCTCTCTCTCTGGTCTCTCTCTCTAGTCTCTCTCTGGTCTCTCTCTGGTCTCTTTCTGGTCTTTCTCTGGTCTCTCTCTGGTCTCTCTCTGGTCTTTCTCTGGTCTCTCTGGTCTCTCTGGTCTCTCTCTCTGGTCCCTCTCTGGTCTCTCTCTGGTCTCTCTCTGGTCTCTCTCTGGTCTCTTTCTGGTCTTTCTCTGGTCTCTCTCTGGTCTCTCTCTGGTCTTTCTCTGGTCACTCTGGTCTCTCTGGTCTCTCTCTGGTCTCTCTCTGGTCTCTCTCTTCCTCTGACCAGTCTCTCTGCTCGGGTTTGGAGCGAAATTCTAAATGCTTTATTAGCCTTTTATTTTTCCTTTTTAAAGTGATCAGTCCTCCAGTGTATTTCCTCTTGGGTTTGGGACCATCGTCTCTGGACCAGTGTAAAACCATGAACACTGTTCTGCAGAAACATTTACAGATAAAATAGCAATTATAAAACTGTAATTAAGGCATTTATTTAACAATATAGTTGTATTAATGACATAATTCGTATCTTTGTCTGTTTCCTGTTGTGTTTGTCCACTGGGGGCAGTGTAACGCTCCTGAACCGGAATCTGAACAAAGTCAAAGATATGGTCGTATGAATTCACTTTGTTGTTGATCAGAAAACATCTGAACACATTTAAACACTTTTACTTTTACTCAGTTCATGGGTTCAACTTAAAGCTTTAACAAATATATCACAACATGTATTTCAGTTGTGTTCAAACTGACGGACTCAAAGAAGCTTCAGCCCGATCACAACACAACACAACCCAACACAACCCAACTCAACCCAACCCAACACAACACAACCCAACACAACCCAACACAACCCAATCCAACCCAACTCAACCCAACACAACACAACACAACCCAACACAACCCAACTCAACCCAACACAACACAACACAACCCAACACAACACAACCCAACAAAACCCAATACAACCCAACACAACCCAACACAACACAACCCAACCCATCACAACCCAACACAACCCAACACAACCCAACACAACCCAATCCAACACAACCCAACCCAACACAACCCAACACAACCCAACACAACCCAACTCAACCCAACACAACACAACCCAACACAACCCAACTCAACCCAACACAACACAACACTACCCAACACAACCCAACCCATCACAACCCAACACAACACAACACAACCCAACCCAACACAACCCAACACAACCCAACCCAACACAACCCAACACAACCCAACCCAACCCAACACAACCCAACACAACCCAACCCAACACAACCCAACACAACCCAACCCAACACAACCCAACACAACCCAATCCAACACAACCCAACCCAACACAACACAACCCAACTCAACCCAACACAACACAACCCAACCCAACCCAATCCAACACAACCCAACACAACCCAATCCAACACAACACAACACAACCCAACCCAACACAACCCAACTCAACACAACTCAACCCAACACAACACAACCCAACCCAATCCAACACAACCCAACACAACCCAATCCAACACAACACAACCCAACCCAATCCAACACAATCCAACACAACCCAACACAACACAACCCAACACAACCAAACACAGCCCAACCCAACACAACACAACACAACCCAACCCAACCCAACACAACCCAACACAACACAACCCAACACAACCCAACTCAACCCAACCCAACACAACCCAACACAACCCAACCCAACACAACACAACCCAACACAACCCAACACAACACAACCCAACACAGCCCAACACAACACAACCCAACCCAATCCAACACAACCCAATCCAACACAACACAACCCAAACCAATCCAACACAATCCAACACAACCCAACACAACACAACCCAACACAACCAAACACAGCCCAACCCAACACAACACAACACAACCCAACCCAACACAACCCAACACAACACAACCCAACACAACCCAACTCAACCCAACCCAACACAACCCAACCCAACACAACACAACCCAACAAAACCCAACACAACACAACCCAACACAGCCCAACCCAACACAACACAACCCAACACAACACAACCCGACACAACACAACACAACCCAACACAACCCAACCCAACACAACCCAACCCAACATAACCCAACACAACCCAACACAACCCAATCCAACACAACCCAACACAACCCAACACAACACAACCCAACACAACCCAACTCAACCCAACACAACACAACCCAACACAACCCAATCCAACACAACCCAACACAACCCAACCCAACCCAACCCAACCCAACACAACACAACACAACCCAACACAACACAACCCAACACAACTCAACCCAACCCAACCCAACACAAACCAACCCAACACAACCCAACCCAACCCAACCCAACACAACCCAACCCAACACAACCCAACACAACCCAACCCAACACAACCCAATCCAACACAACCCAACCCAATACAACCCAACACAACACAACCCAACACAACCCAACACAACCCAACACAACCCAATCCAACACAACCCAACCCAACACAACCCAACACAACCCAACTCAACCCAACACAACACAACCCAACACAACACAACCCAACCCAATCCAACACAACCCAACACAACCCAATCCAACACAACACAACCCAACCCAACACAACCCAACTCAACACAACTCAACCCAACACAACACAACCCAACCCAATCCAACACAACCCAACACAACCCAATCCAACACAACATAACCCAACCCAATCCAACACAATCCAACACAACCCAACACAACCAAACACAGCCCAACCCAACACAACACAACACAACCCAACCCAACACAACCCAACACAACACAACCCAACACAACCCAACTCAACCCAACCCAACACAACCCAACACAACCCAAACCAACACAACACAACCCAACACAACCCAACACAACACAACCCAACACAGCCCAACCCAACACAACACAACCCAACACAACACAACCCGACACAACACAACACAACCCAACACAACCCAACCCAACCCAACACAACCCAACCCAACATAACCCAACACAACCCAACACAACCCAATCCAACACAACCCAACACAACCCAACACAACACAACACAACCCAACACAACCCAACTCAACCCAACCCAACACAACCCAACACAACACAACCCAACCCAACCCAATCCAACACAACCCAACACAACCCAACCCAACCCAACACAACACAACACAACACAACACAACCCAACACAACACAACCCAACACAACTCAACCCAACCCAACCCAACACAACCCAACCCAACACAACCCAACACAACACAAACCAACCCAACGCAACGCAACGCAACACAACACAACCCAACACAACACAACCCAACACAACACAACTCAACCCAACACAACAAAACCCAACACAACCCAACCCAACACAACCCAACACAACTCAACCCAACACAACACAACCCAACACAACCCAACTCAACCCAACCCAACACAACACAACCCAACCCAACACAACCTAACCCAACACAACACAACCCAACACAACACAACACAACCCAACACAACACAACACAACACAACCCAACTCAACCCAACACAACACAACCCAAGCCAACACAACACAACCCAACCCAACCCAATCCAACACAACCCAACACAACCCAACCCAACACAACCCAACCCAACACAACACAACACAACCCAACACAACTCAACCCAACCCAACACAACCCAACCTAACACAACCCAACACAACACAACCCAACACAACCCAACACAACACAGCCCAACCCAACGCAACGCAACACAACACAACACAACCCAACATAACACAACCCAACACAACAAAACTCAACCCAACACAACACAACCCAACACAAGCCAACCCAACACAACACAACCCAACACAACTCAACCCAACACAACACAACCCAACACAACCCAACTCAACCCAACCCAACACAACACAACCCAACCCAACACAACCCAACCCAACTAAACACAACCCAAGCCAACACAACACAACCCAACACAACACAACACAACCCAACCCAACGCAACGCAACACAACACAACACAACCCAACACAACACAACCCAACACAACACAACTCAACCCAACCCAACACAACCCAACACAACCCAACACAACTCAACCCAACACAACACAACACAACCCAACACAACCCAACACAACCCAACTCAACCCAACACAACACAACCCAACACAACACAACCCAACACAACCCAATACAATAAAACCAAAAATGATTCAAATCCAATGAGATTTTGAGTTTGTGCTTTTGGAAAGACAACAGTCGGTATCTGCTGTGACCACAATGATCCTCCCACAATGCAACACTGCTAGAGTTCATCAGGAGGTTGGCCTGTGGAATTCTGGCCAATTCCTCTTTAATGTGCAACGCTGGCGGACATCCAGTTCCTGCCAATATTCTGCAAATTCATACAGTTGTTGAAGAGGAATGGACCAAAATTCCATCTAAAAGTACCTGAAACATTAAAGTGAAACAGATAATTATCTAATTAAATACACAATATTTATATTACTTTATGGTTGGCCTGTCACGATAATTACTATTTCGATTAACCGTTTGATAAATATAAACATGCACGATACCGCCAGCGGTATGTCTTACGTCATCGCGCAAGCCGAAAGCATGAGGACGCGTGGAAGCTCGCTGGACATCCAGCAACCACAGTGGACGTAAACTCGAGAGCGTGCGAGAAGCTGTGCTTTGGAAACGTCAGTTCATATCAAATGGCGGAGGAGCAAGTACTGATCAAAAAGCCCCATTCAACAGCCGCAATATGGGAACATTTCGGCTACAAGCCGAACGCACGTGGGGAGCCCAGCAATCTGAACCAGCCGGTATGTCGTCTTTGCAAAAAAGTTGTCGCAACAAAGACTGGGAACAGCACAAACCTCAAAGCACATCTGAAACATAACCAGTGTGTACGCACAGCTGGAGAACAGGCTGATATTGAACAGGCAGGACCATCGCGTGGAAGACAGCCTTTCGTAGAAAATTCGTTTGCCCAGGTGACAAAGTATAAACGTGAGAGCGTAAAATGGCGCAAACTCACAAACAGCGTAACCCACTACATCGCTAAAGAACTGTTATCGTTTAACACTGTGGATAAACCTGCGTTTAGAGACATGCTGCGGGACATTGATAAACAATACGAGTTACCAAAAAAAAACTTACACGTCTGAAACCGCCATTCCTGCGTTGTACAATAAAGTCAGAAGTGGCGTTCTGATGAAATAAAACATGTACAATTCTTCTCCGCAACGACAGATTTGTGGACCAGCTCAAACATGACCTCATATATGAGCCTCACAGTTCATTACATTACGGAGGATTGGTCTTTGCACTCCAAATGTTTAGAAACGAGATATGTGCCTGAGAACCACACTGCTGCTGTCCTGGCTGAAAACATTAAATGCGCACTGGATGAATGGGGACTGCAGGAAGGAAGACTCTCGGGCAGGAGAACATGGACCAGTGGACTCACTCCTTCACTGTATCCAACAGATCAGTGAGTGGATGCAAAACAACTTCCTTCAGCTAAACGCAGACAAAACTGAAATGATTGTCTTTGGTCCCCAGAAACAAAGAGAGAGCGTCATCTGTCACCTCCAGTCTCTCTCCCTAAAACCTTCAAACAAGGTCAGAAATCTAGGGGTAATACTGGACTCAGACTTAAATTTTAATAGCCACATCAAATCAGTAACATCAGCAGCTTTTTACCATCTAAAAAACATCGCCAGGATCAAAAACATAGTGTCTAAAGCAGACTTGGAGATTCTTATCCATGCATTTGTCTCCAGTAGGTTAGACTACTGCAATGGCCTGCTCACAGGTCTCTCCAAACAGGCTGTAAAACAGCTGCAGTACATTCAAAATGCAGCAGCTCGAGTCCTGACTAGAACCAGGAAGTACGACCACATTAGTCCAGTCCTCAGGTCTCTGCACTGGCTTCCTGTGGCTCAGAGAATAGACTTTAAAACAGCTCTGCTTGTTACAAATCTCTCCATGGCCTCGCACCAAAATATATTAGTGACATGTTAGTCCCATACGAACCAGCCCGGACTCTGAGGAGCACAGGGACTTGCCTCCTGCTGGGACTCTGAGGAGCACAGGGACTGGACTCCTGCTGGGACTCTGAGGAGCACAGGGACTGGACTCCTGCTGGGACTCTGAGGAGCACAGGGACTGGACTCCTGCTGGGACTCTGAGGAGCACAGGGACTGGACTCCTGTTAGTGCCCAGAGTCAGAACTAAACATGGGGAGGCTGCTTTTCAGATTCATGCTGCTAAAATCTGGAACAGTCTTCCTGAAGATGTGAGACAGGCCTCCTCTCTGACAATGTTTAAAGCCAGGTTAAAGACAGTTCTGTTTAGCTGTGCATACAACTGAGGGATTTTATATTTTTATCTTTCTTTATAATGTTCTGTGATTATTTATGAACTATTTATATTTTTTTATTTATTTATAAACTTGCCTTGCCATTACTACTGACAATGGTGCTAATATTATGGCAGCAATACACAATCTTGGCTGGCCATGGCTCAATTGTTTTGGCCACAATCTGCATTTGGTTCTCACAAATGCCTTAAATGCAGAAAAAGAAACGCACGTTGCGTGCGTGTGGACTCTGTAGGAATCTTTTGACCATCTTCAACGTGAGCTGGATAAAGAGGAGGGCTCTCCTGAAGGCACAGACTGAAGCTGGCCTCCTTCAGCACACACTTGTACCGGTGAGTTAGTTTTATGGATAGCAACTTTTTTTTAAACATTTGATAAACTATTTGTTTTAATTGAAATAATTTAAAACTAAATGATTTTAACTTTGTCTAATATAAAATATAAATCCCTCCATTATATAAAATAGAACTTCCAGGATAAATAGATTCAATTCATTACTACATATAATGTGATGTATAACATGCTTTCTGTCTTACAGGATATGGCCACCAGATGGAGCTGTAAACAAAAGATGATAGAGTACTGGAGCAGCTACAGCTATCAGAAGAATCCTGGTGGAGGACAGAAAACATGGCCACCTCAACCCAACATGGCAACATGTGTCTGTGCTGGAGTCAATAAATGCAGCCTTGAACCTGTTGCTGACTTTACTGACATACTTTCTGGTGAGAAGTATGTCACAGTGTCCTCTATAAAGCCAGTGCTGGAGCTCATCAAAGGTGAACTGTTAGCACCAAGTCCAGAAGACACTGACCTCAAAACAAAGATCAAGACCGACACGAGAAGGGTGTTGGTCAATACATACAGCTCTCCTGAAATACAAAGCCTTCCAAGGAAAGCCACCATTATGGATCCAAGACACAGAGGCAGTTTGGAGGACTTAGAGGTATTGCAGGAAACCAAGGAAGAGGTGTTGAGGAGCTTCTTAAGATGGAGGATGGAGATGCACAAGAAGCGGGTTCTAGCAGTGCAGCTGCAGAGATGGAGACTGCAGAAGTGGCGGCACAGAGGCCTTCAGGTGCTAAAAGAAAAACATTGATCTCCTACAAAGCAGAAGAGTTCACTGTGTGACACAAACACAGGAGGCTGTGCCGGTGAGAGAAAAAGCAAACCAGGAACTAACAAAATATCTGCAGGAAGAAGCACTAGATGCATCCTCTGATCCCTTGGTTTGGTGGCATGATAAACAAAGAAGGTTTCCCTTCATTTCAAAGCTGACAAAAAAATACATGTGCATTTGTGCCACAAGCACGAGTTCAGACAAATGTTGAGCACAGCAGGGAAAAAAGAGACCCCTGAGAGGTCTTGCCTTAAACCACACAAGGTTAACATGTTGGCTTTCCTCGCTCGCAATTGCTAAAACTATTTTTCTGAACAAGGCAATTTATGTTTATACATTTGTCAAGTGAATATTGTTTTGAATTTCATAATTTCTTAAGAAGGCACCATGTCTGGTGGCTGGTTAAACATTTGATTTCTTTAAGACACTTTAAAATGCTCTTGTTGTACTACCTCAATACTGTTTGTTAATTTAAAAAAAACACTTTAAAATGTTATTGTTTTGATACCTTAATGGTATTTGTTTATAACTTTTTTAAGCACCTTAAAGTGTTGTTCCTGTTGTGCTACCTCCAATATTGTTTGTTCAATTTCTGGTTATTTATACAATTGTGTTTTACTGTTTTATTTTTTAATTCTTGCAATAAAAACGCTGTGTAAGATATTATCGTTTATCGAGATAATTTAAGAAGCAATTTATTGGCAGGCACATTTTTTTTATCGTGACAGGCCTACTGTATCGATATATTGTGTGGGCAAAATATTGCGATACTGAACAGAAAAGATTTTTTTCCCAACGCTTGACACGACATAGCATTCTGATACATGTTCGCTGTTCCCCTGGTGTCCACAGGGGGCGCTGTCCTCCTGGTGTCCACAGGGGTCGCTGTTCCTCTGGTGTACAGAGGGGTCGCTGTTCCTCTGGTGTACACAGGGGTCACTGTCTCGCTGTGGGCCTGTGTGATCAGGTCCCAGAGTCTGGCACTGAGCTGTGATTACGGTAAAACGGGACCGAATTGTAGCAGATTGTTACAGACGGAGACGGTTTCCATGGAGACAGGAGCGAGGTGTCGCGTCCATACATGATGAGACTAGAGCAGGTCTAAAGCAGGACTAAAGCAGGTCTAAAGCAGGACTAAAGCAGGTCTAAAGCAGGACTAAAGCAGGACTAAAGCAGGTCTAAAGCAGGACTAAAGCAGGTCTAAAGCAGGTCTAAAGCAGGTCTAGAGCAGGTCTAAAGCAGGTCTAAAGCAGGTCTAAAGCAGGTCTAAAGCAGGGCTAAAGCAGGACTAAAGCAGGACTAAAGCAGGTCTAAAGCAGGACTAAACCAGGTTTAAAGCAGCCATGAGGTTTGTGATAAAGTGACTTAGAAATGATACGTCTTTATCCAAAAAAAGCGATTTCATGATGAGACTGTTTCCTCCAGTCTGAAGAAACTAATGTGAAACTAAATGAAACCAACTGAAACATTTTTATCAAATGTTTCATTCTCACAGATTACAACGACTAAACCAGAGGGAGACCAGAGAGAGACCAGAGAGAGACCAGAGAGAGACCAGAGAGAGAGACCAGAGAGAGAGACCAGAGAGAGACCAGAGAGAGACCAGAGAGAGAGACCAGAGAGAGAGACCAGAGAGAGACCAGAGAGAGACCAGAGAGAGACCAGAGAGAGACTAGAGAGAGACCAGAGAGAGACCAGAGAGAGAGACCAGAGAGAGAGACCAGAGAGAGAGACCAGAGAGAGACCAGAGAGAGAGACCAGAGAGAGAGACCAGAGAGAGACCAGAGAGAGAGACCAGAGAGAGAGACCAGAGAGAGAGACCAGAGAGAGAGACCAGAGAGAGACCAGAGAGAGAGACCAGAGAGAGAGACCAGAGAGAGACCAGAGAGAGAGACCAGAGAGAGAGACCAGAGAGAGAGACCAGAGAGAGACCAAAGCTGATGAAGAACATATGAAACTTTGTGACAGTTTTTTTGGTCATGTGGATTGTTCCAGGAATCACAGAGATTGAAACAAAGACTTGAAATCTGACTTTTGACACTTCCCGTAGTTGCCATGGTTACCAGGGGATAGTTTTCACCTCCATGGCAATTTTGGAAATGTCATGTGACTGTGACCTATTGGACAAAATCACGTACAAACCAGTCCTGAACTATAATCTACACTGGGACCATGTTAGGGAACCATGAAGGTACAGGACACAGCTGCTTCTAAACCAGATGTGTTTCAGTACAACACTAAATCACAACAACAACATCTCAAAGGTCTTTACAAAGTTGTTGTTTTGATGACACAGATCAGAGAATCAAACAGTTCAAACTCATAAGCGTAAATGTTATTAATGGACTTCTATAATGCTTCATAAGAACAGACAGAAGACATCAGTAGATCTATAGTATGAAGTGTAAATTATGTACATATATGAAAGGATAGTAAGTAGGTAGATGACAGATGGCAGGCTCAGTAGTTCTCATTGTACAGTCTGACAGCAGCAGGAAGGAAGAGGTGTAGCATCTCATCTGATTCAAACCTGTTTAGTGACCATACACTGCTGCAGGCGCGAGGCTGCGATGAGGACAGAGGTGGGAGCAGGAGACAGGTGCAGACAGGGCTAGAGGAGGGGGGGGGGGGGGGAGGTGAGCACCCAAGGGACTCAAGCAGGAGCGCACCACAGAATACAGAGCAGGAGAGCCATAGAAAAGCCAGAGCGAGTCTGTACCGTCTCACATTAGTGCTGCAGATGAGCAGATTATAATATCTACAATTCATCTTTGGATTCAGTTTTTATCGCCACAGAAACAGGACATTGTTGTTGCAGTTACAGCCTCCAGGAGCCACAGTCACATTGTAAATATGATTCACTTTCTGTCATTACTTAAAGGACACCTATTTCAATGCAAAATTGAGTTTTGTATGCTTTAGCCCATTTCATAAAGTGTTTTTAAAGTGATTCATCAGTCTGTACTACTGCCCCTGTCCAGCAGGGGGCACCAGAGGCCTGAGGCAGCCACCTTCCACATGACATCAAAGGATAGACAGAAGATTCTCTCATTATCACTGTGTTAAATATTAAAATGCAATCATTCAACCGAGTCACAGACGACGGCGAATTACACTCATTATAATAATCATTACAACATGTTTTAATTAAACTGCTCCTGTTTCTACAAATGATTCTGCTGTATCCAAATCTACAGCAGCAGAAGAAGAAGAAGAGAAGGAAACACATCTAAAGCAGGAGAGATGTGTTGCACTTGACCCATTGTTGCACGAAAGACACGACTTTCTCTGTTTCATAAAAACAGTGTAAACAAAAATAACTTTGACAGAAAATAAGGGCTTTATATTCAGTTGCTATAGAAACAGATGTTCAGACCTTTAGATGTGCCATTTAATTAAATATGTTTGAGTGTGTCACTGATGTTCAGGTGTGCGATAAATACACTTCACTGAGACACACACTGAGACACACACACACAGAACCACACACAGAACCAGAACAATGTAGGGTCCATGTCAGGTCCATGTCAGGTCCGTGTCAGGTCCATGTCGGGTCCATGTTAGGTCCATGTTAGGTCCATGTAAGATCCATGTCAGGTCCATGTTAGGTCCATGTTAGGTCCATGTCAGGTCCATGTTAGGTCCATGTAAGATCCATGTCAGGTCCATGTTAGGTCCATGTAAGATCCATGTCAGGTCCATGTTAGGTCCATGTTAGGTCCATGTCAGGTCCATGTCAGGTCCATGTTAGGTCCATGTTAGGTCCATGTTAGGTCCATGTTAGGTCCATGTTAGGTCCATGTAAGATCCATGTCAGGTCCATGTTAGGTCCATGTCAGGTCCATGTCAGGTCCATGTTAGGTCCATGTTAGGTCCATGTCAGGTCCATGTTAGGTCCATGTTAGGTCCATGTTAGGTCCATGTCAGGTCCATGTTAGGTCCATGTAAGATCCATGTCAGGTCCATGTTAGGTCCATGTAAGATCCATGTCAGGTCCATGTTAGGTCCATGTCAGGTCCATGTCAGGTCCATGTCAGGTCCATGTCAGGTCCATGTCAGGTCCATGTAAGATCCATGTCAGGTCCATGTTAGGTCCATGTTAGGTCCATGTCAGGTCCATGTCAGGTCCATGTCAGGTCCATGTTAGGTCCATGTTAGGTCCATGTTAGGTCCATGTTAGGTCCATGTTAGGTCCATGTTAGGTCCATGTAAGATCCATGTTAGGTCCATGTTAGGTCCATGTCAGGTCCATGTTAGGTCCATGTTAGGTCCATGTTAGGTCCATGTTAGGTCCATGTTAAGTCCATGTTAGGTCCATGTAAGATCCATGTCAGGTCCATGTTAGGTCCATGTCAGGTCCATGTCAGGTCCATGTCAGGTCCATGTTAGGTCCATGTTAGGTCCATGTTAGGTCCATGTTAGGTCCATGTTAGGTCCATGTAAGATCCATGTTAGGTCCATGTTAGGTCCATGTCAGGTCCATGTTAGGTCCATGTTAGGTCCATGTAAGATCCATGTTAGGTCCATGTTAGGTCCATGTTAGGTCCATGTTAGGTCCATGTTAGGTCCATGTTAGGTCCATGTTAGGTCCATGTTAGGTCCATGTTAGGTCCATGTAAGATCCATGTCAGGTCCATGTCGGGTCCATGTCGGGTCCATGTTAGGTCCATGTCAGGTCCATGTCGGGTCCATGTTAGGTCCATGTCAGGTCCGTTTCAGATCCATGTCGGGTCCATGTCGGGTCCATGTCAGATCCAAATCGGGTCCATGTCAGGTCCATGTCAGGTCCATGTCAGGTCCATGTCAGGTCCATGTCAGATCCATGTCAGGTCCATGTTAGGTCCATGTTAGGTCCATGTTAGGTCCATGTTAGGTCCATGTTAGGTCCATGTAAGATCCATGTTAGGTCCATGTTAGGTCCATGTCAGGTCCATGTTAGGTCCATGTTAGGTCCATGTAAGATCCATGTTAGGTCCATGTTAGGTCCATGTTAGGTCCATGTTAGGTCCATGTTAGGTCCATGTTAGGTCCATGTTAGGTCCATGTTAGGTCCATGTTAGGTCCATGTAAGATCCATGTCAGGTCCATGTCGGGTCCATGTCGGGTCCATGTTAGGTCCATGTCAGGTCCATGTCGGGTCCATGTTAGGTCCATGTCAGGTCCGTTTCAGATCCATGTCGGGTCCATGTCGGGTCCATGTCAGATCCAAATCGGGTCCATGTCAGGTCCATGTCAGGTCCATGTCAGGTCCATGTCAGGTCCATGTCAGATCCATGTCAGGTCCATGTTAGGTCCATGTCAGGTCCGTCTCAGATCCATGTCGGGTCCATGTCAAGTCCATGTTAGGTCTGTCACTCTACTCTCACCTGTCACTCTACTCTCACCCTGTCACTCTACTCTCACCTGTCACTCTACTCTCACCCTGTCACTCTACTCTCACCCTGTCACTCTACTCTCACCTCTCACTCTACTCTCACCCTGTCACTCTACTCTCACCCTGTCACTCTACTCTCACCCTGTCACTCTACTCTCACCTGTCACTCTACTCTCACCCTGTCACTCTACTCTCACCTGTCACTCTACTCTCACCCTGTCACTCTACTCTCACCTGTCACTCTACTCTCACCCTGTCACTCTACTCTCACCTGTCACTCTACTCTCACCCTGTCACTCTACTCTCACCTCTCACTCTACTCTCACCCTGTCACTCCACTCTCACCCTGTCACTCTACTCTCACCCTGTCACTCTACTCTCACCTGTCATTCTACTCTCACCCTGTCACTCCACTCTCACCCTGTCACTCTACTCTCACCTCTCACTCTACTCTCACCTGTCACTCTACTCTCACCCTGTCACTCTACTCTCACCTCTCACTATACTCTCACCCTGTCACTCTACTCTCACCCTCTCACTCTGTTCTCACCCTCTCACTCCGCTCTCACCCTATCACCTGCTGTTCCCATGGTTTCCACCGTGACCATAATCACTTCTGCCGGTCTATAATTAACCCAGCGTACAATCCAAGGCACAATTATTCATATTAATGCAAAAATTCTTCACTGATTCTGCGCCTCATTATTCTGGACTTCAGCAGGACCTTGGACAGCTCCGTATCTGAAAACGGAGCTTCCTGATTAGAGTTTAGAGAGTGCTTTCTGTGAAGTTCAGCGCGGCCGTCTAATTATACCGTCTTTTCACTTTGGAATTGTAAGTTTTGGAGAAAGCCCACACAGAGCGCCGGCTTTAGTCCAACAGGTTTAAAACGATCCGGGTACGAACTACTTTTTATTCATGAGGCCGAAGACGGAGCGGCAGCAGATGGTTATGTCCAGCTTTGATCTAACAACAGAACTTATATGTGTAATATATGTCTCATAATTAACTCTCCGATAATAGAGGCTTAATGTAGCTGCACGGTTGCCATAGAAACAGATGTTAGGACCGTGCTATTCCATTAAATATGCTTGAGTGTGTCACAAATGTACAGGTTTAAAGGCACTTATGTTTTCATTATAACAAGTAAGAAAACAGCTCATGAAAACTGTTTACTTTGATAAGGACAATGTTCAGTGACGTTAAAGGAAGCTGCAGCAGATTTAGTTGCAGCTTCTTTCTTCAGTAACAAGACAATCATAAACTTACTTTTAAAATATAGTTTGATAAAGAGTCGCCAAGTTATGGTCACGAAGAGTAAAATACAGGATTAACGTTTAGCAGCAGATTGTTGAGTTAAAGTTACAGTGATTCTCTAATCTGTGCTGGAGAATCAACAGTTTAGTAACGTCTGAGAAACTGAGAGTACACACACAGAGGAATGAGAGTACACACACAGGACTGAGAGTACACACACAGAGGACTAAGAGTACACACACACAGAGGACTGAGAGTACACACACAGAGGACTGAGAGTACCCACACACAGAGGACTGAGAGTACACACACACAGAGGTGAGCGTACACACACAGAGGTGAGAGTACACACACAGGACTGAGAGTACACACACAGAGGTCTGAGAGTACACACACAGAGGACTGAGAGTACACACACACAGGACTGAGAGTACACACACAGAGGACTGAGAGTACACACACACAGGACTGAGAGTACACACACAGGACTAAGAGTACACACACAGGACTGAGAGTACACACACAGAGGTGAGAGTACACACACAGGACTGAGAGTACACACACAGGACTGAGAGTACACACACAGGACTGAGAGTACACACACACAGGACTGAGAGTACACACACAGAGGTGAGAGTACACACACAGAGGTGAGAGTACACACACAGAGGTGAGAGTACACACACAGAGGTGAGAGTACACACACAGAGGACTGAGAGTACACACAGAGGACTGAGAGTACACACACAGAAGTGAGAGTACACACACAGAGGTGAGAGTACACACACAGAGGACTGAGAGTACACACACACACAGAGGACTAAGAGTACACACACAGAGGACTGAGAGTACACACACACAGGACTGAGAGTACACACACAGAGGTGAGAGTACACACACAGAGGACTGAGAGTACACACACAGAGGTGAGAGTACACACACAGAGGACTGAGAGTACACACAGAGGACTGAGAGTACACACACAGAGGTGAGAGTACACACACAGAGGTGAGAGTACACACACAGAGGACTGAGAGTACACACACACAGGACTGAGAGTACACACACAGAGGTGAGAGTACACACACAGAGACGCATAATAAAAACATTTGTATATTTCTGCAGATTCTGGTGTTTTCTGCTGCACTTTGATAATCCACAATAATCCGTCTGTCGACAGGTTCTACTGAGCTGCAGCTTTGTCTCACATCTGTAATCCTCCTCCTCTTCCTTCTCCTCCTCCTCTTCCACCTCCTCCTCCTCTTTCTCCTCCTCCTCCTCTTCCAACTCCTCCTCCTCTTCCAACTCCTCCTCCTCTTCCTCCTCCTCCTCTTCCTCTTCCTCTTCCACATCCTCCTCCTCTTCCACCTTCTCCTCCTCCTCCTCCTCTTCCACCTCCTCCTCTTACTCCTCCTCTTCCACGTCCTCCTCCTCTTCCTCTTCCTCCTCTTTCTCATCCTTTTCCTCCTTCTTTTCCTCCTCTTATTCCTCCTCCTCTTCTACCTCCTCTTATTCCTCCGCCTCTTCTACCTCCCTCCTCTTCCACCTCCTCCTCCTCTTCCTCCTCCTCCTCTTCCACATCCTCCTCCTCTTCCTACTCCTCCTCTTTCTCATCCTTTTCCTCCTCTTATTCCTCCTCCTCCTCTACCTCCTCCTCCTCTACCTCCTCCTCTTCTACCTCCTCCTCTTCCTGGTCTCTGTCTCTTTTGGACCAAAGTCTCAGTCTGTTATTGTTGCATTAGTTTGAGCTGTGACTTTGGGTCCACAGAGACAGGGGTGTTTCGGCGGGGGCTTCAGGCAAAGTGGGGTCAAGCGTGTCTGTTTGGATTTCTAGGCTGTCAATCACCTCCTGGAGGCGGGGCTTCTGCAGCTCGTGTCATTGATGTGAACCAGGTGTTTTGCTTCCTCTGAAAGAGAAAGATCCTTCTCTAACCAAAGCTCGAGGGAATCATTAAAAAACGACTTTGGGCAAATCGCTCTGTAGAGAAACAGCCGAGAAAAGTGCAGTGATACGGGACCTTTAAACTGGCACACACATTAGAATATTCATGTTGTTTGGACTTAAACCCGGAGTCCCTCGGTGCATACGGAAGTTTACTTTCTCTTCTGCTGCGCTTCTTCTTTGTTTCAGTTTAACGACACAGTCTCTGTCGCTGCGGCGCCGAAGCAGCCGGACAGAATGAGAACACGCTCCGACCTTTGGGAGGGATTTATCTCCTCTGTGTCTCCAACAGAGACTCCTCTGCAGCCCCACGGTAACATGTAACATTTACATACAACACGGTAACATTTACATACAACACGGTAACATTTACATACAACACTGTAACATTTACATACAACAGTCTCACAGTTGTATTGTCACAAAAACAAGCACTTTTTGGGAGAAGCCAATTAGTATAAATGTATAAATGTATAATGATGTCGTGCTGCCGGGGACTTCTGGAAACTGAGACGGATTCTTTTCAGCGTTTGCAGCAAAGAGAGGATTAGCTTTGTGTGAAAAGGACACAACGGAAGTGTGTGTTTCTCACTGCAGGAGACATGAAAATAACGATACCTGAAATATGCAAAACTGACATTTGAACTTCTGTCGTTGTGGCTCACAACAACTCCTCCTCAAGAGTCTGTCCTCACACACTGCCCTCTAGAGTCTGTCCTCACACACTGCCCTCTAGAGTCTGTCCTCACACACTCTAGAGTCTGTCCTCACACACTGCCCTCTAGAGTCTGTCCTCACACACTGCCCTCTAGAGTCTGTCCTCACACACTCTAGAGTCTGTCCTCACACACTCTAGAGTCTGTCCTCACACACTGCCCTCAAGAGTCTGTCCTCACACACTGCCCTCAAGAGTCTGTCCTCACACACTGCCCTCTAGAGTCTGTCCTCACACACTGCCCTCAAGAGTCTGTCCTCACACACTGCCCTCTAGAGTCTGTCCTCACACACTGCCCTCTAGACTCTGTCCTCACACACTGCCCTCTAGACTCTGTCCTCACACACTGCCCTCTAGAGTCTGTCCTCACACACTACCCTCTAGAGTCTGTCCTCACACACTCTAGTGTCTGTCCTCACACACTGCCCTCAAGAGTCTGTCCTCACACACTGCCCTCAAGAGTCTGTCCTCACACACTGCCCTCTAGAGTCTGTCCTCACACACTACCCTCAAGAGTCTGTCCTCACACACTGCCCTCAAGAGTCTGTCCTCACACACTGCCCTCAAGAGTCTGTCCTCACACACTGCCCTCTAGAGTCTGTCCTCACACACTACCCTCAAGAGTCTGTCCTCACACACTGCCCTCTAGAGTCTGTCCTCACACACTGCCCTCCAGAGTCTGTCCTCACACACTGCCCTCTAGAGTCTGTCCTCACACACTGCCCTCTAGAGTCTGTCCTCACACACTGCCCTCTAGAGTCTGTCCTCACACACTGCCCTCTAGAGTCTGTCCTCACACACTGCCCTCTAGAGTCTGTCCCTCACACACTGCCCTCTAGAGTCTGTCCTCACACACTACCCTCAAGAGTCTGTCCTCACACACTGCCCTCTAGAGTCTGTCCTCACACACTGCCCTCCAGAGTCTGTCCTCACACACTGCCCTCTAGAGTCTGTCCTCACACACTGCCCTCTAGAGTCTGTCCTCACACACTGCCCTCTAGAGTCTGTCCTCACACACTGCCCTCTAGAGTCTGTCCTCACACACTGCCCTCTAGAGTCTGTCCTCACACACTGCCCTCTAGAGTCTGTCCTCACACACTGCCCTCTAGAGTCTGTCCTCACACACTGCCCTCTAAGAGTCTGCAGATATGACACAACTGTGTCATATCTGTGATCAGAGGCCAAAACTACAGACTCCAGTTGGTTTCTCCTCCAGACTCACAGCTGAAGGTCTCATCTACAGTCAGAGCACCTCCTCAGCCTCCAACACTTTACTTTCATTTCAGGACAAGGCTTCACCTGTTCAATATGGAGGAGACAGGAGAGAGGGGAGAGAGGAGAGATAGGAGAGAGAGAGGAAAGAGAGAGGAGAGAGAGAGGAGAGAGAGGAGAGAGAGAGGAGAAAGAGGAGAGAGAGAGAGGAAAGAGAGAGGAGAGAGAGGAAAGAGAGAGAGGAGAGAGAGAGAGGAAAGAGAGAGGAGAGAGAGGAAAGAGAGAGAGAGGAGAGAGGGAGGAGCAGAGGAGAGAGAAGGGAGAGGAGAAAGAGAAGTGAGGAGAAGAGGAGAGAGAGGAGCAGAGGAGGGAGTGAGGAGAGAGAGGAGCAGAGGAGAGAGAGGAGAGGGTGGAGAGAGAGAAGCAGAGGAGAGAGAGAGAGGAGAGGAGAGAGGAGAGAGAGAGAGGAGAGTGTGTTTGTCTTCTTCAAGACGCTGTTTGGTGAAATAGACTCAGTTCTGAATCTTTCTGACTCTGAGTTTCAGTCTCTGCTCCTCCTCGGCTCCTCCTCTGCTCCTCCTCTGCTCCTCCTCTGCTCCTCTTCTGCTCCTCCTCTGCGCCTCCTCTGCTCCTCTTCTGCTCCTCTTCTGCTCCTCCTCTGCTCCTCTTCTGCTCCTCCTCTGGTCCTCCTCTGCTCCTCTTCTGCTCCTCTTCTGCTCCTCCTCTGCTCCTCTTCTGCTCCTCTTCTGCTCCTCCTCTGCTCCTCTTCTGCTCCTCCTCTGCTCCTCTTCTGCTCCTCCTCTGCGCCTCCTCTGCTCCTCTTCTGCTCCTCTTCTGCTCCTCCTCTGCTCCTCTTCTGCTCCTCCTCTGGTCCTCCTCTGCTCCTCCTCTGCTCCTCTTCTGCTCCTCCTCTGCTCCTCCTCTGCTCCTCTTCTGCTCCTCTTCTGCTCCTCCTCTGCTCCTCTTCTGCTCCTCTTCTGCTCCTCCTCTGGTCCTCCTCTGCTCCTCTTCTGCTCCTCTTCTGCTCCTCCTCTGGTCCTCCTCTGCTCCTCTTCTGCTCCTCTTCTGCTCCTCTCCTGCTCCTCCTCTGCCCCACTTCTGCTCTCTTCTTTCTGAACTCTCTTCTATTTTCCTTGTTTTAATCTTTTTACTTTTTACTCTCTTTGATCTATGAAACTATTACATCTGAGGAGTACAGGGACTGGCCTCCTGCTGAGACTCTGAGGAGCACAGGGACTGGCCTCCTGCTGGGACTCTGAGGAGCACAGGGACTGGCCTCCTGCTGGGACACTGAGGAGCACAGGGACTGGCCTCCTGCTGGTCCCAGAGTCAGGACTAAACATTCAGATTCATGCTAAAACCTGGAACAGTCTTCCTGAAGATGTGAGACAGACTTCTTCTCTGACAATCTTCAAATCCAGGTTATAAATAGTTCTGTTTTTGCAGCCACTGAAGGATTTTATCTTTACTCTTTTTAATGTGATTATTAGTGTTTTTTTTTCCCTTGTGTTGTTGCATTTTCATTCTGTATAAACTGTGCTATACAAAAAAAACTTAAGCTAATGGAGAACATTGCTTTGATCATGTGACTGAGATGAGAACATTGTGGAGCTGAAAGTGGCCTCATTACTGGGAGCTGCACATAACAACTGTGACTCTGACCCGGGAGTCATCGCGGTCAAGAGGCCGGTGGTGATTGTGGCGGTGCCGGTGCTGACCCAGAGCCCGGCGGGTCAATCTCTGACAGACGCAGACGAATGGGAACAGGCAGCACACTCTCTACACAACTGATTAAACAATAAGAGTTTGGATTTAGATTCAGACTAAACTTTTCCACCTCCAAAATGTCCGCCTTTACTGCTCTGTTTCCGGAAGTCCCACAGGATCCACACCTCTGACACATTTATGGACATTCAGGATTTTGTTATGATTATTTAGGATTTAATTAGAATTTATTTAGGATTTATTTAGGATTTATTTAGGATTATTTAGGATTTATTTAGGATTTTTTTAGGATTTCTCATCATTTTGCAGTTACTGTATGTGTCTCAGGTGTCTCTCTCCTCATGTCCCTGCTGTGTCTGCTGTCTTTGGGGCTTTAAATGTCCCCTTTTAAATCTATTTGGTTTATGCCTAATGTATTAAGACATAACTAGATTTGTGGATCAGAATATATCCACACATTTGTTTAAAAAAAATGCTAAAAAGTAGTCATTTTAAATACACAGAGTTTGTACTGTTTCTCACTGTTTACAAACTTGAAATACTTAAAGGAGAACTCGAGTCCACGGCCAGTCCTCTGTGTGTGTGTGTGTGTGTGTGTGTCTGTGTGTGTGTGTGTGTATGTGTGTGTGTGTGTGTCTGTGTGTGTGTGTGTGTGTGTGTGTGTGTGTGTGTGTCTGTGTGTGTGTCCAGGGCCAGTCCTCTGCAGCATAAGTACAGCGCATTCTCTGCGTTTCTATGAGTCTGGACTCAGGGACCTGTGTGTGTGTGTGTGTGTGTTTGTGTGTCTGTGTCTGTGTGTGTGTGTAGCTGTGTGTGTGTGTGTGTGTGTGTATCTATGTGTGTGTGTTTATAGTCGAAGCACTCGGCCTCGTTACTACAGAAACATTCATAGGTTTCATGTTTAATTCACACATGACGCTGCTCCATCTGCAGCTCAGCAAAACACACTCTCTACACACACACACACACACTACACACACACACACATACACACACACTCACACACGCACACACATTCACACACACACGCACACACTAGACACACACACACTACACTCACACACACACACGCACACACTACACACACACACACACACACTACACACACACGCACACACGCACACACTAGACATACACACACACTAGACACACACACACTACACTCACACGCACACACGCACACACTAGACATACACACACACTAGACACACACACACTACACTCACACACACACACGCACACACTACACACACACACGCACACACTACACGCACACACACACACACACACACACACTGTAGAGTAGTAATTACTGCTATACTACCACTGCTACAACTACTCTACTACTACTACTAAACTACTACTACTACTCCTATACTACTACTACTGCTATAGAATTTGAAGCTGGTGTTCTTCCTCAAGGAAAATAAGTTCAAAGCCAAAACATGTGTTTTCTGTAGTATTTTAGTTGGAGTCAGATCTGAAATACATTTGAGACCTTGACTCTGTGAACTGCACAGATGTGAACGATTCTGTTTCCTGAGACTTCACTTCCATAAAGAATATTACATGGATTTTCATGTCTCATACATGTTTCCCACACGAGACCTGTGTCAATCACTGAGTATCAATATAGAATGGATCTGCAGAACACACTCACTCTTTAATCCAGCAGCTTTGAACACACAAAATGTCCAATTACTTTTTCGCTCCAAATATCAAGAAACTGAAGCCGGAGCAAGAGGAATGTTTAGCAAATGTCATTGAGGCAAAGATGTTGTAGCTCTCCCTGCTCCAGGACAAGCTCTCCCAGCTCAACGTGCTCCACCTGCTCCACCTGCAGGTGGAAGCAGCGAGTGCGTCTGGGGAAGAATGTCTCGGACTCTCGGATTATAAATACAGGAGCTCCACAGGGCTGTGTTCTTTCTCCCCTGCTCTTCTCCCTGTACACCAACCACTGCACCTCCAGCCACGACTCCGTGAAGCTGATCAAGTTCGCGGACGACACCACCCTCATTGGACTCATCTCCAACAACGATGAGTCTGCCTACAGGAGGGAGGAGGACCGGCTGGTGCCCTGGTGTCTCCTAGAGGAGGGAGGTGGACCGGCTGGTGTCCTGGTGCAGTGGTAACAACCTGGAGCTGAACGCCCAGAAGACAGTGGAGATGATTGTGGACTTCAGGAAGAGCACTGTCCCCCCGCCCCCACCCTCCGTGATGGACTCCCCCATCACCTCTGTGGAGTCCTTCCGTTTCCTGGGCACCACCATCACCCAGGACCTCAAGTGGGAGCCGACCATCAGCTCCCTCATCAAGAAGGCCCAGCAGAGGATGTACTTCCTGCGGCAGCTCAGGAAAGCCAAGCTGCCTGCACAGATGTTGGTGCAGTTCTACACGGCCATCATCGAGTCCGTCCTCACCTCCTCCATCACCTCCTCCATCACCTCCTCCACTACCTCCTCCACCACCTCCTCCATCACCGTGTGGTTCGCTGGAGCCACAGTCAGGGACAAACAGAGACTACAGCACATTGTGCGCTCTGCAGAGGAAGTGATCGGCCGCAGCCTTCCATCGCTGCAGGACCTGTACGTCGCCCGAGCTCGAGGCCGGGCTGGTCGTATCACAGCCGACCCCTCTCACCCTGCACATGGACTATTCCAACCACTCCCCTCTCACCTGCACATGGACTAGACACTGTGGTGACATCACCAACGTCACCACAGTGTGATGTGTAAAAGGAGTCACACTGACGTTACACTGTGGTGAAGATGGTGATGTCGCACTTGGACAGCTCTGTGGAGGCTGCTCTCTCCAGCTCACACTGTGGAGCCTCTTCTTGTGTAACAGCAGAATGTTTCTGATTCCTGCAATAAATCAAAGCATCCCCAGTTCGCCTGACAGACAGGAATCTAGGTGAAGCATAAAGCAGCGCACACAAAACCACACTTTTCAGAACAATCTTCACAACATTCTGCTCATACCAGGTATTTTTAGTTTGCACCGAGTCTCAGAGCAATGAGTTAAAGCACACGCAGCACACACACACACACACACACACACACACACACACACACACACACACACACACACACACACACACACACACACACACACACACACACACACACACACACTGTGTGTTTTCAGATACACTTTTGTGGAGAAGTCAAACTGCTTCACATGCATTCTCTGAGTCTGTAACAGGAGAATCTAACAATACTGTCTCTCTCTGCTGCACTTACACTGGTCCAGAGGAGAGCAGAGAGGATTCATGGTTTTACACTGGTCCAGACCAGAGCAGAGAGGATTCATGGTTTTACACTGGTCCAGAGCAGAGCAGAGAGGATTCATGGTTTTACACTGGTCCAGACCAGAGCAGAGAGGATTCATGGTTTTACACTGGTCCAGACCAGAGCAGAGAGGATTCATGGTTTTACACTGGTTCAGACCAGAGCAGAGAGGATTCATGGTTTTACACTGGTCCAGACCAGAGCAGAGGATTCATGGTTTTACACTGGTTCAGACCAGAGCAGAGAGGATTCATGGTTTTACACTGGTTCAGACCAGAGCAGAGAGGATTCATGGTTTTACACTGGTCCAGACCAGAGCAGAGAGGATTCATGGTTTTACACTGGTCCAGACCAGAGCAGAGGATTCATGGTTTTACACTGGTCCAGACCAGAGCAGAGAGGATTCATGGTTTTACACTGGTCCAGACCAGAGCAGAGAGGATTCATGGTTTTACACTGGTCCAGAGCAGAGCAGAGAGGATTCATGGTTTTACACTGGTCCAGACCAGAGCAGAGAGGATTCATGGTTTTACACTGGTCCAGACCAGAGCAGAGAGGATTCATGGTTTTACACTGGTTCAGACCAGAGCAGAGAGGATTCATGGTTTTACACTGGTCCAGACCAGAGCAGAGGATTCATGGTTTTACACTGGTTCAGACCAGAGCAGAGAGGATTCATGGTTTTACACTGGTTCAGACCAGAGCAGAGAGGATTCATGGTTTTACACTGGTCCAGACCAGAGCAGAGAGGATTCATGGTTTTACACTGGTCCAGACCAGAGCAGAGGATTCATGGTTTTACACTGGTTCAGACCAGAGCAGAGAGGATTCATGGTTTTACACTGGTCCAGACCAGAGCAGAGGATTCATGGGGGCAGGCCGTAATGACTTCTTGCTGGTGGTGGTGTACAGGAAACAGAATAATCCATTGAATTCTTACGTCACCTTTTTTCCACATTACAGGATGTGTGTGTGTGTGTGTGTGTGTGTGTGTGTGTGTGTGTGTGTGTGTGCATGTGTGTGTGTGCACTTGTTTTCAACTCCTGGTGGGTTCCATAACCTGAGATTCCACTCACGTCATGGGGACTGGTTTTACGTGGTGGGGCCCGAACACCGGACCCCACTGGTCCAAGCTTAATAATCAATGGGTAATGCTTTTCTAACGGCCCTTATGCAGTCTCTGTAAAAATATGGAAAGGACCCCTGGAGGTTTACTTTCCTGAAAAAAGTGTGTTATGTGTCGGAACCCTGGTGGTGGGTTGCGGGATATCAAGGAGGGGCACACTGGGGCAATTTCAGTCCAGCAGGCTGGAGCCAATCATGGAGCAGCACAACAGAGGAAATCAGGTGTCAGGCTAGAAAAAGGTGCAAGTGTGTGGTTCATTAGGCTGCAAGAAATCATGGAGGAGCACACTGAAGCGCACGCTTACAAACCACTGGTAAGTGCTGACTACAAGTCATGACTTCAAATTGTTATATAGAATGATTACAAATTATTTGTTGTTTGTGCAGCTTAGTCAAGAGTCCCTAATTGATGAAGTCGACTCAGATTCTGACGATTTAACTTTCAAGAAGAAACCTGTAAAAAAGTATGGAAAAAGAAAAATCAAAAACACTTTTCTTCAAGACTCGGAAAGTGACGAACCAAAGGCAAATAAGATTGTTATCATGCAGCTGCAAAAGAAGAAAAATGGGGGGCGAGTTTACAGCAAGAGACACTTCTGCCTCTACTGTTCAATGTCCTGCCACAAAATGTCCCGTCATTTGACTAGAAAACATGGAAATGAAAGTGACGTAGCCAGAGCATTGGCTCTACCTGTGAAATCTAAAGCACGTAAACTTCAGTTTGATTTGATCAGGAATAGTGGAAACCGTGAGCACAATTTTGAGGTTTTAAAGGCCGGCATTGGAACTTTAGTCCCAGCTAAACAGCCAAATTGCCCAGTTAAATCCAGTGAGTTTTTGCACTGTATAGACTGTGGGGCATTGCTTAAGCGAAAGTCGCTGTGGAGGCATGTGGCCAGGTGCCGGCTTTCACAGAAAGATGCCCAGGCTAAACCAGGTAGAAGTAGGGTCCAGTCCCTCTGCTCCCTAGCCCAGCCTGTACCGGAGGGCATCAGCAAAAAGCTGTGGTCTTTAATTTCGGCAATGCATCAGGATGAGGTCACGGGTGTTGTCAAAGCAGAAAAGGGGATTCTGAGACTCGGAGAGCACCTGTACTTAAAACACGGGCATGATAAGACTAAGCATGATTACATTAGGCAGAAAATGAGAGAAGTCGGTAGGTTAATTAACGAAGCAAAAACCGCAGGGAAACTGAAAACAATTAAGGATTTCTTTATTCCTTCCAACTTTAACCATGTGATTGATGCAGTCAGGTCTGTGGCTGGATATGATGAGGAAACAAATCAATACAAGACTCCATCCTTGGCCCTCAAACTCGGCCATAGCCTCAGAAAGCTAGCAGATATTCTTGAATGTGACTCAAAAATGGAGCATTGTGTTGATGAACTATTTATTAAAAACCTCCAACGAAGCCGGCTGCTTTTTGAGAAGAGGTGGGACG